AATTCCTTCATTGGATGCGGTCCGAGAAATTCAAGGTGCAACATTTATACTCTATTATCTATACTATATCTTTAATGTCCAATCTCTATTTGCCTCCTGTCTCCAAATTTCTCTATCGTTATAACAAGACTGTCTCCTTCATCGGTGAAATTTTTAAACTTCCAACAACAAACAGGTTCATTGGGACGTGGAATGTCGATAACATCATACCAAGGAGCATTTGATTGAACCTGTGGTGAAAGTTTGTATGTTATAAAAACACAGGAAATACTACATTTTAATTGTGGCTTTATCATTATAATTACGTGACAATAACACAAATGACAATTTTTAACGACTGTTTTTGGAATTTGATAATTTCGCGTTAATTTCAATTATTCCCAATTTAAAGTTATTTTATTGAAACACATTAACACATTAACATTAAGACTTTTTGCTTCCTGCCCAAACGGGGCCGATGGCACTAGCCATGGCTGTCATACCCTTGATACGCCGCTGTTTTTGAATACATTGTCTCCTTTTTCATATATTAGCATTTCGTAGTGGGTCACACAGAAAATATGTCGATAAAAATGGGTCGCGAACTGCAAAAGGTTCTGATCTAGAGCATCTATATACTGGTAAAACTCAAATACCGCGGCAAGTTAATATGGACACCCTGTTAAAAATTATAAAAACCCAGAATACAAAAAAGAATATAGCTCAAAAAATTGTAATGATTGAAAGAATAAAAATCATTCACTTTTCATAAAATAGATTATTCAAATCTATATATATATATATATATGAACACTAATTTTTAGAAATATGAAGTTTTACACAACCTAATTAGAACCCAACTCAAAATTCATTCAGTTAAACAACGGTAAAACTTACTTGTTTTTAAAACACATATAAAAAGGCAATATTTCCATCTTATAAACTATTTGTGTAAGACATTTAAGTCCAGTTAAAATCTAGGCTACAAACATTATCAAAATCTTAAAATTATGCATATATTATATTTAATTATAAATTTTTGATTATTATGATAAGATTTAAACGATATGTCTTAAAAGTAATAGTGGAAAGTACGCGGTTTTCAACTAAATTTCATGCTTTACCTTTTCCCAGTCTATATCATGAATTAATGAAGAAACATAACGTGATGTGCAACTTGCTTTTGTCAAGGCGACTAAAAACAGAAGACTCAGAAGTAGCAGTCGATTGAATTTACTTGTGCGGAACATTTTAATGAATATGGGACAAACGGTTCCTTCTGCTATTTGTCATAGAATTAGAATTAATAAGTTTAGTATTAAAGTATTAAACAGAATATGCAAACAAAATTTATGTTATTGTGTCAGATGGTATTTATTTGGTTATAAATAATTTGGTATGAGTATAATAAATAGTTCGAAGAAAATTTGAACGCAGCTTACATCCCTTTTCTCACAAATATTTTATTTTCTGAAATAGGACCTTTACTAAACAGATCTCACACTCATGATAAGACGTTCTCTGGAACAATTGAACATTTAAAAGCACACTAAGTCTCTATATGGGAGATGAAGTCACGTTGCATATTGCGGAAGAAATCGTGGTATCCTGACATCATGATTATAAACAATTGCACATCTTACACCTGACATCGTGCTATGCTTTATGGCTTCGGACTTGAAACCAGATAAACCTTTTATATAGATGGCCGAATATGATAAATTGTGTATGCAGCTGAGGAACAATTTTCCATCTTCATGACTTTGGAGAAAAGGGTGTTAAACGCATGTGGCATAAATATCCCATGCAAGGCATATCGTTGATTTGTACAAATAAAGTATACATTTAAGGTTATAATGAAATAATTATCAGCAATCTATAAAATAAGCAGGGCGGGATGGAAATGCCTTCCCGGTGGTTGTCGACCACTACATTAAATCATCTAACAGACGTAACTTCGTTTATTTCTTTTTTCATTGCAAAAAGCGGTGGATATATACAGCATGCATACAATCATGAATTGGTTTATTACCTTGTGATGGACTATCTAATTCTAACATAAGTCGTTACGAAACAGGTGAGCCTGGATGAAAGGCTTGAGTCAGAAAATATGATATCTATACCAGTGATCTTCAACCTTTTTTACCGTGTCACACCTTTTATAATTTTTTAGGAACTTTGAATACCTTAAATATACCAATGTTTAATTATGGAAAATTCAAATATAGTTGACGGATCAAGTTTTATTAAATAATTAATTTAAACTGGCAGAAGCAAGGGTCAATATAAATTATGATGTAGCAGTGTGCTAAAAATCGGTTCTTTGTGGAAATGGCATTATATATTTTTATTGTTTTAAAATACCGAAGTTAAGGAAATTAAGGCATTGTGTCAACTGAAGAAGGGTCTTTGGGGCTGTTTAAAAAATTTGGAGGTAATCGGGTCCACTAGTTCCACCTCTGGCCACGGCCTTGCATAGGCAGACGTCATACTGCCATGCGCACTACAAAACTAATGTCATCATTAGCTGCAACATGAGGGCCCGCTAGCAAATTATCACACTTAAATCTGAAGGAAAATAACTTACATTTACAATAACCAAAACGTGAACGCCCCTTCGACGGTTGTTGCTGCCAGACGGCGTTTGTATTGTTGTCTCTGATTGAATTTTTCATTATATTAGAGCTTAGAAGCCCTGAGACTGTGCACCATTCGTTTAGCATTTTCCAGTTTGGGTATACCGTATATTGAAGAATACTGCTTTATACTTCGACATTATATAGCTTAATTTATGGAACGTGTACATAAATCTGAGACGATGGCATTTTTGAATGCAGAAATTTCAAGAACGACTTCCTATGTAATGTGTACGCAGTTACAAAATAGGTCACGGTATTCACTAAATTTTATAGGGCTATTTTTTGCATTTATCACAGACTTGGGACCGAGTTGATCAGAGAACGCGGTTATAAACGTACTCCTTTCGAAGCCCAACTACAAGGGAATCTAAGTTGTTTATGCTTCTGAAGATCAATCAAATTCTACAATGCACGCAAATAAATACCTTCTATATTTTATACATCCTGTCTTTAGGCCTAGCATTCTTCACTGTGTTCAACTTAAAATTGTGTCAATTCATTCTTCGCGGGATTTTCTTTCTTCGCGTTTTGTCTAACATTTTTAACTCGTCGCCATTCCGACGCTTCGTGCTTTTCGCGCCTTGCCCTATCTCATTTTGCTCATTTTTTTTTCAGCGCCGGCACTGTCTTTATTATATTATTTATTTTTTCACTCTTTTTTCATATGACTATTTTTGACAGCACGTCCTGCTTTTTCATCCGGAATTTTTTTCTGATTTCGGGACTCGGTGGCTTATTTGTCTGGTTTCTGCCTTTTACTTTTTGTGTTCTTTTCCGCCTTTCGCCAAGGTTTCTTATCCTGTCTATATTTTGTGATCTTTTGTTACCATTCCTTTCTTTCAACCTGGATATTTTCCTGGTTTCTGCCTATCTTTACTTAGATTGATTGTCTTTGATGTGATTCGAACCGGACTAAGCACCTCGCACTGGGACCTCCCACAGACCATTCCTTTTCGACTTAGAGTCTCTAAGCACTTCAGACTTAAAAATAATAATAAAACTAGTGTTCCATGAAATCTGAATAAGTTTCAGAATTTAGTACTAATTCAAGACAAAGTTATTATTAATTTACATGATAATTTTTAAAAATAATTCTCATTCCTACAACCATTTATAGAGAACTTCAGAATGAAAAAAAGTAACCAAAAATTCATCCTCAGCCGAGTCAACATTGATGTTTGAATCGTTTAACCAACTCTAATTACTTTATTAAAGTGAATGAGATACCATTGAAAATTCGACCATAAAAATTTCTGTCGCGTTCAGAGATCACCTCTTTTTTTTGAGTGAGTGTCCATGACCTTGCTTCAAGCAAATTTTTGTGATATAAAATTAAATTTTAACATAAGCATTAGTTCCCGTGAGGACCGGACGTTCTGTGGGGAATGTTTATTCTAAATTCTTGACAAAAATGGATGTAATATTCTATAAAACTTCGGAATAAACGGGGGGATTTCGTTTCTGTCGCGCTTTTAGCTTACTCTATTACATTTGTTTCCGTTTGTATTGCGCTGTTTAGCTGTTTTTCATATAACGACGTTATGGCCAAAAATGGATATTTCAGTAGAGAAATAAGTGACGAAATTGTTCCTTGATTTAGAAAAAACATCTCCATCAAAATACCACTAACGTGCTATGCCTATGAGCTATATACAACTCACCATTGCGACGCGGGCAGCGATTGACACACAACTTAAAACAATTTAAGTTGGCGCTGTCAAGAAAAGCCACATCAAGGAATTTCTACGAAGCGGAAGTTTCAGTCTAGAAAATTCGTTTACAAGCAGACGGCGCGGCGCGGCGGTGTGGCTCAACGCGCTAAGCGTTAGGAATACGCTTGCCACCGCACCTCTAATTACTCTGCATGAGTTCGCAGGTTCGTATCCCATGCAGGGATGGTTATGTGCGAGAGGATTGCTGGACTCCTCGCCGTCGTTGGGTGGTTCACGTAACCGCTGGACGGTTACGCTTCCTCCACCACCAAGTCCATGCTTCCGAAAACAAACAATATAACTAATCCCATACCCGACTTGGAATGGTAACCGGACGAGAGGCCGTGGTTCGCCATATGGATAAACCGTCTTATCGGCTTTCCTCTCCCCCGGGATAAACATGTAAATCCTATCCTATCTTATTTTATGTCTACAATACGGAAGGGGTGACTAATCTAGTCGAACCGGACCCTCCAATTATTAGTACGGTTAAAAAGTGGTTTCTCAATATACTATTTTGTTAGCTGTGCAGTAAGCTACCTCACAGCTGTCGATTTTATTCAGATGTTTTTTTTGAAAGTTGCGAAAGTCTTCTTGTTAGATTTTGAAAGTTGGAATTTTTATTTTCCGCGTGCGTTCCAGATAGCCTACCTTATAGACTTGACTCCGGATTCGGACCGATTGTTTTGCGGGTTGCCAGTCACACTTCTGCACTTGTCTGCTTGCGGGCTGAGTTATTTCTTCAAACTGTTGAAACGTCCATGTCAAATGTCAGTATCAATGTGTGACAGTTTAGTCGAAGATAAAACATTATCTGAGAGTGGCGAAGTTGACCATTGCAAAGTTCTGTCGGAAGACATTGGTGGCCTGGTGTTGAATCAAGATTATAGTGATGTCACTTTCGTCGTCGGCGGGAAATGTTTTTCCGCACATCGAGTGATTCTTGCTGCAAGATGCAAATATTTCAGGTGTGCCTCCGTTAAATATTAACTACAAGCATCAATAATCATATTTCTTTATTTGCCAGTAATCAATTTCTAATTTTTAAAATCAACCCCTTCAGCCCTCGCTGCCTTGTATCGTTATCACAGTACTGCAGTACCGGTATCACATCCATGCTTTCGAAATCAAATAAATGGCTAACTATCGTAATCCAGTAATTCCATACTAACTGGACAAGAGACCAAAATTCGCCATATGTTGAAGCGGTCTTATCGGCTTTCCTTTCGCGGATAAATATGTATGCGCGGCGGTGTGGCTTAACGGGCTAAGCGTTAGGAATACGCTCGCCACCGCACCTCTAATTATTCTGCGTGGGTTCGCAGGTTCGTATCCCATGCAAGGATGGTTATGTGCGAGAGGATTGCTGGACTCCTCGCCGTCGTTGGGTGGTTCACGTAACCGCTGGTCGGTTACAGCTTCCTCCACCACCAAGTCCATGCTTCCGAAAACAAACAATATAACTAATCCCATACCCGACATGGAATGGTAACCGTACGAGAGGCCGTGGTTCGTCATATGAATAAGCCGTCTTATCGGCTTTCCTCTCCCCGGGATAAATATGTAAATCCTATCCTATCTACAGATTTTTTAGTCAATAAATACAAACATGAGGTGGTAATGGAGAAAACGATATTCCAGTATTCAGGCTGTTTGTATTTGTTTGGCAAAGCAAAAACTCAATAGGAGTTATCGTATACCCATTACTGCATTATGCATTAAGGAAGGGAAGTTGTTAAGGCAGCTTGATTACTAGTACCGAATTTACCGCACATTTCTAACCGCTGAACTGTTGGTTTGTCTATCAGAGAATAAACACAATCAAACTTAACATTTAGGTATTCCTGAGGTTCTTGTGTATCCTATAAGACTGCTAGGATATCGAAGACAGAAACAATTTATAAAACCGAATATAAACACATTATTGGAGATATAAACAGTGCAAATATAAAAGAAGTTGCTGTGTTTATGCTTTTAGAACATAAAATATCACTTATCAACGGATGATTTTGCTATCAAAGTAAAGTATAAATAAATAAAAATAATTAAACTAAAACACTTGAATAAAAAAAATGTCCATCTTGAAACCTCTTCAAAGTATGGGTTTTTTGGCATGCATACTCTTTCACATCTTCCATGGGGAGTTGGTAATTATCAGCGTATCGAGTGCATTAAAGTCAATGCTGTATCTATTTTATTACATGTAATTATTTCCTTGGTAAAACAATTTTCTCATTTGTTCTATTATATATTATTTTAAGAGCTCTTCTTTTTGGTGGTATGAGAGAAGCACAGCCTGAGGCTAGAATACCGGTTGATGACACGACTCCTGAAGCATTTGGTTTACTTTTACAGTACATTTACACAGCGAAACTACAACTTGCCGAATTAACGGTTAGTTCATTTATGACTCTATAGAAACTGAGAGCTTTGCTCGGCATCCAAAGCAAAATATTTAACTTCAATTGGTACCTGTGAAAAATGTTCAGAATTTTCATGTACAGTAAAATTGACATGGGCAGTAGAATATTCACTTGGCTAACACAGAAAGTCCCCGAACTCGTAATAGAACTACAATAACGAAAATTGGAATAAAATTATGGCCTAACCCTAACTTGGTACACACACTAAAAGGAGTAACCATTTATGTTCATATTTTTGAGCATTACTCTATTGTTTGATATATTATATTGTATGACATGTTGGATGCCAATACTTAATAATAACTTTACTTTTTTTAACAATTTAGGAAGAATGTATGCTTGAGGTTCTAGCACTTTCAAATAAATATGGTTTTTCGGCATTGGAAAAATCAATTTCCAACTTCTTACTGAAAACAATCAGCATTGGCAATGCATGTGAAATTTATGAAGTTGCAACTCTCTACTCTCTCGATGATTTGAAAGAAGCAGCAGCAGAGTTTATTGACAGAAATGCTGTCGATATTCTGAACAATGATGCCTTTTTGACACTTTCATTGGCAAGTACATTTTGAAATAATGGTGTGCGAATATAGTTGGCAGTGTTTAAAAGAATAATATTAGTATCAAATTTTCATTCACATGTGCAAATACTTTCGTTCTACACCATTGACGGGCCTGTTTTGATTGAACATATTTTACAATAAGTGTTTAATATTTCATCATAATATGGAATGGTCATCTTGGACAGGGCTACTCAACTATTTTTATCGAAGGTCCGCAAACAAAACTTCAAAATTATTTGGGTCCGGTCTTTCCAGAAATGATATTTCGGCATCCTAAAACGAGCACTTCCTTGACCGAATAATGATTGGTAGGAAATTAAAATTTTTATTATGGTGTTATAGTTCTTTTCGTATATATCCAAAACTATGAAAGTCATTTTATAATGGGAAATTCAAAATGTGGGGCTAACGATCCAAAATAAATAATTAGGTGCGTTCCAAATCCAATACTCGAAAAGTCCGAATTCGGACCGCGGTCCGCCAGTTGAGTAGCACTGATCTAGAACACCATTGTCGGTTAGGCTATATATTGTACTTGGAATTCCAGCTTTGAAACTATATTTTCAGCTTTTATTCAAGTACTCAGTTATGCTCGTCCCTGCCAGTGACTTAGTCAGATAGCACTTTACTTAGCAAAGTAATCAAAATTTCTTCATAAGAATAAATTCAGGAAATATTCAAAAGTATTTATTTCCGATTGGTAAGGAATAAAAATTTAGCTGCCTCGTTTTACTTGAACTTAAACACTTGGTTTAAAATTTTGACCCACTAGTTGATAATCTGTGTCGTCATTTCAAACCCAGAGACTCGTCAAACTTTCAATCTGAATAGCTCAAAAGTAAAACAGGAGTTTTTTTATTCTGTACCTTAGTTTGAAGCTTGTTGAATATACTGGGAATGATTATTTCTATTATTTTCTGATATTCTAGGAAGCTGTTACCAGCATAATCAAGAGAGATTCGTTTTGTGCATCAGAGCGTGCAATCTTCAAAGCTGTCGAAGCATGGTGGGAACAAAATGATTTGCCATCGGAAACAGAAATTGAAAAAACAAAGTAAATTTTATCAACATCTGGACCTTAGAGTTTGGGTTATTAGAATGACAAATGCTACAATTTTGTTTGCTCCGCTCTCATATCATGTTTATCATCTATCTATAACAATGTGGTCTTATTTCTGAATATTAAAAATAATAGGGTGGATTATTAATATAACAGCTGGCGAATCATGCTAAGCACAAGAAACATGTTCGCCCTCGCTCCTCTGATAATCCTGTGAGAATTTGCAGATTCGAATCTTGTCTTGGTTGAATGCGAAGATCGTTGGGTGGTTCACATAACCACTTGGTCATAGTCGGTTGGTTATGATTTCTCCCATCGTGAAGTCTATGCATCTGACATGGACTCGTAACTGGTCAAGAATCTGTGGTTTGCCAAATTATTGAGCCTTTTCTTTTCCCAGGAAAAAATTATTCATTTCGATATGGCTGTCAGATAACATTAGTTGCTATTCTGATTTCTGAATATATTTTTCACAGAAAAGAGACTTTAAGAAAAGAATTGCTTGGTGGTGTAAGACTATCTCTAATGTCGATACAAGAACTTCTGCACACAGTGAGACCGTCAGGATTGATATGTCCCAACACAATACTTGACGCTATTGAACGGCAATCAGAGCAAAACAACGTTGATCTCAATTACAGAGGAGTTCTATGTAAGTGTTACATCGGACTAGAATTAAAAATGCCTATAATGATTTAAAATAAGATTTGTGCTTTGAATGGCTATATTCACCAAGTCATATAATTTCTATAGTATAGTTGAATAGTGTTTTTCCAATTTTTTTGTTAGATGAAATAGCCGGATTATAGAAAACGTAAGTAACTCGATTTCGGGTTGTTTGAAATATGAAGATTATTATGCTGCATTATTTTTTGGGACTAACTTAATTGCAAAAATGTTTCAAACTATTTACTGGTTCTTCTTGAAACTTGTCAATAAAAGTGAATGTCCTAATATTGCATTTGTCGTAACGATCAATAAAATATTGATATTCAAGGTCCAGAAGAGAACATCGCTACAATGCAGCACGGCGCTCAAGTAATTAAAGGGGAAATGTGTGCAGCTTTGCTTGATGGTGACTCGACCAATTACGATATGGAGAGAGGATTTAGTCGTCATTCGATTGACGATGCTGTTGCTGGGAGTAAACAAGAAGCTGGTATTGTAGTCAAACTAGGAAGACCATGCATTATCAACCATATTCGTATGTTATTGTGGGACAAGGACATGAGGTTTGTTATAGATGTTTTATTCTCGATTGGGTCATTTAACAAAGATTATATATTTAAGTCAATGTATATTCTACGGCAGTGGTTTTCAAACGGTGGGGTGCGCGCCCCACAAGGAAGGGGGGAGATGTAGACAATTTCAGAGGGGACGAGAGGCTAATTAAAAATAAAAATATTTGTTAGATTTGATCTTGCCCGCATTATTTTGGATATTTCGTTTCTCCATTGTTTACATTTCTTAGAAAAGTACGGCTTAAAAAGTATGAGAATTACTGTTCTATGGATTTGAATTTGGAAATTTTGAAAGTTCCCTTACATTTTACAGTTTTCCAAAAACATTCCAATAGCTTTGTCATTTGAGGAGACTTCAATTGGTGAAAATTATAATTTTTCAAATGAAGCCATTCCAAATTTTTTTTAAATTAGGAATTTAAAAATGCAATTCATACGGTAATCAAATTTGAACCGAATTTAATCCATTTTGAATGGTCAAGGCACTATATACAAAGTTGCTTACACTTGTTTGTGTATTACACTGTTTACAGGTCATATTCTTACTACATTGAAGTGTCAATGAACGATGTTGATTGGGTTAGAGTTGTGGACTATTCAACATATCATTGTAGATCATGGCAATCGCTTTATTTTAGAAGAAGAGTGGTCAGGTTGGTATACAATAGCAGCATTGTTGCCAGTTCTTATGTCATTAGCCTCTACATTGTTGAGGAATTTTATATTTCACGATTTTTCTTTTGCCATGGATACTTGATATAATCCCAATCCTTACAAATAAAATACATTGGCTCGGCGGTGTGACTCATCGTGCTTAGCAGTAATGAGTTCGCTAGTTGGAATCCCATGCAGGGATAGTTAAGTGCGAGAGGATTGTTGGACTCTTCGCTGCCGCAAGGTAGTTCAAGTAACCGCAGGTCCGTTGCAGCTTCTCCACCATCAAGTCCATGCTTTCGAAAACAAATACCTAACTAATCCCATGCCCGACATGGAATGGTAACCAGACGAGAGGCGTGGTTTCAATGTTTGAGCCATTTCTCTCATGATAGTCTTTTTCACCTTGTACCCTTCTCAAGTTTATTCTTGATTCGTATGGAATTAAAGTTGAATTAATATTCCTAAATCACAGATACATTCGTATTGTTGGAACTCACAACACCGCTAATAAAGTGTTTCATGTTGTATCATTGGAAGCAATGTTTACAAGAAGCACCGAGATAATGGAAGATGGAATTATTGGTAACCAACTGTTGTCACTCTTTTTATAAATTCAACATGTGTGGTATATTTTTTTTCCAAATTTTGCTCCACTGTTGTACATGCTTGCTATCTCATCTCTGTGTTCGTTCAGAAGATTTGAATTTCACAGTGAAAATATTTCTGAAATGATTGATTAACTCATTGTCATTACTGGGTGTTTTATAAAGCAGTTGCTTGGTCCATGTCCATTCATCAGGAAAATTTCAGCTGGTATTTATATATTCATTCAAAACTGGTATGAGCCATATGAATTTACCATCCATCATATTTTCTTTCTATGAGTTAACACATAATATCAAATCGGTCTTAACAAAATGGTTCCTTTGTCAAGTTTGAATACAGTATTTTAGTAGAAAACCACTAGATTTCGGTTATTGTGGTCAATTAACTGTTTTTCTCAGGTTCTTTACTTAACTAATTGTTTCCATATACAGTTCCTCAATCAAACGTCGCCACTGCTTCAAAATGTGCAACGGTGATAGAGGGTGTCAGCAGAGATAGAAATGCTTTGTTGAATGGTGAGGTTGTTAATTATGACTGGGATTCTGGTTATACTTGCCACCAACTTGGTAACGGAGGAATTGTGATCCAACTCTCTCAACCTTATCAAATATCTACAATGAGGTTTGTGCAATGAATGCAATGAAAAAAAAACATTTTATATTTTATTATTCCGCCTCAATGATCTCTTATGTCCAAAATACGGACTTGAGTGTGTCCTGCTTCTAGGATTTTTAATATGGGATTCCCATCCTACATTATCTTGTTATATTCAACTTCTGTTGGGTATTCATTCCAGATTTTGTCTCGTCTTACATTTGATATGTACTGGCATTTTTCATTATAAAAATTGATGTATATGCAATATTACATTTTTTTATTGTGTCCTGATTTTTCATGATTTTCATTCTTCAGAATGTTGCTGTGGGATATAGATGACAGATGTTATGGATATTATGTTGATATTTCCACAAATCAAAAGAAATGGAAAAGAATTATTGATAACACTAAAAAAGAGTGCAGGTAACTTCGTGAAATTTTAATAATTTCATAGTTTTGAAATTTTACGTCAGGTATTCAACACAAAACAACCACCTGATTTTCAGATCGTGGCAAAGCTTGGTGATTCCTCGTCAGCCAGTGGTTTTTATTCGTATCATTGGAACAAACAATACTGCAAATGAAGTATTTCATTGTGTTCATTTTGAATGTCCCGACACAACGATATCCGTTTCTTTGCCTGATGCTAATGAGGTAAGTGAAAATACTCTAATACTTATAGATTGTTTGTTAGATTGAAGTCCTTGCTCTTGTTTTAATGAACACATCAATAAATTGGGTTGGATTTTCCAAAAATAGTTGCACTCAAAAGACGTCATTGGCTGCTTGTAACAGGGCCTTGTTTAGGGCGGAAGACATGAATGAGCGTCATATAGAAAAATGTTGTTTTATCATGATACTATGGTTATGATGAATTTTTTACATTCACCAAATTGTTTTAGAACAAAGTGGATGGTGCAGAAGATGGAGATATTAGTGCATTTGCAGATTTAGCAATCCTACAAAATTCTGGAGAAGATTTTGAATTTGCTGATGCTGAAACAAAATCACCAAATCAAATCGAGATACCTGATGATTATAATAGAACACAGAGATTTCAGGTAGTTTTACACTCATTCTTAACAGTGCAAGGTAAACTAATATGCTTGACAGTCTGAAACCCCCAAAATGGTTATATTTGATTTGATGCACCCTGATGTATTTGTATTTCATGGGATGGTGAACATGGTTTGCTAAACATAGATATGAACTTCGAAAAAACAATATGTTTGTCACCAATCTTCTAAAGTCTCACTCAATGTTAAGTTGGGCTTGCTATAGGGGCCACCTATTTTCCCACAATTTGATGGAATCGATAATATAAAAGTTACATTTTGGGAAAAATGCGGACAATAATATTGCAGTTTGGTTTTGATTTAGACCTAAGGAATATCTCTTCTCCCTATTTTGGGCTGTAGTGAATACAGCTGTAGTGCTAACTTATTTCTTATTTTCTGCCTACAGCTATAGAAATGTTCTTTGTATTTTCAGAACAACAACCCATCAGGTGAAGGAAGAAGAACAATGCGACATTCCCGTGGTTCCTTATTTAATCAGAATTCACAATCTAAAACATAATCAGAACTCGTATTATCCATGACAATCAACATACCTGTTACCATTATTAGATATATTTGTATATATTGTACATAATATATCAACTTTATATTCTCTTTGTTGAATCAGATGTAACGTATTGAGTGTTGAACTACTTGTTTTAAATACATCTTCTATCACATTGTAATTGTTTATCACATGGTGACACGTTTGATATGAGTTTCTTCCAATTCACAGTGTGTTGTTCCACTGATTGTCCATAAAAAATTAGATGCATTTAGTTTTCTACTGCCCTTTTCCCTCGTTCGATTGATAAAATAAAAATGAGCTGTATAATATGCTCTACTTAAAAAGTAATAACAATATTTGTTGCCTCTAAAAATTGTAAATTTTGCCTTTAACTCGCAATTGAGAAAATGGTTTAGTCTTTTTGCTGTTTGAGCGAATATCTTCTCAAATGTTATTTTTAAGTAAGTAAAGAACTAGTTTGATGACTGTTATGTTAACTGAGTCCTGAGACGAAATCATAACCCCATTAGTTTTAAAACCCATTATTTAGTGTTGCCATTATTATAGTTTAAATTCCTTATATCCATGCATCGCATTTGTAATGCAATTACACTAACCTAAAGTATTAGTTGATGAGCTTATTTTGAATCAATAAACTTTGAAATTGGAAGCATTGGTAATATAACTAACAATTGTAATAACAAGTTTAGGCATTTTGTATGAAAGATAATGGAGGCTGCCAAAATTAAAAGCTGTTAGTTCATTTTTATTGAATTCCAAAATCTATTTCTCGATATTGAGTTTTTCAATTGTCTATTTTCCAGCTTTCGTTGTCTAATTCATCTTGTCAGAATATGTAGGTTTGTTTCGCGATCAGAGACCCATAGCTGTTCGTTTCCGAGATCTTAGTGTATAATTTCTTACATTATACATTACGCGGTACATTATACATCGTACTTGATATTATCAAGTGCATCGTTTGAGGTTGAGACCGAAATTGAAAATGTGAGCGGTACCCGTTATTGATATCGGGGCCATTCGAGAAACTTCGTTGGAATCCCAGATTTGATTTTTTTAGCGCGAAGAAATGTAATACACTCGAGCGCAAACGTTATGCTTCAAAGTATGCATGTTGCGCGCGCTATATACATAGAACTCGAGTTCACAAATCCCATAACGCAGAAGATTGAATTTCGTGAACCATGAAGGACTAAAATTGCTCTTCGTTAGTTAGGACGAAGCCTGATCGAAAAATCCTCAATTTGCATAGGATTAGCGCGACTCTTCGTTTTATTTGTGATTATTCGCTAACGTGAACTCGTCACTGATAGCTTTTACTAGCTGAATTGCAAAGCAACTATCATCGGGATATGCATGTATATATAACATGAAGGGCTATTACTTTGATTCGATAAGCAGTATTCATTTATACATATGCTTGCTTGGCTGTTCTGAAGGCGTGCGATAAAGTGTCGAAATATGAATCGTTTAGCGTTAATAATTAATTCGAATTTACGTCACTCGTATGTTTGAGCAAGAAATTAATTAGTGATTGCAATGCAGAATGCAATTTGAATCAGTGTTAATCTGGGTTTGTGTTGAAGTAAAGATGTGCAGTATACAGTCGCTAAAGGAATAAGTTTTGTTTGATATTTATTTGACTCTGCGCAGAACATGGACGACCCACAACATCGCGGGAAACTTTTATTTGCTTTGGCTGCTTTTCTTATGTTCTGCCTTGGTAAATTTATGCCAATAAAGAGTAAGTTTATGCATATCTGTTTGGTGGACTAGAGTTGAATAAATTCTGACATTCAGTATGTTAGTCGTTGGTCACGATGTATTCGTATTGTCGGATCGAAATTAGATTTTCATCAATTTATAAAATTAAGAATTGCGAGAGATTATTTTTCCGCAACCAGAAAACAATATGAATACAATAAAACACAATTTATAATCGAAAAGTTTTCAGTATATATAGTCTGGGTGGTGACCATGCGATCATCAGGTTCACTCATTACCGGTAGGAGATATATAATTGAAAAGAGTAGTCACATATATATACTTATATATATTCATTTCAAAATACAGCTTGTCAAAATGATGTAATAAATGCAGTCACACAACCCAACTGTTCAGAAGCATATCCATCTGATATTCATGCATATCGTGCATGCATGTCGGCATTTGCATTGCAGCACAACTGGTATCCTTCTCCAATTGCTGGCAAGTATACATTAGTAATATATATATCTAGTGACCCAAACAATATAAAGTTGGTTATTACCTTAGGACTTAGACGCCAGTTGACGATCAAAAGAACTCGTTGTAACCGGTAACCATCTAAAAACGGTTTACCGGTTGACCATTCCCAACCCTAGTTATGACAAAAATCGAATTACTTCCCTGTTATTCAATGCCGAAAGGTATGAGAATATACGTACGTATATATATATATACGTATGACTTTTATGTTTATTATTTTTTCTGTACTATGATATATCACTGTATACGACAGCTTACTCTGAAATCGGTAATCGAATTGGTAATTCGATTCGCTTTATTACTTATCGATTTTAATCGGAAAGTATGTTGATAGGTATTTGTCTGTCTGTATGTCTGTTTGTCTGTTAGATGCACGCGATATCTCACGAAAGCGAGTTTGAATCTGCTCTGAATTGAATCTTGGATGTGCATTCATCTTATCTCTGACCAGCAGCCTACTGATTTTGGGCGAGTTATGTCGTATAATTAGCGAGTTATTAATTAATCAGTGATGGAACACAAGGTGTCACTATGGAGTAAGAGCGCTGTTTTGGGGAATCCCCTAACTTTCGATCGATAAGTCTTCGGTCTCTGACCGATATTCTCGTTTATAGGCTTGTTCAGTTATCCAGTGTGGAACGGATTTGATGGTTTTTGGCAAGATGGTGCTGCGCTTGAAACGCTTGCAAATTTCATGTGGTATGGAAACAATACAATGTAAGTATATATATATAATATTACTGACCTACCTTCATCAAACAGAAGTATTCTATAATGATTGCGTTTACTATTTTAGTTTTAGACACTCAAAACACATCACAAGTAAATCTGAAAAGAGCATGCCTTTTTGTGAATTTCTCAGTAATTCATGAACCGCGAGTTAAAACTGGCCCTCAAGTTAAATGACTGAACAGTCGTGGTGGAATTCCAATTTTTACGCTTTGCGCCATAGATGAGTGTGTATAGATAATTTGACTCAAGTATTCTTGGTTTTCGCGGTGCGCTGAACAGACATTAGACTGAACCACGCAAATAACAGAATCATCAAGTTTGGTTGATTTCAATTGCATTGTCTGTTCACATTACTATTATGTTTCTACTCAGGTACAAGTCCGTTATCACAGCCTCTATCCGCGATCTTTGGTCTCTGTTAGTAGCTTACGGACCTCAGCCTTCGTATGATGATATGGGATGGTATGCTATCAGCTATCTCCGAATACACGAAGTAAGATTGATTTAATGAGTTCAATGATTCAATTACTTAGGTTACAACTTATACACTCACGTTTCTATCTATCCAACAAAATCAGGTTTTAGGTCCTGCAGATGATGATCCAACGTCATACAACAACTTTTTTGGAGAAACAATACAAATTTATAATTGGATTTGGGAATATGGATGGGATGAATACGGGGAATGTGGTGGAGGATTTTGGTTTGATCAGGTTGGTTAGCTTGATAACAATCCAATAATAATTAATTAAATCAGTGACCTATTCAAGATAACCGACCACTTGAGCGTTCTTTTTGTTTGAATTCTAAATGAGTAATTTCGTCTTTAACCAAAACCTGTAAATATATTAATCGCTTTAAAAAATGCAATGACTACTACCATCAATAGTATTGGAATATTGAAAGTATTTTGTGATTAATCTTTTGAGTATATATATGCTGAATATTTTGGGTATCAAACAAACGCACATTTAGAAATTATGTTTTGATGTCCGTTCGATGTCCGCCTTTTTTCCCATTCGAATAGATTTGAAACAATTTAGCAAATAATTGTTGACCATCAACTGGCCACTCTAACTTTGTTCCCTTAATTTATGATAACATTTTCTTAAACCCGTGTCATATTTTAAATTGACTCATATTTCATGTTTCTTCAGACGTTGGGATCGAAACAAACTGTTGAAAACGCCCAAATGTTGTTTCTGGCGGCAAAATTACACCGAATTACTGGAAATGACAGCTTTGCTAATCAAACTGAAACAATTTGGAAGGTAATTAGGCAAATGAAACAGAATTGTTAGCGAGTACTTTTTTAGTTTATGTTAAACCCGAACTATACCAAAAGGTTGCCTGGCCTATCTATATTTAACAGTTTACTATAAGAATACAAATAGAGAGTATCTAATATACTAATTTACTTTCTACTGCTCACAGTAACTGAAAACGCCTAACAAATACAATTGCATCAAGAGCAAAACACAAATGATCAAACATATGAACACGCGATACTCCCGTAGTATATATGTGTATCAGGTCAGTGGCGTAGCAAGACTCTCGTGGCCCCCCCCCCCCCCCCCCGCAAAAATATTTTGTGGAAATGACCCTGAAAACTCTCGGACATAAGCTAAAACAACGCTTTTTTTTATTTTGTTAAAAAGCGTAACATGTCGCTATTGAAAGGCGATGGTAATCTAAAATTTGCCGTTTATCTTGGTTACTTTAATTTTTTTCATACGTGCTCCCTCTTCTGTCCGTTTTCTGCGTTTCTGTGCGCCACTGAGAGGTTTTGCTTTCGACATCATTCTGACAGCCTTCGTAATTTTGCCGGTGCGATCAAACCACAAGACGCCGAAAATCGGCGACTGCCTGGCATTGTTACGTAACAAAACGATTTGAGCAGAACTAACATCAACGTTATAAGATGTGCATTACTGGATTTGCGATGCAGCTTTTGGTTTTGCGGCTTAAATTTCTAAATTATAACCGCTTGGGCCCCTTTGCGCTGTGGGCCCTCCCGCGACTGCGGGGGTTGCGGGGGTGGATGCTACGCCACTGTATCAGGTTAGAGTTGGGCCATAATTTGATTCTGATTTTCCTTATTTTAATTCAATTATGAGTTCGGGGACTGTCTGTGTTAGCCAAGTGAATATACCCCATGTCCATAGGTTCTGGAGCGTCAAACACGCAGTCAATGTTGGTAGACCACCCTCACGTAACCATGCAACGAACTTGCTTAAAAATTAAAATAACATACTGAAAAATCCTATGGTATCCTGTTTCTTTCAAATATTGAGATTAATAGAGGAAATAATAAAAATAATTATGTTTATGCGGTTATGAATATAGTTTGAACATTTTTGCTACTGGACACTTGAAAGTAATATTCTCCTAGCATCAATTAAGCACAATCCAGGAGTACACCCTGTGTACAAAAAGACAATTGTATAAACACAAATAAAATTTAAAACATCTCTTCAGTTCATTGACGACAATAATATAATCAACAATGTGACATTCCTGGTAGCAGATGGAATAAACCTAACTACGTGTGGCAGCGATGAAGTTTACGGACCTTCCTACAACATGGGACTGATGATAAGTATGTTAATATATACCCAATGAAGCTATAAGGCTATGTAAGCGCGTTGATATAGTAATCTAATTAACCGGTTAAATTTTTTTAACTTAAAATCCAATCACATTCAATTTTCGAATTCTATCAAAGAGTAAATTGTACCGTTTTATTTCTACAACTTTTTCAAAAGGGGAGATTCATATTGCTTGTTGAACATCTGTATTTATGCTTGTTGAATTCATGAACAAATATTTTTATACAAATATAGAAATCATTTTTCCCCAACATTTTTCATACTTGGAAATATCGGCAGAATAGGACTTATAAAAGACAACCAACGTCTTCTCATTAAAAATTCTTTCATTTCCACCCTTGAATTGTCAGATGTAGGCTTATCACAAATATGTTTTGGTAATATTTGAGATATCTTTTTTGTTGTACATTATAGGTGCTTTGGTTGAAGCTGGTCCAGTACTTAATCGAACTGATGAATTTTTAAATATTGCTCATAGCATCGCATTTGCTGCGATAAAGTTATTAACAAAGTAAGTCAAATTAGATGAAACATGCGAATTTCAAGTGACATTGCAATTTCTTGTGGACTATTGCTTTTTGTATGTGATAGTAACATATGAGTACTGTACTGTATTATTAATGTTTTCCACTATTGTAAGATTTATTAATTTTTTGAAAAGCCATAGAGCAACAATTTAAAATGATACATGCATAGATCTAAACGTGAAATTATAAGGTTTACTGCTTTGTTCTAATTCAAAATTAGAAATGGGACCCTGGTTGAATACTGCACACCAACTTGTGACGACGATGCAAAACTGTTTAAGGGAATCTTTCTACGAAATCTTCGGTACTTACTTGACTACATGGACCAGAATCCTAGAAAAGGGGACGTTTTCAGAAAGGGAGAATACATAAGTTACTTACGTAACAACAGCGACACTGTATGGAAGTATGTTTAGGTTAACAGCTATAATATATACCCGAGCTATTTGTCAAGCGAGACTTTTCTGGTTGGGTTTTGGGATTGGGTGGGGAATCAGAGCAAACTTAATTGCCAAAGCATGATTACAGATCATCGATTTTGTATAACAGACCCATACGCGCCATGAAAACTATATTTAATCCACCGAATTACAACTTTTGAACCATAGCTTGTGTTTTCGTCGTAAATTCAATATTTTAAGCTGATCAACATACAGTTTTTGTGAAATTTGCATTCATGATATACAGATAAATATATTTTTTTTAAATTTGCCTGATATAGTTTTAACGTTCTCATAAATTTGCCCAAATTTATTTCAAAAAATACGAAAGCAGTTGAGAAAATGGTGTTATTCCTCTGTGAGTCGGAGTGCATAGAAAATTTATTTATTGGTTAATATGTTCTTTGCAATCATTACCTCAAAACATATTTAACACAACATTTGATATTGTTTCTGAACCAGGTCTGATCGTTGCGAGCCGTTGAATGAAAAATGCGATGTGATGTTCACGGATGGACCTTCACTGAATGACGTAACAGTTGGGCCGGTAAAATATATTTTTATTTGAATGAACTAGTCACGACTACATCGAGAAAACATCTATATCTTCAATATTTTTTATATATTCAATGTTTCAGGTTTTTAGCAAAGACTTTAGAGGACCGTACAATATATCTAACCCAATAACTCAAACGGCAGTTTTGGATTTATTCGTTTCCAGCATAAATTCGGAGACCAAATGTGCAGGTAAAGACTGTGGTTTCGACCCACCACAACCTACACCAAAGCCACTTACTTGTAAAAATAACCCATGTCCGCCAAATCAACCATGCTGTGCCTATTCCGACTATTATACTTGCTGTGAACCATCACAAAAATGTGTGGCTGGATATTGTGTATAAATCAAAACGACAATTCCTCAACAAAATGGAATATTATTTTAGCATTGAATGAGTAATTTGATACTTATTATATCTTAAAAAACCACAAACATATCTATCGTGCAATAAAGACTTGATTAAACTATCTGTTAGGAGATTTCAGGAAGAAGATATTGTTCACTTATTTATGATATATTTTGGTCAAAAATTCCCAGATATTTTCATATTACTTATAGTTATACTTATGCATGTTCTCACCTTTCACTGTATATCAATGTACTATTTTTGTCGGTTTTGTATATAAATATATATTTCAATAAATGAGTTTGACGCAGTAGAAACAAATATCAGCATGTTTGCACCATTGCTACAACGTTACTTCGTATACAAGATTTGTTGGAAGTACAGTATAAGATTTTAAAAAAACGTGCAGTCCGGAATAAGCTTCTATCAGGCTGCCGACTGCTAAAATCAATTTTGCAATTGAGAGAAATTGAATTTCATGACGGCGACTTTATTGCGTAATGCTTACTTCTCGGCAACGAATCATCCATTTTCTAGTTTTGAATTTATTTTGTAACGCTTTGCATAGGTAAAGTTATTGAAGCCGAAACAGCGCATTTACTAGATAGAAAATCTGCCATAATTTAGTCTAATAACATATCTTTAAATTGATACAATCTTTCCCGGACAAAATCATAAAGTTCGTATTCAAGACTTAGGCATGTTTCAGTCCTGAGAAAAATTTTCGCTGCCTCAGAAGTCTCTCTCTTATTTCTTGTATATGTTTCATTCCTGACTTTCATAGTCTTCTGCAAATAATAAATATATACATTAGACATACATGAAAAGAATAAAATAACACAAAAAACGACTAGATGACTGCAATTAAATAAGTAACTAATCTTTGACTGATAGAGTGGATTTTCATTGTTTATGGCGAGGAATTTGAACCTACTAAAGTACATTTTGTGTGTATTATTCTTCAAGTGTTCGATAAAACATTTTATATGACCACAAAATGCTTAAAAATCTTTCCCGGAACATACTGACGCTCCCAATTGGCAATCATCATCGATAATTCTCTTAAAGTTCAATAGATATACAAAAGGAAACAGAGAAAACATGTTAGCATTAAGTGATTTTAGTGAATAAAAAATGATAACATAAATAGAGTGATTTTTACCTGACTTTTCATAGACTGAGCAGCATTTTTAAAATACCGTGGAATGAGATGTTCAAGTATTTTTAAGCTGTCATCAAGATCCTCTAAGGTCCCAACAAATACGTAATGATTTTTAATATTTTCTTTGGCTCTATCCAGTGCCCAGCGCGATCTACTCCTTTGAATATAAAATGAAACGATTGATGAAAATGATAAATGAAATATCTTTGCATTTTAATTGCGTCAATTTTTTTTCGGTTGGGATCCTAATAACTTGAGACTTACTAGACCACCCATACTGGACTTTCGTGGCGAAACTCCACATAAAATTATCAAAGCTGTGATTTGTGAATAATTTTGAAAATTTATCTCAGTGTAACTTACATGCATCCTGGTTCCTGTCCACAGAAATAAGGTACAACTTGCCAATACGGCTTTGTGCATTCTTGTCGTCTCTTTTGTACACATTCGTCAATTGTCTGAATGAATTATTGAAAACAAATATTACTGCTATGTCCTATATATAAAATTATAGTAACAAAACGGATAACAATGTTAGCATAGCAGAATCAAGAATTCGGATCCGGGCCTTGCATAACACCTAACACTGGTGGTAATAAAAATAGGTAAGCAATGAAAGCTTATTGTGTATCAGTAGCTACTCTTCTAGAACTTGTCTAGGACCTTCCTAGGAGAGACGGCGCAAAAACGTGAATCCGAAGACAGGGTTACTCGTGGTTTATCCAAAATAAGTCACATAGTTTTGGGAATGAGCCACGATGCTATTTCGTCCGATTAAAGCAATGGCATCGCATAATTGAACGAATAATTAATTACCTCTTGAGTTTTTTGATCACCAAGTTTAGCACCACCCCCACCACGTTGATTGCCGAATCGTGAGAAATAATAAAATGATTCAAATCTGGCAATTGGATCACGAATCATGTTGATGTAAATTGGCTGTTTCTCGCCAAAGCTTGAAATGAGAAAGAGAAAATTATTAGAAAAAAAAGAATGATTAGAAATTCAGTGAATCAGTGAATGAATGAAGAACAATAACGAGAAGATATCTTACTTTTCAAAATCAATGAAATATTGATGTCGAATATACATGAACGGATGTGTTTGTGAATGCAGATATTTAATAAATTCCATTTGTTCTTCACCAGACTTGTTTGGTTTTTCTCCATCTTCATACGGACTTGCAACCTTGAAACCATTTTGCGCTCCCAAGCTGTAACTAGCACTTGTCAACGACATACTGCCACATTTTGGTACTCGATTAAAAATTAAGTATCGATCGTCATAGTTTTTCTGTAACGATAGTCAGTCGAGTCATGTATACAATTTTACAGAGAACAGAAAGGCGCTAATCACAAACTAATACATTCTTTGGAAAATGAACTGCCTTGGGGATTGCCAGTTCTAGAAAATTGTCTGAAATTGATTGTACTTTCATGTTCCCAAGTTAGACATATAAAAGCTATCTAGATCTTGAGATCGGTATTATTGCGATCGATATTTGTATAGTATTAAATGGTGGTTCTTGTGGAACATTTTTGGTTCAAAATATACCGAGTGTATCGTCTGCTACCGTTGTTGAAGCTTTACCATTTAATTCATTTACTATTTTTAAATAATAAAAAAAATAGAACCATAATATACCTTGAATACATTTTAAAAAAAAAAAATTTCTTTCAAATTTAAAAATAAAATTCTGAAACTTTGGAACATGAAATTTTTGCATCAAAATTATACGCTTGAGTTTGAAACCGCATGCAATGAGTTTCAGAGTATTCTATCATATGCGGGCTTAAAATTCAGCTCACCTTTATGACTAAAGATTGAATGTTTGCAGAAGAAAAATGCTTTCCTGATCTTGGAAGATTTCCCATTCTTGCCGAAGTAAAACGATGACCATTGTTCATGAACATCAGCATCATGAATACAGATATAATGACCAAGTATAAAAGCCTTCGCTTGATAAATCTTCTCTTCAGAAACATTTCCAGTCACGACGTACAGTATGATAAAAATAAGTTCTGTAAAGTTGAAAATATGGTGATGAATATATTCAATTTCTATTTTTACTTCAGTACGGTGAGATAGATACTTTTCGTTAATTTGATGAAAACCAAATTCTAGTCGAAAACATTGGAAAAAGCAGACAAGTCACTTTCCTGTTGGAATGAGATCATTTCAATGACAATTGTTATCAACCATAATTGTTAAATTACTTGGACGATCTTGTTAGGCCATTTTAGAATTATAAGCTGGGAAACTGGATAGCAGGCCTAAAATATGACGTACTTCAACGAATTCATAATCGTAAGTTCCATCTGCAACGAAACTATCTGTCGAGGGCTCGGAAAACGTGTTTATCAATTCCAAACTCAAGTTGGTACCTGCCTTGAAGCCGACCTACTCAGACTAGCCGTACCTGTTTTTGTCATAGAAGAAATATATTTCAATGAAAACGGTCTTGATGAGTACTAATAAAATTCAATACTGTTCCAAGTCTAACTGATCACTGAACGCTGAAACCATACAACCTTATCGTTCTACTAGCGATAAAGAGGGTATTGAAATCCCGAGAATTATCGCGTTAACAAATTATCTCACAAACAGATTCAAAACTCGGGGTTCCGTCACGTTACCACGACTACAATACCTGTTATTACCATCCCTAACTATAGAAAACGCCGAGGAAAATCGTACGCGGAAATCTTCGCCGTCAGCGAGACACACAATTAACATTGCCCGAGGCACAAGAGGTTGTTTAGATATCAGAAAAGTTCGCCCGCGCGTGAAGTAAGTTCGAAATACTTCACGAAATAAGTGCTGGATTCGAATAGAATTAAGCCGACCATGTAGTGTGTGCTCTTAGGTTACGAATTGTCTAATTTTAAAGTGATATAAACCATTATTATTCAGTGGATTTTAAATGTATTGCATTTGTGATCAAACAGTTTATGCATACTAAGGCTAGAAACAAGTCAAGAAACTAGTTTAAGTTATTCTCACTTGATAATAGAACTGACTCGGGAAAAAGACCGGAATCATTTGATTTGAAGAACAAAGTATATTTATGTCGTTTACCATTTCTGACTTGAGTACACCAAAGTCAAATCAGTCAATTTTCGAAATCTAAGAGTAGGTCTGTCGCGATACTTTCATATAACCATACATGTTAGAATGTGGAGAATATTTGTAACTGAAGTCTGACTTTGTCAATGTTATTTGTATAAATGTCATTATTCCATTTTTTCAGCAAGTATGGCGATAAGTTTATGCTTCGCTGCAAGATAAAACAATTGAAATTGGAATAGTATATATTGATGGCACCATTGGTTTTGAAATTGATAAGAAATGTTTCACTTGTTGCAGCCGTTCTTCTCACTGTTTACGTCGTTTATATCCCGAGGTAAGTAGGCTGACGTTGCTCGACATTTTTAAATACGTTTTCCGACCCAATCGGTATGAATATTAGGGTGAATCGTCTGACACAGGTACTTCGTACTGTAAGTCACACTTCTTAAGTCATGACTTACAAGAGGGCATCAATGCACAATGTGAAAATCAGTCGTGAAATTTGTAAATTGAAAGATCTCAAAATAACCTTTCATAAACATTCTCTAAGGTCGGTGCGGCTCCTTGTATGCAATGTGGATTTTCTAAATAAGGTGCCAATGAGCGCACTATATACAAAAAATTCTTATGATCACTCTCAAGTAACCTTCCATGACACAGCGTTATTACGCAGAAATTTTAGTTGAAATTGAAATCTCATTCTTACAGTAATCACAAATTTCAATGTTTTAGAAGTGCTGAGAAGGGAAATTCTAACTTAATATTCTTCATTTTGCAGGGAAGAAATACCAGAAAGTCAAAACGACGACACCTTGCCAATATTCTCACAAGATGCGATGCACCTCGTAGTTGTTGCATGTAAAGGAAGCAAACAAATCGTTCAAGAAACGTTGACGATGCTAAAAAGTGCCGTCGTCTTTGCGCAAACTCAAGTTGAAGTTCATTTATTTACGGATGAATTAAAACAAAATATTGATAACGAGGTTTGTCACTTTAAATGCTGGGGTTTAATGTACATCTGAACTTGGCTAAAAATCTTCCCCGTCATTTTATATTACATTCGAATACGTGTTTTAGGTAGAACTACATAAATTTTGATTTAGTAATATTATTTCCTATGAACCCCCATTGCTGCGTAAATATTAAAAGTACATGTATCTTCTCACAGCTTTCAAAATGGCCACGCAAGACAAAGAACAAGATTAATATTCATTTTTATCCAGTAAAGTATCCTCTCAATCCTGATGAAGTTTCTCTTCTGAAAAATTGGTGGGGACCTTGTGCTTCCTTTCGATTATTTTTACCGGTGAGTAATTAACCGCTGTTACAGTTGAGAATATCAATAATAAAACCTCAGTGGTCACTGTCATGTATTTGGCTAGCTCAAATTTTGTTGTTCAATTTTTAAACATACCGACATCAGATGATGATTTCACTGGGCCATTTATGTTGCCGAAAACGGCGAAGTGTGTGTACCAATATGGAGGTAACTAATTTTGTTCGCCTACTTTACATGAAGTTGGGTAAAGGGACTGAAGCCTTTTGGCAGGGGGTATATTCACTTCACAAAATTATGGCCTAACCCTAACCTGGTACATACACTACGGGAGTACCCCAAAAACAATAAACGGTTACTACTGGTATTTTTGCACACGGTATCTAACAATGAGAATTTCGTATGGTCCGCCTGACATTTCATTGAATTATGTGGCCCAATAAACATAGGATATATATTCTCCGATACCCATTTCTCATCTAAATTTTGTGCACTGAATTTTTAAAATTATTTCAGGAGATTCTTTACAACGTTGACTCGGTCATCTACGTTGATACTGACGTTATATTTTTAAGTGCAATCGATGATCTTTGGAACCAAATGAAATTCTTTAAAGACGAGCAAGTTGGAGCACTCGCACCCAGAGTTGGATGGGATTTCATGGTTCCTTCTTCAAATCCGAACTTTATATTGACGCCCGAGGGGAAATTAACCCAAGTTAATTCAGGGGTAGGTAATACGTACTAAACAGTATTTTCTTTCTGGTCCTGCTTTGGTACTCCTGAAGAATGCGAACCAAAATGGCGGACGCCGGAACGTAGTATGTGTACCAGGTTAGGGTTAGGCCATACTTTTACGTACAAATACTACGGGAGTCACTTGGCTAGTCCCCAAACTCGTAATAGAACAAAAATAAGGGAAATTGGAATCAAATTATGGCCTAGCCCTAACCTGGTACACGTAATACGTTCCGATGCCCGCCATCTTAATACGCATACTTCAGGAGTACCCTTGCTTTTTCATATGACCAACACATATTGACAGTCAAAAATGATCTATAAATTGGAAAGTCATTTACCGCGTCATTTGACAAATTCGCTTTTTAAAACTGAATGCGTTTTCAGGTTTTTCTGATGAATCTCACTCGTATGCGGGAAAGAAGATTTAACACAGATCCGTCGATTTCTGGTGATACATTTTCGTGGAATCAGGATTTACTATTACCTCTTTATCACAAATATAAAGCAGAAATGAACGGAGATCAGAATCTCATCAATATACTATTTCATTATAATCCTGGTGAGATTTTTAATGTGCAACGTCGCTCTACTCCACAAGGTACCCTACGCCAAGGATCGGCAACCTAAGGCCCGCGGGCCAGATCCGGTCCGTGGAGTAAAATAATCAGGCCCGCGACGCTTCACTGAATTATAGCGACAAAACGGCCGTTTTCAAGATTATATTCTATACGCAACAGAATTTATTGTGAGACACGTGTACCTTTCAATGAGCTTACAATGTAATTATAACTAGACAAACGTCAACAAAACGCAGAAAAGTTGATTCCCGGTGCAGCGGGTTCGATGGCGCAGAAAATATTTGATGCAATGAGGAAATAAAATCTATGTTCTATTCGAGAGATGTATCCTTGCTCGATTTTTACAAAAAGTATCTTATTGAAGGAAAACTCTATCCAAATTTGACAAACCATGCGAAAAAATTCACATCTATGTTTGGAAACACATATGCATGCGAACAATTATTTTCGAAAATGAACATCACAAAGAACAAGCTGAGAACTCTGATTAGTGATGCCCATTTAGAAAATATTTTAATCTTGGCTTCATCCAGCATGCTGTCTGATGCCGAGAAGCTATCAAACGTGATGCAACAAAAAGTGTCACATTAAATGTCTTTGTAATTGTATTAATTAAGAAGGCTAAGTTGAGTTCACGAGTTGTTGCAGTCTTCTTAATTTCAACTTCTGATCTGTGTAAATAAATTGTGCCTCATTCGCCATCTGTTCGGTTTTTAACTTTCTGAAAATATGTGTGGCCCGTCAAGACTTGCAACCCCTAATTTTGGCCCGCAAGCGACAAAAGGTTGCCGATCCCTGCCTTACGACTTTATTGATCCGTTTAAATGGGTTTACCATCACTTAATCCCAGAAACTTAGGTATCAACATAGTTGCCAACGCGCGATTAGCGAAGCTATCGATTCACAGAAGTATTTCATCATTGTCAAATATTATGAGGTAGGTCTCCACGATGTAAAATTTCCGAATAAAATATAAATTATTTAATGAAACTCCATCTTTTCCAGATTAGTTTTTTATGTCGAGTTCAGTGTTCTGTATAAACTAATGCTATATGCTAGGTGTATTAAAAATATTATTTTAGTCCTGTCTTCAGTAATTACACTGATTATGTCATGTTTTAACATAAATGCGTTGTGTTTGATAATAACTCATGATACAATTCACAAACTCGAATTATGTTTTGAATTGCAGATCTCTTATATTACCTGCCATGTAAATTTAACTATCATCACAAGTTTTGCTTCAAGAATGATCGTCCAGGACGATCATGTCTTTCTGCCGAAACAGAAGGAGCTTTTGTAATTCATGGAAGTGCAAACACATATTACAATAATTATTCACCTGCATTTGGTGCGATAAACAATGCGTTTAGACAGGTAAGTGGCATTGTACTTTTATCAGATATACACGTGACAAAATATACTCACAGCTCAAATCATTGATATATAAATCGGCTACGTCGTTCAGTTGTAAATGTTTTATCGAATTTATTTGCACCGGCAATGTAGTTACAACTTTATCTTATTTGCAGTATAATTTTGAAAATGATTTAACGTCGAGTTTACTTCAACCAATGATAAACAACCTACAGCAACCAGAAGTTGAGAATCATGAACACTGTGGAGGCAAAACTGAATTATTTACAAAACATATTCGAAACATCATTGAAAGAACAAAGCTAAGCTGATATCAGTAAGATAAATCGGTCCTCCCGAAGTATGCGCACCAAGTTGGCAGCAAAGTTGTCAACGATATCATCATTTCAAAAACGAAAATTTCGAAACAGCAGTGAAAAGAACGTATTTTTCTTGGTTGGAAATGTGAATTAAAATGTTTGATACTTAGATTTTTTACGATTGTAAATTTATTTACTAATAACTTTGCGTTGTATCAGGCCAAGAATTTTCGTAAACTACAGTTTTTTTGTCATTTTATATTCTTCTTTTGTGATATATTTAACTTGGTTTTATACCTGAATTTTGTACCAACTTCCTATATCTTGTTTCATTTATTTTGATTGAAAATATTTGTCTATTTTAAATTACACTTCAACTCAAAATCGATTGATAAAATTCGAATGATGCACTACAGCTAATGATTGGCAGACAGACAGTGTAGTTTATAATATCAGTCAAACCAAATTCTTGTTGAAAGCACCACAGGCTGACCAGCTTCAAGTAGATATATTGCAAGTGTTTCTCTCTTATTGTCTACGAAATATATAATCTTCTTATTTTCTACACATTTCGACAAATTGTTCGGGGTATCGGTATTTTATAATCGGGAGGTATAAGATGTATAGGCTTAAAACATAATCTTCCCAGCCGATAAAAAGATTCAATAACAAGGCAGGCTTGCAGGATGGGAATTCCTTGCAATTTTGTGTAACTGTCCGCTGTGTATTGTTTAATTAAGCTAAAACGAATGATCGTATTAACATACCATATGTGACAGGATCCAATGCAAGCAGCAGAATCTTATGAATTCGAAGAGAATGCTTATTATATGCATGTCTCATATATATATATGAGTTATTTAAAGCTAAATTATAAATATTTAAATAAGTGATTGCAAATTTTATGCAAATTTTGAATATAAATATGATATAAAAGTGGCCGTTTCTCAAAATAACATGAATATTTAATCCACCGACATAAGACATTGTGTGAGTTGCAAATCTTATTTTGCTTGGTAAATGGATTTAGACCAATGTTTCATTTTATTTAACATTGACAGCACAAAGATACGGTTTAAAATTGATAACAAACAACATTAGAATGTTTAATACAAACTATTCCAAGATGTTATTGATAAAGTGCATATACGCCAAGCGCAATTGTCATATAATTTACTCTTCTAGGAAAAAACGCGAATAGATGAATATTCAACTCACTGTACTCTTCATTTAAAATGACGTAAATTTTCCAAAATTTTGGAAAACAACAATTTCCATCAATGGCCGTCACATAAGCTCGATAAAATGATGTTCAAAAACCTTGGACGTATAGTAAAATTTTATTGAAAAAATATTATTTGTAATCTAATTGATGTCATTCAGCTTATAAATATTGTACACTGCAAAAAGTTCAAAAATACAGAAAAGCTAAATTTGATTTGTAGTTGAATTTGTCTAGTCAAGTGGACTTGTTGTAAAATCACGTGACGCCGTTGCTTTGTATAGTATACGAGCCGCCGTAAGTCGATTGCGGGATCTATTGAAGACTAATTATCGAGCCTATATGCTTGTGAAATTTCATTTTAATTCTAGAATTCCAAAACTGGAGAACAGAACAAAAGTTGTGTTACATTGAGTTGCTATATACCCTATACTATACCCTAATGCAGGCCTGCACAACATACGGCCCGCGGGCAGCATGCGTCCCGCTAGATACTCCTGTGCGGCCCGCGAGTGATTTGGAAACACACCACTTTTCGGGTCTAACCAGCAAAGCCGGCATTGTTACGCAAGCGCGCCGCTACCCCGATCACATTCAAAATCGAGAGATTTATGTTTTGCACTAGTTTCAATAAATATCGAACTTCGTGTGAAACTGGTGTGCCCTTCGCGACCCCTAAAAATCGTCTCTCGACCCATCGCCCCCCAGTTTGGGAAACCCTGATTTAGATATCTCAGTATTCAGAATGAATCACGCTTAAAACAATATCGGTATACAATCTCACACCCATTAGTGCATATTAGCAACCTATTAATAACCGCATTACTTTTTACTAGCAGTTTATGAAAGGGAAGTTTCTTTTTTGATTCAAATTTAGGACTTAAAAACAATTCCTTCATTTATAAATGATGCAGAAATTCTCACACAAAAGATATTGCTATTTACTGTAAAATTTCAAATAAATTGGAGCAGATTTTGTAGAAAAATGTAATATAACAGTCAAAAAAGTACAACAGAGGAAGATCTATTGCTACTAAATGGATTGTTTGTCTAGCCTACAATGGGAATATCCAATATTGGTAGATATGACTGAATGAATTGTCATACAGATATTTGGGACGATTTTACAAAACTGAACCTGAGTAAAATATTTTTCTGCAGTCAATTTATACTGCAACACGCAACACCTAATTCTAATAAAAAAAGAAATATTGAAAATTGAAAATGAAGGGTGGGTTTTCAAGGTAAATGAACCACTAAATACATATTTGTCATCTCATATATATGCAAAAATACCCTATCTTGTTTTTACTCAAGTAAATAAGATTCTTCATATTTTTAAGCTCCACAGTAATGAAAGTATTTCATTTAATTTAACTGTTTCACAATATTATTTTGATTTGTAGTTCATCTTGTGAAATATGTATGTGGCAAAGTTTGCGGCCCGCCGGGCCTTCAGATTTATGCTTGCGGCCCTCGTGCTTTTAGTTAGATATATGGGTGCACAGATAACAGGGGAACGAACCATAGAAAGTTAAGTCACGCTGATTTCGATCAACAGACTTTCGAGATATGCCAAAGATAGACATATCGTCGCGCTATAATGCTTATAAAATTACTGTAGGCACTCCTTAAAAATGTCTAATACCGAAGAGCATTAGAATTATTTACGATTGACTAAATCCCTTCGAGCCTATGAAACTAACCCAGCATTTAACAATCAACAATTGCTATTCAAAAATTGCGCTTACAATTAACGCTTCTTTAACAAAAAGGTCGTAATTATAGCAGTTAATTATCGCTCTTTAGGAATGATTATGGTAAACAATGATATTTTATTCAAGAAAAAAAAAATGTGGGATTTGAAAATATATAAAAGAGGAATGTCTCAGTTCACACTCATTCCATTTATATTGTAAATACAAACTGAAGAAAGCAAGATGGAAAACAAGAAATTTACACTAATTTTGGCAATGATCAGAGTCGCATGTGGTAAGTATACAGGATATGGGAATTATTTGTAAATGTTCAAAGAAAAGTATGGGAAAATCATGTAGTTTGTATTCAAAAATTCCTCAAATTTCATAAAAAAGCTCCATAATCAGTATTTTTATTGAATATCCAGAGGAGTTTTTTAATGTTAGAATTAAGATGAAATCAACAGTAACGTATATTTTTCAGCGTTTTTTTTTTACATTATTAGATGCATAATATTTTAAAGTGCTGAAAAAAAACATCACATCGTGATTAATTTACTTAAACTAATTTTTTATATTTACTCCGCAAAATAAAAGTACTATTTTCATCAACATTATCTTGATATTAGGATTTTTGTTGGAGACTCCTGATATGCACTGTAACAAAATTCTGACGCATAATGATAAAATTCAAGGATCTGATACACCAAGTCCAATCGAAGTAAACCATTGTACAAGTGAGTAATGTACTATATTTTCTATAAAAGCATAAAACGTGAAATAAACATAATGCAACTTTCAATTGATAAATTAAAAGAGGAAATTGACCTGTTACAGGGATTGCAGTAGGAAAAGTTTTTCGTTAATATTGCTATAATTTCTCAAATTTGATTTCGAAGATATCTAAACCACATTAACATTGTGCTTGATTCGCAAATAATTTTTCGTGATCATCACATATATACAAAATAAATTCCCAGACACTTATTGATGATTCCGATACACACGACTCCCAATTTTTAAATTCGCAATTATTCACAAAATACGAATAAATATAATTTAAACCTAACATATTCCTACTTTGTTTAGATCTACTGCGCAGTAATACTAGAGCTTGTCAACTCGACACATCTTCTTGCGATTTTCCGTGTCGATTTGGATACGAACTCGATGAGAACGGCTGCCCTAAACGAGACTGCACTTGTGCAACCGAAGGCATCTTTGAAGGAGATATAAAATTTACATTGGATGATATACCATTACTAATTGAGGTAATTTTGTTCTTAAAATTGTTTTAACTTTGTCAAACCTATGGTCTGATATTAATGTCGTATTTTTTTTAAAATCATCTAGGCGTATGATGAACCACCACAAGACAAGCAACAAGCGGCTTCAGAAAACATGCCGAGATGGGATGAGGACAGAGTTGATGGCCGCGTCAAAATTGGCTACGTCATCAAGTCTGACATGTGTGAGTACCAAGTCACTTGGAATTCAAATTTTCATTTTCATCAAGGCTCCCTCCATATAAGTAGTAACTTGTACCTAAAGAGTTGTGTCTAAGTATTTTAAAGCTTGGTTGACTGCTGGAATAACAAGGAATTTTCTACCTTCGATGTCAATACATCAACTCAGCACGCTTTTAGACAATTAGACTTATCTTCTATTTGTTACTTTTAGCTTCTCGGGCCAGGGCAGCAATCGAGGAAGCAATCAGCAAATACACTGAAGAAACTTGCATTGATTTTGTACCAAGAACCGATCAGAATGATTATTTGTTGTTTGCAAGTATGGGAGGCTGCTGGTAAGTGCTAATCTGCTGCCTGAATTTGCCTATATTTTCATTATATATATCTTAAACTGTGACACATAACCGAATTCGTTTTACCTCAAAGCATCTGAGAAACATGCTTTTAATAACATAATTATTCACTAATTTATAGCTGACACAACAGTTGGAAGATGAACAGAAGTAACCTTAATTACTAATTTTTTACTACTAGGTCGTACGTGGGCAGAAGAAGAGGGCCACAATATATATCTATTGGATCTGGATGCGAATGGGTTGGGGTCGTTCAACATGAACTTCTGCATGCTTTAGGATTCTGGCATGAGCAATCAAGACCAGACAGAGATTCGTACGTCGAAATTCGATTCGACAACATTGCTAGCAGTAAGTTCTATCAAGGCATATAAAATATTAGGCAATCGATTACTGTGCTATTAACTGATATACGAATTGAAAACGGAAAATGACGAACAAATCAAAATGCATCCAAGTTCATTCTATTTAATTTGTCTTTCAGATATGAAACACAATTTTAACAAACGCCAGGCAATTGATTCAATGGGATCCATGTACGACAAAGGTTCAATCATGCATTATGGAGGGTATGCATTCTCCAGCAACAGACAACCAACCATCGTTGATATAACGACAGGACAGCCTATAAAGTCGCAGAGAGAAGGAATGTCTGAATCAGATAAATATCAAGTCAATAAAATGTATAAATGCAATGCTGAGGGAGGCGGAGAAGGTAATTTTTCTTCATGTCATAAATATCTACATATTCACTCGTTTTGAGTAAAAAACTCCCAATTTTTCAGTAACTAAATAATAATGAATTGTGTGTGCTGGATAAATACTAAGAACTCAAGTAGAACCCCTTATGTTATCTCAAGAAGTCTAACAAAAACAATTATATAAACAGAGCAACCTGAATGGAGTACGTGGTCACAGTGGTCAAGCTGCTCTCTAACTTGTGGAGTTGGGCAAAAGAGAAGAACAAGAACATGTATGCTCGGATCCCAAACTGTTTCTGTACAAAAGTGCGAAGGATCGGCGGTTTTGCAAGAAAACTGTAAAATTAAAGATTGTTCAACAACGAGCACCGGAACGTGGTCTTCTTGGTTGTCCTGGTCTACGTGCAGCGTTTCATGTGGTGGGGGATATCGATGGAGGTCAGTTATCATGTTATTCTCTTGCCTCATTAAACATAGATTAAAACTAACACGATTTCATGTCTCATCAATGATTTCATTATAAAAACTCGAAGCTTAGTATCACTTTCAGTCGGTCCTAAATTGAATTGCCGGAATTTCAAAATTGTGCATGACCGTTGAAAATTGAAATAAGGACTAATATTATGCTATTAAATCACTATATGGGTGTGTACCACTAGTTTTTAAATTATAGTTGACCAACCCTTAAGATATATTAATAAATTAGGAGAAGAATATGCAACGGTGGGCGATGCATTGGCTCTGTATGGCAAGCTGGAAAGTGCAACACAAATAGCTGTTCATCAAGCACTGGAATTTTCGAAGCCAATCCGATCGAGACTTCAAAACAATTTTGTCTTAGTGGAAACCTATATCATGGAGATTTCAACGGTGATAAGAAGAGCGATTTGTTATGTATTTTTTCAAGTGGCTGGACGTAAGTACTCATATGTATTGCATCTTACAATTACATTTGATTTCATGATCATGTAGGCTACAAGTAACTTTGAGTCGTTTTTATTAAAGAGGACCCTTCTTCAAAAAAGATTTTATATTTACAGGCAAATCATTGTCGACAATGAAGGTGATAATTTTGGTAAATACCTCTGGCAAGCACAAACAACTCCGTGCAACAATGGAGCACAAATCTACATTGGAGACTTTAACGGAGATTCCTCAGATGATATGATGTGCATAAACGTAAACTCAGGGTGAGTGTTGAACATTTGTAGAATTCATTTAATCCAAACACAAAAGAACTACTAATCATAACGTTCATATATACATTACATTTTTCAAATAGAACAATAGGCGGCGTGTCATCTCGGTTGTGAACGATGTCTTATCTTCGCTTCGAATTATTTTACGTCAATGTACCATATATGTAAGGAGGGCGGCCTAATCGGCCAATGAGCCCTAGTGCAAGATGTTGTAGCAATTCTTCGCAAATCATGAGGACTAGAGAATTTATTAGATTCTCTCGGGCTCGAGTAGACGTGCACTGCTGAATATTTCTATACCGCATAGAAAATTGTAATCGACCAGTCGTACTTAGTGGGTTTATATTGTTATTTTTTTTTATTTATTTAGGCAACTTTCTGTCACGTTTTCGGAGGGTGGTGGTTTCGGATATAAACCTGACTGGACGGTAAATGTGAATAATTTCTGTGATGAAGAAAACGAGAAAATAATGGTTGTTGACGCAAACGGCGATGGTAAAAGCGACCTCATCTGTCGAAGTAACTCCGGCAAGATTTCAATACTGGTTAACAAGCATACATGAATATGTTTGCAAATTGACATTTGGCTACTAAGTAACCAATAAAGGAATAAATGAGACAGAGATAGATTGTTGCTCAACACAAATGATTCTTTTTTTTTACTTTTGAATAATTAAATCTTATTTGCTTCGAAATTTTGTTCTGGTTTATTAAGAAAGGAAGATAGGTGGTCCCTAATAACAAGTGCTTAACAGGATTCCAGTTAGATAATACTCTTTGCGACAGGTTGGCACTCTAGTTTTTGTATAGAAACGGTTAAGTCAATCAAATGATTGTTTAATATGTACGAACTGGGAAGGCGAATGGCACTACAACCGATTGTCTGACTACCCCGCGACGGCGGGGAATCCACTAATCATATCACACATAATTATCACTTGCGGGAGGCAAGCTTTGGCAATTTTTGTTCGGCGGGTTTTGATAGTTTGCGAGCACGACCTTTTTTTAAGAAAAGGCATTACACGAACTCCATTAGATCGGAAGATTGTTTTCACAAAGCTACATTCGCGAATGTATTCCCGTAGATAGCTCTCAGAATATTTTTTACGCCAGCAGTGCCAGGCAGACATACTGTACCGTTATTTTCTGGTTTTGCTCATTTCCAAGATTAGTCGTCTTTGCATTGGTATAGTTTTACCCAGTGAATTGAAATCATTTTAATACTGTTGCTTAATGCAGAGATTTTCGATAAATACTCAGTGTTTTCTGGGACTCAAAAGCAACATGACACCAAGAAATCTAACAGGTTGAATCTTTCCAGGCAATGATAACGCAGCCACACTAACAAAATACTGCTTTTACCCGGAATCAAAAATCAGGGTAAAAAAACATGAAATGGAAAAAAATTTATTCGACATACTTTCTTTGATAACATGGTGAAGAGACAAAGATTATATTATGGCAATGACGTGGATATAAGCCCTAATCGTCCTCGGAGCATAAATGCTTATACATGGACATTGGAAGCGGTGACTTGGTGTAGTCTCCCAGATAATACGTTACATCTATGCCTAAGATATTCAATAAGATTTGCCTGTTGTTCACATACAGACTGCAACATTGTGATTTCCTTGTCCTGATCCCTGACGCTGTCAAAGCAAAAAAAAGACAAATTGAACATCTCAAAAACGAGTGGATCTTCTAGATTATGATTGTGTTTTCGGACAAATCTCGGACAGCAGCATTCACACTTAACCTAACTATCTAACTATAAATTTCAAACCAAAGGGCGATCATATTCATATTCACTTAATATTAACGCATATAACACTTGCTTAAGCATTACTAATTCTTGCAGAGACATTAAAAACTTCCATTCCGTCTTTACGCCTGCTATTTTGGAACAAAAATTTGAACAATATGAATGGGACAAAGTAAAATAATACGCAAAAACTTACAATGGAATATCTCTATTAGAAAGAAGTAAATAGAGTGAAATGAAAGATAGAGATTAGACAATTATTTCTAGAATTCCTTTTATTATACTTTGTTTTCTGAAAGATTCTAGTTCGACTTACCCCGGTCCCACTGTCACCGCTCTCCTTGCATTGAATATGGTAGGCATGGAAGAAACATAATTTTCATTGAATACATCTGGCATTGCTCGAGATTTGTTGAACTTGACCACTTTAACTGCAAATAACCAAAACAATCATTGATGTAGCCAGGTTTTGAACATTGATCAAAAAAGGACCTCCTGAAGCATGCGCACCAAGATGGCGCACAACCTGAACTCAGGTTGTGTACCAGGTCAGGGTTCAGGTTGTGCAACATCTTGGTGCGCATACTTCAGGAGTACCCAAAAAAATGTCTATACAACACTATTTTCTATTTGGAAGAACCAGAATCTTTATGGTATTGCCTATTCAATACACCATATTTCTCATTGCATAATAGGAATCAATAGATAGCACTGAGGTAATCTTTACCACCTGGATCGCCAGAAACCCTTGATCTCCATACATAATACGCACATAATATTCTTGCGTCACGAGTGTTTTTTGCTGAATCGTTTCCGTCGGATTTTTATTAACTATATCTATGAATTATTATGGCATTTAATGATTTGCCGCCTCACCGTATGAAATGACGTAATTTGTCCCCAATCTTTTTTTAAAGCTAATAAGGCCAACGTCAAAGCGTGTTTTTCAGACGCTGCACTTCAGAGAGAAACCGTCGGCCACACATGATTCATGACCCTAAACTTAGAGTTTTGCCGAATCGACGGAACGAGAGATACGTCAGAGAGGAGAGAATGATAGCAGTTAACGGCGCGGCACGTTCTTATCAAATTTAATTCATCGTATTTCCGACGCTTGAGTTGATCAATTGTTCAGGACTCTTGCTACCTTTATTAATGCTTAATTTTGGTTCCATTACATTTCAACCCACGTACATTTGGACCCACGATAATTGCACCTGCATACTACTGCACCTATAGAATTTTTTTTGTTTTACGGATATTTGAACCCATACTAACCCTAACCCATGGGTTTTAGCACCCGCATATAGATTGAACCCGCGGATATACACATGGGTTCAAATGTACGTGATTTCAAATGTAATTTTCGTTAGAATGGGTATGCTTCTACTGGAACAAGCATGATCTGATTTTGACAGACTTGGTTTGGTTAATGAGCTGATGATCCATGCAGCACCAGTACACCAGTAATAATAGACAAAATCCAAAAATGGCAAAATATAGAAAACGATGCATAATAGTTGAATAGTTTTTGTAACAAAAGTACTGCGAAGAAAAGTCAGTATATAAATTTATTATAATTTCTCGTTTTCTCACCTGCATATATGATAAGAGAAATAAATATGATAACAAACTCCAATCCAGCAATAATTTGAAGAACGAAAGAAAAAATAGGTTTTGAAAATATCTTTCCATTGGTGAAAACAAGCTGATCCATCTTTAATGTGACCACAATTAGAAGAATGGCATTTCCTTAAAAAAATGGGTTCAATATTATTTGATGAATATGTCGCAAATCTAATGTAACAAGTAGAACACCCTATAACAGGTACTCCCATAGTGTGTGTATCAGATTGGGGTTTAGCCATAATTTTATTCTGATTTTCTTTTTTCGAGTTCTATCACGAGTTCGGAGACTGTTTGTGTCGGCCAAGTGAATATACCCCCTGCCCATAGGCTCCAGTCCCTTTACACAATATAGATGTAAAATAGGCGAACAAAATCAGCTACCTCCATATTGGTACACACATTTCTGGAGTGCCCAATTAGGCTGGTCATGTATTAATGCAGGCTTAAATTTAGTCACTATAATCAAACTTTGCATTGTTAAAATAATTACATACTGTGTGACAAAATATTACTGATCTCTGTCATCTAGTTCTTTGGTCTGCCAGTTTCAATTCGACCAGAGATTGCATGAGACACACAATTAAATTATTATATTCATATCATGACTTCAATACTCTAACCAAAATAGTAAGTGAAATAATTAAATTCGAAATATTCGCTATCCTTGAGGTTTTTGTCACAGTCATGTCAGAACTAATTGGAATTTGTGAAAAGAAAAAAGAATTTGATGTGTTTCAAGCGGTGACCGTACATTTGAACCCATGTACATTTGAATTTGAACCCATGCGTATATCCACGGGTTCAATCTATATGCAGGTGCTAAAACCCATGGGTTAGGGTTAGTATGGGTTTAACTATCCGTGAAACAAAAAAAATTCAATAGGTGCAATAGCATACAGGTGCAATTGTCATGGGTTCAAATGTACGTGGGTTCAAATGTAATGGAACCGTTTCAAGCGTGATTGCCTGCTGTATTCCCATGACTTACAATCTGAAGGGAAACAAACCAAAATGCGTTCTTCGCTATATCCTTAAATTGTCAGTACACCTGTTATTATCTATTCTAGATAAAGTGAAATTCAAAAATACTAACCTATTGTCATAACAGTCATGGGAATATCTGTGATGTGATTTATTTGTGAATGAAGCTTTAAATATCCTGAGCTACGATGTTGACGATGAAATGACTTGAATCCAAGTTGCAAGAACCATGTAAATATCCAAACAAGAATAATAGAAAATATAACAATAGAATTGCAATCCCTCTGAAATGCAAAGAAGAGAAATTTTTATTATACAAATTGTTTTGCAGTAAAAAAAAAATTGATGCTTCAACATACCGTGTTTCCCCAAAATTAAGTCTCAGCCTGAATTTTAAAAATGATTTTAATATAAACCCTCCCCTTATTAAAATAAGACCAAGTCGATAGCACAAATTTTTTTATCTAGTCGATAGCAAGAAACTCGTTATTTTCTACTCTGTAATTTTATTTTTGATAAATGAAAATAAAAGACACCCTCCAAAATAAGCCCTAGTGTTATTTTTCGAAAGGAAATTCAAATAAGATACTGTCTTATTTTCAGAGAAACACGGTACTAAGCACCTAAATAACAAATGCGTCTGTTCCAATGATACACAATGGCTTAATATTTTAGAGTGGCCATCATGACAAATTTTCAACCTAGATGCTTTTCTCCTCACTCAGAACAAGGCTTTGCATAATCAGCAACTGATATGCAGAAAAAGTTTTAACATTTCTACAAGAAACAACGCTCCGTGCTACTATTTTCGGAACAGAATCCATTTCAGCACTTTGAGTGAGGTGGTGGGCAAAATGTATGATATTATCACACGTTAGATTAGATGTCACCGATCATTTTATACAGATTACTTTGCTTATTGATATATAAATTTTTCCTAATTTTGGATGAGTTTTGTTTCAAATCCAGTGTTCCATATAAGACTATGTGAACCAGGATTCGATCTCAAGGTAGGTGGGTAATTTAATTTAAATTACCTGAAATACACTTTGCACATTGCCTATGAAATCCTCACTTGTAAAGTTATTTACAGTATTCGTTTGATTTTTGCAATATTTGGTGAAGTCAAGATAGAAAATAGATTCTGTCAATAAGACAGCCTGTGAAAAGTGAGAAAAGATTAAAATCTTAAAACCGAAAAGTGTATAATATAAAGTTCATCACACTTCAACCATCGGGCTCTAAATTTTATTATAGTATATCATATAGGCCGCTTCCACACACACACTATAAACAAGGCACTGTTGGAGCCTCTGTTGATGTGCAAGGAGCTACAACTTCTAGAAGGACTGAGATCTTGCCCATTTGGCAGTGGCTCACCCAATTTATTACATCATGGGTTGTGAGAATAAGGTCCGATCCGAGAGTCTAATTTCTGAATTTGTAGTGTCAGTAGGTTAGTATTAACACTGTAGTCATCTTGCACGGCTAATTATACAATAATATACTATGAAACACATATGCATAACCATTCAAAGTTTGCACATTTACAGAATCAGTATTAATCAATATCCCAGCAGTCAGAAACAATTTAAAAGAATAAAAACTTCATAACTTCAATATATCATTATATTGAACATTGCATTTCAAGTACTCACCCTTTTCCATTATAGATAAAGAATCATATTTACATACATTTAAAAATATTTGAAAAATGACCAAAAATACAGTTCGGAGAGGCTTGAATGAACTGTTTTGATCTTGGACCAAAGTACTGTCAACACCATGACCAAAATCCCCAACAGTAAGAAGATGTGAAGTATCTGATGTCGATGGCTGACTCTAGAAATAATTGAAAAAAAAATTTTACCTTTCACTAATTGCATAAGTATGAGTTTATTTCTACTCCATAATCAACAATAGACAAAAAAAAAACAGACTAAATAAAACTGATTATAAAATCGGGAAAGCAAACGAAACCTCAAGTACTGAAGTAAGGTTTATTAAAGCGTAGCCTACATGTTGATTGAATTGAAGCATTATAATTTAGATTCGCATGAACCAGACAAAAATAGCAGTATTAGAGTACAGAGATGTTTAAACCAAAGTCTGTGGAACCTACTATCAATATGCGTTACAAAAATTGAAAAAATAACACAAACGTTGCCTGAAAATATCGCACAAACATACGACAGTACTGTCGTATAAATATGAATAAATAGAGCACAAGCTAAAACCACAACATACCATAATGTAACCTTTTTAAGAAGAAGATATTAAGTTTCAGCTTGCAACCTCAGCGCACACATCCAATCTTTGAATCATTTGTAAAGAAGCAAATCAAGGAAGTCCGAACAATGAAGAAGAAAAAACAAACCTGATTCACTTTTTTTAACTGCTCTTTAGCGCCTACTCGCGGGTTCATCAGAAAATCATCAAGGGTTCACCAACCTTTGACCCTGCTTTATACACGGGTCGGAACCCAAAAAATTGTCTTCAAATGAGGTTTAGTTGTAACACGGCACATGGTCAATCTCAATAGGATTTTTTTCTGTGGTAGTATGCATATTAAAAGGTGGTTGAGGAGATTAAAAGTCAATTTGACAGAATATTTGATCGAATAACATTGTTATTTTTACAATGGACCTTTCCCCGAGCATCGACTCCCTTGTTTACTTCGTGACATTAACCATTCAGCAAGATGCAAAAAGTGACTTAACAATGCTCCCTTTTCGCATCCGCTCAGACACTTTTCTCACTCAGACAGATTTTCAGGCATGGTCGTAAACATTACCTCGTTTTCGAACTCTATTCGTTAGTTTTTAGTTGTGTTTCGGAAATTTAAATAGAAATCAGATAATTCAATGATCACTCTGTCTTCTCAGGAGTTTTAATTTAATTGCAGTTATAAAAAAACTGGTGTAGAAATAGCTGCGATAGACCAGGCTAAAATTCTTTACCGGTACTTTCAATAAACAGATTGTTGTATGCGTTGAATCATAATGATGGTTTGAAACAAATACCCCATTTTACAGGCGCCAACTGGTGAAACCACTCTTAAAATGAGCCCCGAACATTTTGCAATGGTAAAGTATAGGAAGAATTTTTTGGGAGTTAAAGGTCATAAAAACTCGAAGTATTATCAGAATTGGATTTTCATATTCATTCTGGGACGTGGTTAAGATTTCAGGACTGAATATATATAACTTAACAATCCCGGTATTTTTGGAATTAAAAAAATATTAGAAGTACAAACATTCCTTCATTGTAATATCGACACGTAGACAGGAACACAGCAAAGCTGTTCTCACTAGGGCGGCTCCGATCGTATCTGAACAAATGATCATAAGAACTGACGGAACATTTAGCATCAACTCATGCTGGTTTTCTTGGGCAGCACTTCTTTCTGCACTATAGGAGAAGTGGGACTGACTAAATAACTGATAAAAGTTAACTTTTTCTTAACTTCCTAGGAGCCCAATCGTATTCTTGGCCTAAGCATATACTCTCATTCTCGTGGACTGAGATATGCCTTGTTCGCTAACCTATTAACATTGTCAATATTATATGAATATATACGGTCCAATAACATTCAACCAATGTTTAACACAAATTATGAAGACTTGTCTCGGCTATTATAGTGATATATAGACCGTTGAACGTGAACCTAGACGTGTTTGAACAATAAAATTTTGCTCAAAATAACTCCATTAGATGTCGCTAACGCTTAGACAAAAAGCTACGATCATTTTGAGGCACTTGACTGAAATGGGCGCACAAAAGTGGTTTAGTATAGTCGCCTTAGTTACTGTGACAATGTTATCAGAATTAAACCGCTATCGCTGGTAGCAAAAAAAGAAAAGGATAGTTTGTAAGCGTTCGACCACGGAACAAAAATCGAAGCTACTGGAAAAGGAAGCTCATCGCATATTAAAATCTATTTAACATTATTGGTTTTTGATCTTATTAAAATAGATGAATATCATGTAATAGAGTAGGTAAAATGCGTTCATTCCTTAATTTATAATGCTGGTGTAATCAATATTATTATCTCTAATAATAAAATTACAGATATCTACTTCGATTAATTATGAATCTGTTGTAATAATCTGAAAAGTGGAAATATTTAATCCCCTCTGTGATATATAAATATAGTATCGTGTTTATTCACGTATGGCGGTTAGCATGTCTGTCGGACATTTTCCTGTCGGGAGCAAATTACTACAGAAGAAATGGAACAAAAGACAATTAAAAACGCATCAAACGAAGGTAAGTCATTTGAATGAAAGGTTCTGAAAGCATTAAATAATGTCTTACCATATTTTGTATAATCTGAACAGTTTTTAATGAATGAATCACTAATACACTGTGTTCGTGTATATTCGAGTCTAATTGTAAGAATCGGCAATATATATTCACTATTTTTTCCAGTAAACGATGAAAAAATTCATTTTGAATTTGAGATTACTTGAGTACTATATATCCCATTCATACTAATCGATCTTTGTCAATTTCCAAATCGGACTATTTTACATTGTAGTTATAGTTATGCGAAGATCTAGATCTAGACAATGAATCAGTTGTGATTATTTTCTCCGCAATTAAGTTATGTTTAAAAAGTTTGTGGTTGTCTATGATTAAACAAAAATTTGCGAAAGAACTAAAATTATATTTCTGGAGTATTATAGTAGCGTCAGTGTCGCACCCTTTTTTCTAATCTGCGTTCAATGTCAGAATCCTACAAATTGCATAAATACTCAGTCCAATAAAATAAAAATTACTTTACCTGTTTGCAATGAAAGAATATTTTAATGTTTTGAGGAATTTATAGATTATCCACTGACTATTGTACTTTCATTACGGTAACCCCTTATTTATTTTCCCTCCATTCAATACTTATTTCGAGTAATCGGTACTTTAATTCAAGCGCCAATTTACGCGGAACACAATACCTCTGTTATTGTGATACAAAAGCCAAAAATTTAATTTACGATAAACGCCACGCTGTATATAACAATCCCAGCGAAAATTATTATATTTCATTCATAGGCTGCTGGACGCTATCACATGCCGCCTGGCACATATTTATATTTATGCATGTATACATTTACTTATCGGTTGCAACTATAAGCATATTACAGTGCATTTCATTGCAATTTATGTAGTGTAATAGCATTACAAATCTACTGCCAATAATATGTGTGTTTCACATCTGTCTGGTTAGCAACAAAGTTTACTGAGATCCCATAGGTTTTGCGCTGTCACGGGAATGATTATCCGATGGAAATATTTCTATTTCATTCAAAACATACTCGAGCCTTCGATTTATTTTGACAGTTCAAAATAGCTTATAAAACAAAGTAGATCCACATTAATCAAATCTATCAAAATCGATACCTAAAAACAATCGAACAAATTACTTTTCAGTTTATACCACTTTTAAACTGTAACTTTGTCTCGACTTCAACGTATTCAACATGGTCCAACTCTTATTTTTTAATTGGATGCGTGTATGAGTCATTGTTGTAAATTTCACACAATTACACACAATCAAGCGCTTTTCGTGTATGATTCGGTGTCTTCCACTGTTTCATTACGAGTATCATATATCATGTTAAAAGTGTCAATAATCAAAAACTTGATCTGAAAACAAGAGCTCGTGGTATTTAAACAAGGCTTAAAACAACATATTCCTCTTTCATGTAAATGGATTCAGAATTTGATCCCAAAATGTATTTTGCCACACTTGATAAATGATTAGCTGAACTTATTTTGTCTTATTCTGGAGCGCTAATGTCTGGCCGGTTAAAGACAATTATTAGGAACCTAATTCGCGACTCAGATGCTATTTTGTAAACCAGAATCGACATTACTGGTTGTGAAACAGTAGGTAATTGTAACAATATAATTTCGCTGTTTCCAAAATAGGAATACTTCAAAATAGAATCTTAGCAACGGACAATGTTCCGAATAAAACACGTAAGATTGTTATATTTTGAAATTGAAATAGGATTAGTTTATTGTTTGCCTCATATTCCAGCTAAATTTGACAGAGTTTTAAAATATATAGAAGGTAAATGATCGTTTTTTGGTTTGAATAGCATCCAACAAAATTGCGGTTTACAGGAGAACAGATCATCTATCTTTTGTTACATCCGCTATCATAATGTAGTTTATTGAGAGTTACTCCTGAAATTATTGAACTTACGAGACGTTGAGTAGGAGTAATATTTAAATAGTATAACGATATTTTGCGACCATGCTTTGATTGCACAAAACAAGCTAAAAACATTTTATACTTAATTTTACGTCATATAGAGAAGGACAATATTTTACTAGCAACACCTAATGACGGATATCGAAAATGTATTCGATAATTACGATCTCTTGGTGATTTGTTGAACATTTTTTTAATTTTGTGTTCGTTTTATTTCATGCTGTTTGTTCAGATTGCTTCAATGAAAGCGGATATCGATAACAAGAATCCTCTCGTGCATTCCCATCTAAGACTGAAGTTGAAGAAAATCCAGGTTTGTGAACACTTGATTTTATAGCAAATAATAATAACAGATATATATATAATTACTGAAAAAAAATATCGTGTTCTGTAACCTTTTTCCTGTCGTTGGAAATATTTCACCGCAAAACGAACGGGTTCAAATCATCAGGATAAAGACGTGAAAATATATCTTAACATTTGTGGTGTTCTCAAATAAATTTAAATCGAAAGCAGTGCGTTAAGAAGTCAGATTTATCTCAGTACGGTTGTTAATTTAGCTTTAATTTTCAACAAATGTGCGTTCATTTGAACTTTTGTCCGGGTTCGGGCTACAGAAAATTTCCATTGTCCAATAACAGATTATTTCAGGCAGGTTTTTAAAGTGTTTGGTTTTCATTGTCTTGTTCGAACTAATCAACGCCCAATATCCGCCTTTTTCATAAATGAAGTTTGTTGAATGACCTTGTTTACTTTCACATATTCGTACGTAGACAGCGTAGACACTGTTAAAAAAGAAAAATTTGCATGTTATTAGTATTGATTTATTCTGATATAAAAGTAATTAAACCCCACTGCATTGCTCCCACCTTGACTTTGCATGTCCTTACGAAGCACGTGATCCATCTGATAGCGCTATAAGTTGTCGATAAAATATAATGTTGTTAACTACTCGTTAACATCCTTGATTAAAGGTTAATTTATGATCACGAAGTGAAACGAAATCGTATTGAATGAATTTTTTCTATTGCTCATTTTATGCATATATACTGTTGGTACAGTGTATTGGATTGGGTCCTAAATAGTGTGGAACTGATGACGAATCGGGCGATCGTACCAATTGACGCTACGAATGAGGACATTTAGCACCGAAGTATTCGATATAATGAACTTGGTAGGTTACTGTCATCCAGACGAAGTTGGTTAAACAATGTTTATTTCTTGGAATGTATTCAATATGGGTGCCTTAATTTTGGTTCAATTCGCATTGCTATATACGCTATGGCTATATCGTAACTCAATGGCACACAAAAAACTTTATAGTAGTTTAATCTGTTCTCGTTTTGCATGGTCTGGTCATAAACCATGCATCAAACTATGCAACACATGTTTGGTTCATTTTTATCCGAATAATTTCAAACGATGCTAAAATCACACACATCGTTATCGCAAACATACCCATGTCATTCTCCACTCGAAATCCGCCAAAGCCAAACAAAACAATGCCTATGCTACTATGCCATACACTTATGTGTAGAATCCACGTTTTAAATCGCTTTCCGATTCTCAATCGTCGTACTTTTGTACTCGAATTCTATTTTTAAGAGGTTTCAAGTACTATTGAAATTGACACTACAATACATACTACTTTCCCCGTCACCAAATACAGCCGATGTATAAGCTTGCTTCCTACGGTATAAGTCACATATACATGGAAAATTTTAAATTGCCGCACTTTTATAATGCGAAGCCACAAGTTCTCACCTAAAATGTTGTAAGCTACCACTGAGATGCTAAACTACGTAAACATTTACTATCATGAAATCCCGAGACACGGTTAAATTATAAATGATGGAAGTTTGGAAACGCTGCAGATGGATCTGCATAACGGTAAATGTCATGACGTTTAGTAATCATGTTATCGTCTTGTCGATGAATACGAATATTTAAGTTAACAATAAGCTATAACAAATTAATGTACTTCAAATTAGGCCGTTCGATATGGTCCTTTATCAAAGCGCGCACTTGTATGATAGCCAAACTCAAGCACCACCTCGCTATTAACTATCGATCACCATCGGCAAATCAAACGATGATAAAAATCTTCGTGAAATTAAATTGAAAATTTGCATATCTACTTTTTATAGTTTTTGCAGTGCATTACTTTTCAAAGATTTAGAGTTTTTACATTTGTTGTATATATGATATAATATTAGATATTTTTAAGACACATCCATAGTATATTGAAGTCTCAAATAAAGTTTATACCGTTTGATATATATAGTTTAAGCAGTACAATGCTTTGTTTATTTTGCCCCCATTCATAGAATTAATATATATCAATGGTAAGGTATTTGTATTCCACTCAACCAGGTTGCCAAATCCTTCTTGAAATCGAAGAGTCACGGCGCCTGCTGATCCTAATCTGGCTAATTATTGGTTTGAATTTCTCTTTATAAATGTATTACTTATGATAACTATAAAAGAATATAGCTAGTGCTTTTGAGTAGAGCAAACGTGAATCGTATGAAAATTGCTTGAAAAATGACTGATCAAGATAGGATCAACATGTGACTCGACGCGACAAATTCTTTTGTAATAGGATATGGCACGCTGTCATTGTTGTTTGTATTTTGCGTGGCGCTTTGTAAAAACAACGCTGTGGTTGTAGGTTTATTTAATCCACTAGTTTCGGACCTTTCTAAAATATATATCATACTCTTATTCTATACGAGAAAGAAAAATATGGAAGTTGATCATATCCATTCGCATGCTTTTTATGGAGATCTTATATTTATTGAAGTCTTCTTCATACGACCTGGATGAAATGGTGGACATGGGGTAAAGATTTTAATGCAGTTCAAGTGCATCCAAACAAGTACAAACCGAACCCAATGCTAATCCGATTTTCCATAAAAACCTGAATGCTTTTTCAAAATTTATAGTTTTCGTTTTTTCGATTCAAACTTAGACCTGACGATAATATCCTGGCCTACTTTCGATTATTAATAACAGCATTGTTTAATTCATTAACATTAAAGTAATGAAAACTTAGGCGGATATTTGAAAACCCTATGCTGCCCAAATATGGTATCCTCCATTATTTGCAGTTTGATGACAACTCGCTTTAAATCCAAATCGCCAACTTAAGGACAATATTGACCAATATAAAAAGATTGATAGTAATATGATTAATGGGTATCGTTCACGATAAGATGACAATGGTCCATTCAAAAAGTCGAATTGATGATTTATAAGCAATAGATCGAATCTTTGGAAAACATTCGTGGTATCATTTTGATTGATTTATTTTACGTTTGAAGAGCTCGTTGACCTAACATTTTTTCTAGAAATAAAAACAAAACTACATTCAACTCCATTGAAACAATCGCTCATGTGGCAGTATTATTTAAATACTTGAAGTATATTTGTTATTTAATATTTTCTTATGTATCCATTTCTAGTTCTGAACTTGAAATTTACATATAGATCGTTTTGTAATTGGGAATTGGTTACCGTATATGATTTTCGGGAAATTGTTACTAAAATATTTCGTTTTGGCTTTCGTGCCCATATTGCACCCTTGTACTTCTGTTAGTATTTTTTCAGATGTGAAAGCACACGATTAAATTATTAACGTTTCAAAAGTTGGCTAATTTTTTAAATAAGTGCCCTGCATTATGACCTGTACAATATAATGACCCGGCACTAGTTTGGCTTATTTGTATCTTGGACATAAAAATTGACTTGGCTTAGTAGATAAACCGAAAGATAATCTGACTCGACGTGAATTTGATACTTCAAGCACTTTGACTCGAATCGAAACTTTTTCAACAAGAACGTAATTTGAAGCAAGGGTTCGTAGTAGCTGGCTTGATTGTACAAATCCGCTTACATTTTTACGATTACGCATCACTCCTTGGGCATTGGTGCAAAGCATAGCAACGTGTCTAACATGGCTAAAAGGGCATTTGCCTTTGAACATATCATAAAATTTACTGATATTTATTGATAGTATACCCACACGGGGTGACTGAAATATTCTGGTATAATATAAACTAATATTTGTTTTTACATCTTTGAAGATCTTTATAAATATCAAAACAGTCAATTTGTTATTTCAATATCCATTAAACTCTATTTGCTTTCCGTAAAGTTTCTTCTTACAACAATCACAATGACTCACAATTGGACTATAGTACAGAATATGTGTGTATTATCGTACTTATGTGGTTTAAAAATAGAAATATGAAGGGCTTATTTTTTGTAACGCAATCCTTGTGTCGTTTTCCTAAAGATACATCAAAACTGTACATTAATAAGACAAAAAGATGAATTATTGAAGGGTACATTATACTAGCAAAACATTGTAATCTTCCCCTTCATTTTGGAGTTTTTTAAGTAGCTATTAGTGTATTCAGCGGAATATGTGAAAACATTTTAAGTTGGTGGTTATGGTGTTTGATGATGTCCAATGGCATGCGTTTTGAAAACAGTGTTCATGGGGTCGAAGGTCAAGGTGGTTGACATAAAACAGTCAAAAATTATGAAAATATATTCACAAATATCATTTTCTGAATTATTGAAAAATTTTGTACTTTACCAGACCCTCTGAAGTAGCTTCACAATTCAAATTTTTTGATTTATCGAAATCGTATTTGTGAACTCACATAAACTATTTGTCCTTTCACTGTAATATTGTCACTCACAACAGAAATACAATTCATTTCCTGCTATACATTGAAACGAAATAGATCTACCAGTAGTATGACTATATGTAAGGATAGAATGACGTAAATCAATGTTATGAAAATATTCTTAGTGACATTTGAATCTAACCCGCGTTGTGAAACTCAAACCCAACAAGTTACAGTTTTTATTTTGCCTTGGTTTTGGTCTGCCTGTGGTTTTTACTATCCGAACAGTCCGACACTTCAGAAATTGCAGATAACTTTTCGGATTATTTAAATGTAATTATTCTCCATTAAGAATAAATGCCAAATTTCATTTGAAATTTTTTTAAATAGATTATTTTTAAATCAAAATGATTTTGAATTTTTTCACGAATTAAATCCCCTAGCTTGCACCCGAATCAGGGTTTCTTCGTAAAATTTGAAATAAATTATGGTTTCGCTACGGAAATGAAAATCTCGAGAAACAAACAATTTAAATTTAATCTAATATGCACATTTTAAAATTTAGTTTATACTAAATTCTTCAGACCAAGTGACAAATTGTTTCACTAATAATATTATGTACTGAAGATTTAATTGATTTAGCCATACTATATAATCTATCTATTAACAACCTTTACTCAGATATTCTACTTGACAATGGCTTGTTTGTACCGTTACTTTTCACAAATTTGTCTCAACAATTGAACTTAGGTTACCCCTGAACATATGAGAAAACCCACAATATATTATTCAATGAATGATATATTTATATAGCAACTCAAGATTCACGCAACAATATTAGTTTGGTAATTCTAGTGACCGCCCCTCCTTTTGTAACAGCGTTGGAAAACATCGAAGCGTTTCATATCACTACAGTACAGACGTATCAGAAAGAAGGGACTCGCTTATTGATCAAGGTTGACGTATTCATTTAGAAAATAGATTCTCTGATAATATTTACCTCTAGTTTGTTATGAAAAAGGGTTTCGTAAGTCAGGGGTTTGTATTCCGAGTGTTCTTAAATGCTGAAATCGAGGATAGCAAGTGAAATTATTACAGGAATTTATCATTATTATTTGCTACAATCACTTTGTAAAGTACAAAGTCAAACGTAGTTTTTTTATGAGATATTTCGTGAAATAGTTGTGAGCAAAGACTTAAACTAGTTTAAAAGTAGGGATAGATATACCGTCCCGATCGCTATTTGATTGACCTCTTCTGTAGAAGGTGTTATGCAGACAATGGTATACAGACGATGGCTTTGATTTTTAGAGATCTACGTAAGCCGTGTACTGTCACTAAATCACTGTATACTATATGCATACTTGTATAGAGTTATTGGTTTTTGTATGTTTTATATAACTCGAGACTAAATGAAAAAACGTGCTAACTTGCCGCCTATGCAAAGATCTTTCGCGTTATTACCCCGTGACTAAGCTATACATTGTTCTGTATTGCTATGTTGTGCACTTATATTATATATAACAGGCTACTTTTAACAGCACTGACAGACTGATTGGCCATTCAGTATGTTCTATGGCAGAAACTCGTATTTGTTAATCAAAACTCTACATATAGATTATATAGATGACGCCAGCCGAACATAGAATCTTTTAGTCAAGGCTGACCCTTTGACCCAAAGAGATAGTTGCCATACATTCCGTACATAAACGTAAAACAATTCTTTGTCAAGCCTATAATTTTTTAGGTTTCATAATAATCATACCTTTGATTTCATGTGGAATATTTTAGCTTGAGGAAGAATCTAACGCAACAGTACAAAATGAAAATAAGGTTCTTGTCGACAGAATATCTCGGATTATGAGGGAAAGAGGAAGACTGGATAATTGGAATGAAGCTTATAAACCTCGAAGGTACGCTGTTGAGAAATTCCTAAAATAATACTTGTATTTGGTAGTTAAAAGGCAATAATTTCATTTGTCGGCTAGGCTAAATTTGGGGGAAGTTGCCAATGATTAATTAAAATCAGGTTTGCTTTAAAAAATAAAACTGAAGAAGTAGAATGTTAACGCAACATCAAAGTTATATTTCAATTCATCTTAGCGTAATCATACTGCTGTATTGTGACACCGCCAACTATAATCTCAAATGTCTCGATGTCCATGAGTTTCACGTGGACATCACTACTATCTTTTTCAAGTCAACCCGAGAATCCCGATTTTCATGTTAAATAAACCTTTTGATGTTCTAGTGTGGTTGTTGTTTTACATTATTTCAACAAAATTAATTAATTTTAGTCTCAATCATCGATACCGATCTACTGTTGCAACAAAGATTCAAGGTGAAAATAACTTGCTGGTGAAGAGATTGAACGCGATCAAACCTTTATACGATATCAGAAAATGGGTAAGGTATCTTTCATCATAAATATTTATCCTAAGTTAAACATTACACAGCACGGCCTTAGGCTGTAACTAGTTTGGTTGGTTAAATCGCTTATAAAGTTTTGTCATTAGGCCTATAGTTCAAAATGCTATTTGAATGTGGTTTTGCTAAATATTTTAATAAGTTGTGCGAAATATTACGTTTCATTTGTTTCAATATCTTTCACGGTACACCCCCTTTGTTGCTTGTTTGTCTATCCTTGCCTGCATTTGTTCTTCTTCATTTTATTCGTAACAATCACATTTTTCAGGAAAATGATTTCAATTTTCACGAATACGTTTTACAAAACATGAAGTCAACGACAAAAGATTATGAAACAGTTCCAAAGAACAACAGTAGATCACCTCAACCTCATCATTCACCGACACGACAAGAAGAAAGAATAAAACTTCCTTCCGTGGTAAGTCTTGGCAAAATAAAACATGTTGTCTATTTCAGTAAGGTATAATCAGAATGAGACAACATGTTAATATTTATCTCAAGAAGAGGAAATCCGATGACTTGGTTCTTTTGTCCGGCTACTAATCCATGTTGGGTATAAGAATAGTTCACCAGGTGTTCGTTTCGGGAGCACATTTGAAGGTGAAAAAGCTGTAACCCATCAGCAACGAGGAGTCCCGAAATTCTTTTTCACATAATTATCCGCCACGGGATTAGAATTGTGCAAGATGATCAGAGATGGGATGTCAAAACGGAACTCAGATTGCAGTAGTGAGTTGAATAAGCTCCTCACATTTTGGTTGTACTTTCAGTCTTCTAGGGTCTTGATATTATGTGCTGGGAAATATCTTCATTGAACATTTCATCCCTACGTGCAAAGTATTGAATTGCAAAATGTTTGTGTGTTTACATCTCTACCTATAAGAAGGGCTTTAGGTAATCATAACCAGTCACTAATATGTAGGTTGTTAATAATTTTTGGAAAAATTGAAATTTTCCTCTTTCAAAAAAACCGGACCTGGAATTTTCAAACCATGATATTAAATCTACTATGCCAGCATTGTTTGACCTAAGCTGAATGAATAATAAATCTGTTTCGTGCCTCGAACTCATTTATTTCTTTTATTGTGCAGGATTTTCGTAACGGAAATATAAAAATGCAGTCACCGAATAGATTTATGAAACTTCCCAAAATAGCAAATCCAAAAGAAGAAAACGGCTTAACCCGAAAGGTATGTAACTGAAAAAGCTGTCAAGGACATATACTTGCGCTATACAGTATAATACAATTATAGAATTTGCAATTTTCTGAATCATGGTTTCATCTAATCGATTTCTTCCTAGCTTTGGTGTTTGACTCCAAGAAATTAAATGTTGCACGCAATTTCAGGGTGGTCCAAACCGCGGGCCGTGGGCCGCATGCAGCAAGCCGACATTTTCCGTGCGGCCCGCGAAACAATTTCAGCGTGCACGAAACCATTGGCAGTTATTTGTATTTATTGGCAGAACATTTGCAAATGGGATATATTTTTTTATAAGCCCGATGTCGTGATTGATGCTTGTTGAAATCGCGGAATTACAATGTTGTGGTGAACTGCAGCAAATGATAGTATTTTCGAGGCATCCTTTTTATCTTTACAACCCTGGGCCATATGTCACGTATATAAATTGTACTATTTACATTCTAATTCAGTCTGAGACAACAACGGCTACCCAGGAAAAATTTGATGCAACAAGAGAAGCAAAATTATTACACAGCTGTGAAGATTATGAAAGTACGTGATTATTTTAATACCAATTTTAGTAACCTCTTTGTGGTTTGCCTATAATTATTTCATCATAATCAACTAACAATAAAACTTCTGGTCTTACAAAAACCAAGTACCGGAAAATAATTTGCACAAAGATAATTCATCATCATCGAAAACTCTTGTTTATGCTGCTCGTAAATACTTATAAAACCTCTTTTGAACTGGGGAACCATGAAACGTCCAATAAGGTTTCTTAAAATCAATACGCAAGATTTTGGCAGATAGTCGATGACTATTTTATAATTACTTGTAATATTTTAATTACCCTTTGAGTATGAAATTATTATGTCACATTCTGAGGCGACTTAGACTATATATATCATGCTATATCATAAAGCCACGTTCTTGCACGGGATCGTACCATTTTGGGCATTTTCTATTTAATGGATGTACATCATCAATGCTAAATACGCCTCTGTGCGCAAAGCCAGATAGCAATATATAAGGTATAAGATTTCAATTTTTTATTCACAGAATACCGATTTTTTGATTATTTTTTCTTTTCTATATTGTGCATTTATTTGCGTTTTAGGAAGCACAGATTGCAGTATATTATCGCGATGTTTCGCCCAGAAAAGATTTCGTGAAAGGATGCAAATTCAAGACGAATTCGAACGTTTGTATGAAGAAGATCATCTTGTTGATTTTTTGAAAGAAAAATTTCATTCATCGTTCAACCCCATCATCACAGCATTTCTATCAAGACGAGAAGCTTACGACGCATTGACTTTACGAGATGCGCTAGATGTAAGTTTATAAATTACACGAATATGTTATATATATTCAAGGGCGCTGAGGGACTCCAGATCTTTTTCTTGTACAGTATGAATTCTTGCAATGTTGTAGTTGTTTCAAAAGGTATTTTCCGAATACAAGTAATAGCGGAAATTTCAATCAATCACAAAAATTTTATCACAGATATAATTAGTCCATTTTCCATTATTCCAGCATTAGGGTGGCGCGTTAGTAGAATTTGAAGTCCTGAAAGTCGGCTATTAAACGTTGTAAAGTAATATACAACTAATCACAAAAAAATGACATTAAAAAATCATTTTGTAGGTATGTTTGTTGTCCGACATGCTTCCATATTTTCCAAAAAAAACTCCAGAGAAAGTATGGGTGTTTTCTCAACCGTTATCTCGTCTAACTTTACGAAATGCCGTGTCACGCAATGCGATACAAATTGAAATTACAACACTCAAAAATTACATCTAAATATCACATTTAATTTATTTTTTTTATTACATTTCCGGTCTTTTCACCTATTTTTCTCAAGCATTGAGTTTGCCCTCGGCCTCATAATGCGACCCCATATAATTCATAGCCTGTCATTATCGTCTTAATATTTCTATTATTAAATGACCTCGTGTTGATCGAAGAGGTAATATTTTGTAAGTAATTAATATCATATTGCTCGTCAAAATAATCCTTCAATTTCTAAACTTTGTATTGAATACGCCAAGTAAAGGAATGTTTTTTTTTCTCGATGCAGGTGTTCTGACTTTCAAACATGACTTGGTCTGAAGAATATACTGCCATTAATACTGCGTTTCTATTTTTAAAGTTAATAAAATATATAAATTCACAAATGAAAACTGAGCAATGGGAGTCCAAATTTAGTCACGGAGGATATCATTTGAATTCTAACTTCCCATGATGACCACCTTTTTATTACTTTCCTGCAAATATAAAAAAGACCGACTGGAGAAGTGATTAGTCGGATAGTGCGTCTGTCTTATTTTGAAGCATAAGTTAACGATTGCCGGTTAATTCGAAATCGAAACTTTTAAATTGGATGATTCTGCATTCCAAGCCCAATAACTGCACCATAATACTTTGTATAAACTATAAACTCTACAATCCAGTTGTTAAAACTAGCGATACAATTCGAGGTATTCAAAGCTAATACAATAAATATCTTGTAACTATCTCTCACATATATTTAAAAATTTATTTTGATCAGGATGCTCCTAGAGCTGGAGGAAGAGAATCAACACTGATTGAAATCATTTGCACAAGACATGACTTGGTAACGTTGTTCATATATTACTCGTTTGTTAATGAAATATGTGTATATACACAACGATTAATTTTACACATAATTCGTTTTTGTATCAGCAGGCATTAAAGGCGATAGAAAAAGAATATGCAAACAGTAAGTATCAAACAAAATTGTATTTGTTACCGTGATTAGTGTAGGTCAATTTGAGTGGTTAAACTATTTTATTATTGACATCAAGCACCTCACTGACTGTATTAACGAGCGATGTCGCCTCTTCCCATTTCAGAACAAAAAATGATCCATTAACACTTCGTTAAACTTAGAATCCTTGATTTATTATTTTAGTGTATTACAGACGCCGTGACAGCACAGTTAATTTCCACATGTAACTATCGGATAATAACTACAGTTGTTATTCTATATTTAGAATATGGATCTAAATTAAGCAGCGACATCACCGCGATGACATCCGGAGATTTAAAACAATTTTTGCTAACGTTACTGTCTCAAGAACGGTCGTCAGATTTAGACGTCAATCAAGATCTTGCGTCGGAAGACGCCGAAGAATTATTGAAGGTATTTTTATGTTCGTTACGTTTAGGATTCTAAACGCAAAGCAGGGATAGATTTTTGGAACGACAAAAATTCTGCCTTCCGGCAAATTTTACCCACCTGACCAGGATTTACATATTTATCCCGGGGGCCATGAAAGACGATAAGGCCTCTCTTACGGTTACCAGTTCATGTCGGTTATTGAATTAGTTAGGTAGGTATTTGTTTTATATGCATGGACTTGATGGTTGAGGAAGTCGTAACGGCGGCGAGGAGTCCAGCAATCTTGTCGCACATAATTTTCCCCAAGCGATTCGAACCTGCGAACCCACGCATAGTAATCAGAGGTGCGGTGGCAAGCGTATTTCTAAGGCTTAGCACGATGCGCCACACCGCCGAGCCTGTTACACTACTCTACTACATACTGAAGACTAAGTTTAAGTTATGTACGTTGACTGGGATTGAACCCACATTTTCTAATTTGCAGCTTTTACAAATTATATTTATGTACTAACGAGAATATCGGTCAGACCGAAGACTTATCGATCGAAAGTTAGGAGATCCCCAAAACAGCGCTCTTGCTCCATAGTTACACCTTGTGTCCCATCACTAATTAATTAATAACTCGCTTTTTATACCACATAATTTGCCCAAAATCAATAGGCTTCTTGTCCGAGATATGATAAATGCACATGCACAATCTGGAGCAGATTCAATCTTGCTTTCGTGAGTATTGCGTGCATCTAACAGACAGACAAACAGACAGACAGACAAACAGACAGACAGACAGACAGACAGACAGACAGACAGACAGACAGACAGACAGACAGACAGACAGACAGACAGACAAAAACCTATCAACATACGTACGATTGAAATCGATAGGTAATAACTAGGTAGCCACTAACATTTTTAATTATATTTCAGATTGATGTTGAAGATCGGTGGAAAATAAGTGAAAATTCGGGAAGATTCTCAACTATGCTGAAGACAGAAGGTTATGCTCAAATGCGGGCTGCATTTGTTGAATATGAAAGAATGTCTGGTTTGGAAGTTTCAGCTTCAGTAACTGGAGCGATGGAAAACGAAAACGAAGCACATGAAGAATATTGGGATGCCGTACTCGCGTTTGGTAAGTTATTACTAAAAATATGATGGTGAAAACCATTGAGCTATTGTAGAAATATTATAGATTTGAAAAGAGACGCAGATTTGACTTTCCGCGCACTCAGCATTCAAAATACAACGCAAAGTGTATATGGACATTGACATTGACAGAAATTGAATGAAAACGTATAGAACAAAATTGACTTCATTTATATTACCTATATGCGGAAGAGTTTTCTACTTAAATATTTACATCTTGGGGAATTGGTGGGGTAGGCGGAACTCACAGCGGCTTGTACTTAGCATTTATAGCCTCCAATGACAAGACAAACATTTGTAAAACGAAGTAGTGTTGGGACTGAAATGAATTTAAAAAAAACCCAAAAAAATGTTTTTTTGTTATTTTTCTTCAGTAAAATGTCTGCGAAACTGCCCATCGTTTTTCGCTGACAACATGCACAAAAGTTTGACAATTATTAAAACGCAAACATCAGATAATGGAAAAGATATAATTTCTACTTGGGCAGAAAAAACACTAATAAGGTAAAAATATGACTTATTTTCACTGCTATTATTATCTCATTTCTTAAATATTCCCGTTATAGCAATTATCAATTTCTTAAAATCCAATTTCCTTTCGGTGCCATTCCATGTAAAAAATAAAACTTATTTCCAGTAATATTCCAATAACGTAAATTCGAAATATCTTGTTAAAACCAAATCACTATAGCACAATGAATGTACCTTTTTTTTGCGTGCTGTTTCTCATATGTAGTGGTTTATACAAGTATCAATGGCTTTTTAACGACAATATTGAATATCTGTTGAATATCTCCTATTCTTGGAAAATGGCAAAACTCAAATTTTCTAAGGAGGACGATCTGATTTCTGTGCCCATCAGTAACAAAGTAACAAACTGTTATATTATATGCAGATGTATTCTCACACGATGTGAAGCCGATCTTTCACAGATATTGCGCACATATAAAAAGAAATTCGGTATTACACTTCATTCAGATATCGATGAAAGTTGCAATTTACCTTACAAAGACATTCTTCTTGCAGTTATAAAATGTAAGTCCTAAAGCTGAGTGCATGGCCTTGCATATTCATAAGTTTTACTTAGATAAGAAAAGATCACCGATGTCAGATTGGTTCAACTCTTTTTCTAGAAATCGTTATTTGAGTCCTTGATTTTACGTACCAATCCCCCAGGTGTGTGTGAGTGGTGGCCCATTGGTTACTTAGTCATTTATCACAGTGGAGTAATAAGTAGAGATCTTCACCACGAAAAAGCAAATACCGCAACCAACGCGGCGAATAAATATGACGGTAAAGAACTAGCAGACGGACAGGCAATTAAATAATCATACTGTCAACAATTTCGTAATCATTAATTTTTTATACAATTCAACACAGTTTGCAATTGCGCATTAAAGTTAACGCTAAATATTACCTGGTTAATAATGAAATAAACAACACCCAATGATTGCTATTCACTAGCCAAGCGAAATTTTTTTGAGCGATCAAAATTCCAATTATATTTACAGATCAAGGTAACGGTTCACGAAAACGACATCCTCAGCACCAACAAAACGGCAAACGAGTAGCTGGAATGCTCATCAGAGGCCCTCCTCAGCGTCAATCACTAAGTCGACCTACTCAAGTTTGGAATTCATCCGATAGACTCAATAACAGTCCTTTGAATAAAGGTCAAAACAAACCAACAACAACACCAAAAAAATTCGATGAAAATGGAAGAATAAATACAAGAAGAAAGGTACGCGAAGAAATAGTCTTTGTCCGATTAGGGTTACAACTTGTCATTCTATTTAATACGAATACAGGAGGCTTTTTAGTCGTTCCACTCTACATAAACTGAGCTTACCAGTTGTCACAAAATTTATTTACTAAAATCTTTCCCATAAACATCCGTGACTCTCATCCCTCTCCCCAAAGACCCACGCTGTTTCCGTGAGTGTTTTGTGTCAACCTCTATCTTCTGATATCTCAAAGTTAAACGTATAGTTCCTAGCGCGTCAACCACTACTTTGTGCCTACGCGGGATGGCACGTAAAATCAGGTTATTTCAAAATTCTAAGTTAGCCAGCCTTCAATTTTAATCTATGTTTCTTTACAAACCAATTTAGACCAAAACCAGGCCAAGATATCCTATTCTTCATCCAAAACCATTCTTGTGAAGATGTTCTCTATTCTAGTGGACCTATATATATTCTATAATAAATAGCAAGGTTCTTTGTAAAATCTATACATGTGTTGTTGTTTAAGCAATTATGTACGACATAATTATTAGCTCCGTGTTGCCTTGTGATGATCTGTTGAGTAAGAATATTATGTTTATTTATTAATTTAATATACATATATTTATTAAATTTGTGTGATGCATGATTTTTTGTTATCGCTGTTGAAAATAATCTTTCTAATGTTGTCTTCCATGAAACTGCTTCCACGTTACTACTTTTCGATTCGAATTCGTATTCAAGAGCGTAGCCAGCCCAAAGTTATGGATGGCCAAATATTGTTTTTGTATAATGCCGTGATACGACGCTTACTCGCGCCTTTTGCTCCGAACAAGATTAAATAAAATCAACCACTGATATCCAACAATATCTTAAGCCCATGGCTACGCCTACGTCTGCATTATAATCAATGTAAAATAAATTAGATCGAAAAGATCCAGTACAAACATATACCATAGTTGAAAATGATTCTTTATGAGCTAAAGTTATGAAAATCTTCCATAGATTTGTTTTTACCTAAGGTTTTAATTCCAGATGTCAAACATGGCAACGGTGACGCAGGCCAGGGATTTTAACGCGGAACGTGATGCCGAACAGATTGGGAACTCACTGAGAATCTGGGGTAAGCAGATGATGTTGATCAGCTATGAAGCCGCATATGGTATTTGCATTCAACTTAACTACTTGGCAGATTATGCGGTCAAGCCCAAAGTTCATTGCATGGCCTGGTGTGCTTTTAGTTGAGAAGAAAGATTCAAGTTTTTCTACAACTTTGTATCTTTCTACATGTCAAAGGCTGCTCCTTCACAGTTTTGTTCAAAAAATGTTATATAAAAATGCGAATTACATAATACAAACTGCAGTGATGGAAAGTATACACAAAATAATTATATATATTTATATAAACATGTGACAAGCTAATAATTTCTTTAGAGAGAGAAGGTCATCGCACTGTACTTTCAATTCTATGTGGTAGAAGTAATGATCAAAGACAAAAATTACGATCTGTTTATGCTTCGAAATATAAAAGAGATCTTGTGACCGATCTCAGAAAAACTGTCAGGGATAATTTTTACGGAGAGCTGCTATCAGGTAAGGATACTGAGAAAAGACGGTTTATAGGTGGTTCAAAATGGTTTTATTTCTATACCGAATAGATTTTTGTCAGGTTTATTCAGCTAATAAAAACGATCTCGCATTAAATTGGCGGTACGCATTTTGTGTTTGGTTCTGTCCTAAAATCTAAACCTGCTCTCCAAATGGGGATAATTTATTCTAAAATTTATTAAGATCATATTTATATTTACTTTTTTCAAATATCAAACGGATTTGTGCTAATTTGCTCTCCTAATCTTCGACAGAATAATTTACGGTTCAAAAACAATAATCCTATGTATTTACTGGTACTCAATAACTTGATTGTTGGATTTTTCACACCGATATATACTTCGAGAAAATCTTAGTATGATTGTTACAACCTATTATAAACTAATTTTATTTAGGTTGGTTAAAAACTAAGGTTGAGTTTGATGCAACTGCAATGCACGAATCACTCACGCATGTCGGGATGCAAGAGATTGCCATGGAAATATTTTGCACGAGACCAAACAAGGTAGTCTAATATAGATACAATACTACGTGCCTCTCATTTTCATAATTTATAAAGCTGATAACGACAAAAATCACGTTAACTATTTAAAACATTCGATCAACGATAATTGTCATCATATTAATTTTGATTCTTGCTGAATCTTTCTTCATTAATTGTTATTATGAGCAATAACGGTAACTAGAACGATAACTAGATGGATAGTAGGTCAACGCGGTTACATAGCTTCTATTGTCGCAATGCAGTAGTCATTATCTTCTGATTTCTGTTTTATACAGCAGGTGAAAAATGTTGCTGATGCTTATCGTCGATTATATGGATCCACTATTTCTGAAACAATCAAAGAAAAATTCAGGGAAGGATATTGGAAGCAGATTTTATATGCGCTATCGAGAACAGAACGAGATATTACAAATGCAGTATCGACTGGAACAGCAACGACAAGTGCGACTAGCTTGTACGAGGTTAGATAATGGGATATAGAAAAATAAATATTCTATGAAGTCATATCATATTCACTATATCGAAATTAATCTGGGCAAATCTACGTTCGTGAAAATTTTCACTGGACTATAGGGATGGGCAAAGTATTTTTTGCCAGCGCCGCTTCAATAAAGTGTTTATGGACCTCCAGAAGTATGTGCACCAAGATGTCGCACAACCTGAACATAGTATGTGTGTACCGATTAGGATTCAGGTTGTGCGACATCTTGGTGCGCATACTTCTGGAGCACCGTATTTATATATTCCATTTGACTATGCTTTTCTCATTCTCTATGGTAGTGTCGGATTTATTGGTGACTGACGTTGTTGAATCGGACATAAAAAATGACTAATATTATTTTAATAATTCACACTTTAGATATTTTAAATAAAGTTTGAAAATAAATTATGTAGGCCTATATAATTTTAAGAAACTTTACAACATTCTCCAAGAGCATGGCACTCCAATGGCGCACAATATGCTCTGGCATAATGCTGCCTGCGGGTCGTAGTTTTCTCATTTCTACACTAGGCAAATAAATGTTTTATGTGTGTACACGTTGGGCTACTGCAGATTACTGTGGACCCAACAGAGCAGTTGGAAGAGGCGACAATGCTAGGCGCAAAACAGATGTTACTTTCCCTTTTCAAGAAAACTCCCCGTTCTTTCTAGTTTCATTGCGTGATAAAGTATTGAAATCTACCAATCAAAATAACAATAGAAATACAACTCGAATGATAAACAGGGAAACCATGCGTGCTGTAAAACTCCGTAAGGGGGCCATAAAGGTTGAGAACCACTGCTCTAGATGTTTTTAGTTATGCTTTTTATAAACAACTGCATGTCTGTCTATTAAAATCCAATGTTTTTTACTTTCTTATGTTACAGGATGAAATATCAGGACTAGGCGGCTCGAAGTTTATTCATATTTTCACTAAATGTAATTTCTCTCAAATAAAAGCGATCATTAATGCGTTCAAGAAAGTATCCGGAAAAGATCTAAATGAATTTATTAAAAGTAGTCCTGACGAAAGTAATGAAAAGAAGAAAGCAATGAACGCTATTGGTAATTATATTCATAATTGTTTACAATTCATAACTTATGAATGCTAACCAAGCAGTTGATCTTCAACGTTTTTCAGGGCGCACTACTATTGATATATATTTATATTTCAGTATGCTGCTGCAAAGATCCTGCTGGCTATTTTTGTGAAAAACTTCACAAACTTATCGTCGAAGAACAAGAATTAGCGTCTGCAAGTCGAATCATTTTATCAAGAGCAGAGGTTCGTATACTAAAAAATATTGCCAATACGGAATTTTACTTATTCATTGATAACACTCGCTTAATTCGTAAATGGTTTGCGATTCATGTGTTCATCTTATTCACGTGACGAGAATTATTCGTAATTCGTATCGTTAATAAATTATCGACATTGACAACTTTTATAGAAGATGAACGACTTAGTCGAAAACGACCCAGCCCGTCTCGAATTCGCGTTTTTGCTGAATTGTTAGAGCTGATAAATTAACGTAGTAGTGCAGTATATCTTCGCTTCTTCTTCAAATTTTTATCGCAATATTCATATTCGTTAATTTATTTTATTAACCTTTGGAACGCAGGTTGATCTCGAACTCATCAAGCAGATTTACAACGACACATATGGAAAATCGATCACGGAAGATTTGAATTCAATTTTTTTCGACGATTATAAACAATTTCTTTTGCAACTTCTAAATGGCCAGCAACGTAAATCATCAAAATGAAATTAGAATGTTGAACAGATGATTCAGTTACAAACAAATCTCGATTCTACATGATGATTAATGTCGCATCATCAACACATTGTGGCAGCTACTCATTAAATATTGGTGACAGTCATATCAAAAACCAGTAGCGTTGTTTAAGAGCAGCATATGTGTTTACGCGATGCGCATATTGGAATCTAGAAAATGTCGAAAAATTCCTCTCAGTAAGCTTATATTAGTCGCTGGCATTTACCCCCGTTTTTTTTAAGAATTTCAAACAAAAACGCCATTGCCTAAATTTTGTCAACCTATTTGCGTTGAGGAATTGGTTTTAAATACGCCGGCAAACTTCTCTCAGCCTACGTACCCAGCACATCTCTAAGGATGTGGGGACAGTAGGATACTTGATAGATTTGAACCCTTTGAAAAATCGTAGCTACTGGCACGAGAATGTCCCCTTGTCAAAATTCTTATTGAAAAACGCCTTCTAAAAATCCCTAATTTAGCTAATTTCACTACTCGCCAAGTCGCCACAAAAAATATATTGCGCGAACTTTTCACTGCATAATAAAATATTTATCTATGAATTTTATTTTTACATTTGAGATAGTTTATATCGATTTTAACGACTTTGCACATTTATCATACCTCTAATATAGAAATATTTTCATGACAACAGGTGTAGTTTTTAAATTCACTTTAGCAAAACATCAGGCAGGTTAAAACAGCCACCCGCTACGGCATACCCGCTTTTGTTGCAATTAACAATACAAGTCTGCTAATGCAGTCGGCAGTGGTTCAAGGGGATTGCGCACAGTTGGTGCGCAAATAAACACCTGGTGGACAACAGTCAATTATTTGTTAGCAAGGATTGTTATGCAGCGGGATGATCACGACCATTATATATACGCTTTGATCACGACGATGCAGTGAAAGATAATGTTATCACGAGAACACAAATGAGAACATTGCTACATTTTATCCCTGGGAAATAATCTAATTCATGTTTATGTTCCATGCCAATGCTTTTCAAACTATCAAAGACACTTTTGCTTCTTCTCTTCTATAAATTTTTTTTATTTTTTATAGTTTCGCATTTCCGTAATGTTTATTCGTGCTACCAGATAACCGATCCGTGGCCTCCAAGAAGGCCTAGGTCCCCTTTTAAGAAACCCTGTCATAAACTAAAGGCGGCGACCGTGCTTTTCTTGTCTGTTGTCATGCTGTCCCTCGAATTCAGCTACAATAAAATATTTACGAAAACGGGTTTTAGATTTTATGATTTCAATAATATTCTCGGCAATGAATGATATACGGGTGGTAAAATGCCAAGTTATTCCAACAACATGATCATGTTCGGCAACTTACAACCAATATTTTGTATGTAACTTTGTTTAAAAGAGCCCCAAAAGATCTAACTACTAATATCAAAAAAGTGAGGCCAAAAAAGTTAACACTACAACATAGTAAAATGTGCTGTATTTACGATAGATAACAGGTTCACCTAAAAGCATTACATGTAAAATAAAGATATATACATTCAGAAATATCTACTTAATTAAGACTTGGTGAGATGTATCTGTTGATGATTTTATGTGTTTGTTTCGGGAGTTTAATGACAGAATTAATTGTGTTTGTTGGAGATGTTTAAAAAAAAGGTTGAATGGAAAAAAGTTTTCACTAAATGTCAAGGTTTGAGAGTAGAAAAAATAATTCCATGTTTTCTTCATTCGATGAATTCATTCATTTGATTTGCCACAGAACTTCTCCGATAAATACGCGCAGCAATTGCGCCAGACAGATTTGCCAAGATGGGATTTCATCGCATTGCAAACCAATATTAGCGATTCTTAGATATATTTGCGCATTCCCATCTGAACTGCGTGGAAAAGATTATACTCCATCTACTTTGCATCCAAACACTTGAAAAACTATGTCAGATAAGCGTCATATTATCGAATAACAGTAATGGAATAGTGCAACGCAAACATATAAGGCGTAACTTTCTGTAATATGCAATCAAATAATCTTATTGTAGAATATAGCCTATATTTAAAAACATCTCATCACGCCAACCGCAGTCCGAAACTTTTTGTCTCTGGCTGAGCTTAGATACCAATTGGCACCCATGTAAACTGGTAAGAGGCAGGTTTCATATTGAAACGCCACGGGATGGAACAGATAATATGACTATCCATCACCAGCTGTCATTTGAGTTGGTAGTGCTGTTTTTATTGCAGATGATACTGATCTTTTTGTATTAAAGATTTATTGGCATCACCTATTTATGAGGATGTCAAATGATGGATATCAATAAACCAGTTAAAACCAACACGCAATGTTACAGAACTTACCTCCAACACGCGGTTTGAATGAATGGAAAAACTGAAACTAGTATTCTTTAAAACAGCATGCAATTCTATGAGATGAAATCATATTATACAAAGCTCGCCAAAAACCTATAGGCCAATAAACAAGTTGAATTTGAAGCCTGTGCGCGTTAACACGTACAACCGGAGCACTCAGGAAATGTGTGTGATGTACTGGTGATCAAAATGTTCGACTCAACTATGTTGGCACAGGCGCACATCTCGGTTTATCAACCCTTTATCTCAACAGAGATATATTAATTTGGTCAATGCTAAACCTGAAAGGTTCCGATTATTCCAAAAGAGAACACGTTAGGTACCATATGGATGGTTTTAAATGGACTTGTTCGGAGCGAAAGACGAGATCAAATATTCCAATCCATTCAACCGATAAAATATTTCCCCAAGTCCAGAAGCTTTAAGCAAGAAAACGAAATGCCCACAGCGACACAAATGTAGTTAGAAGAGTGCAAAAGAAAGTGGCTAGATCAGTGATTCCCAAACTAGGGTCCGCGGACCTTTTGGGGTCCGTGAAGTACTTTCCGAGGGTTCGCGAAAGAAATCTGTTGGATGGCTCAAAGTTTGATAATGCAAAAATTAACTGCTTAAATTTGGAAAGACACATTTATCGCATTATGATGCTTTACAATCTCTGCTGAGGACACTGATTCTTCACTTTCTGTTTCGATTAGGCTTTCCCGATTGTGACGTCACAAAGCTATGGCAGCTCCTGCCACGAACAAACCGCGGCGTCTCATGCCATGGTTTAATGGCGTTATAATTTAGTAATCAGTATTATCGGCATATTATCGAAGTCATGTGCCGTTTTTTTGTTTAATATACAGAATTATACCTAATTAAATCTGGAACCAAACCTCAAATCCATTAAAACTGTATTGATAAAAAAAAGTACCAACCTACTCATTGTTTGTCACCAACAGGGGCAGCCCTGCCAATACATCAGACATGCCTTGGTTACGGCATCAAAATTTTACCCAACATGATTTTTTAATTTGCTGCCGTGGTACCGGTTTGGGGCAGCTAAAAAGTCAGTCGCCGTGGTTTGACCGGAGCTCTAGAAGTAATCTATGCGCACCAAGATGGCGCACAACCTGAACATGGTATTGTGTACCCTGTACCGGTTAGGGTTCAGGTCGTGCGACATCTTGGTACATATGCTTCTGGAGCGCCGTTTAGCCATAGCGGCCATTGTTTGGAAATCTCGCTAAATACTTAAAACTGCACTTGGAAGTGTAGATGGCGCTGCCTTTTTGCATGCTTGTTGTTATAGGAGAGAATTACAGTAGGTAGTTGATAAAGTATGCCACTTCGTTTCTAAATGCTGTTTTACGCTCTTGTTTTGAAAGGGAGATAGCGTTAAGTATAGCGCAGTCAGAAAGGCACTACGTTGTAGTTTTTGGATGTCAAATTTAGTCTTTGACACACGGTAACAGTAGGCATATATTTTTACGTTTTCAACTCTGTATTATCAATTTCAAAATGTCTTCTAAAATTAAGATTGAGATAATCGTATGTAATTTTATCGTGATAAACGCAGGTGAAGATATGTTTTGCACTACACCGTGTGGAGCATTTATTTTTGTTGTGAGCTTGTTTTATGTGATATCTTTCTGTCTTTCTTTGATAATGTTTTATTTTAGTCAATTAGTGCACAGGGCCGCAAAACAAAAACAAAATTGCAAGAGGTTCGTCAGACATTTTTTTTGAAAAAGTTTGGGAACCACTGGGCTAGATGCTCTCGATGGATCTTGGCTTATATTAGTGAAATAATCTACCATTTGTGGTACTGAAATTGAATTTCTGACATTGTAAGGAGATTTAATGCTACTATGTATTCAAAACTAACCCATGTAGCTATGAAATAATTGTTTATATTAACAAAAAGGTGCCCCCTAAGTAGGGTTACTATATTTTTGTGACTTCAAGTCGGGACGCCTCGAAAGACAACGACTCCTTAGCTGTGATTTTATAACTTCACATTTTCCGATTTTACTACATCTGCCTACATTTAAAGCTGTCTCGGCTGTCTTTATTGACCATATTGTTATCGAAATTTCATGCGCATATTCTCTGTCCAAATATCGGGTTCGGTTCCAAAAAATAGGAAGGAATTGACGTTAATGATACCGGTACAAATAATTCGAATTTAGACTAATTAGTATTGGTTTTACATGCGATACGTCTGCCATCAATGGGAATCAGCTGGAAACGAACGCATTCACCTTCAGCAAGTAGGCTAGCGCTGCGCTACACAGAAACAACAGTAACGAGAACATGTTTGTATGTTATGCTGGAAAAGCGGGACTGTCCCGCCTAAAGCGGGACGTATGGTAAGCCTACCCCTAAGCATTCGTAACAAGATGGCGCACAACCTGAACATTGTATGTGTACCAGGTTTGGGTTCAGGATGTGCGTCATCTTGGTACGAATACTTTCAGAGCGTCTCAAAATCCACCTAGAAATCACCATATGTCCACACCGTTTCACTAACTTCCATTGCATAAATTTGAAAAATCCTAATCCCGAATTAACTGAGTACAACACCACAATACAAGGTTTATGGAGGTTTACTGAAATGAAGGTATCAAACACTCGTTTCTTCTAAATCATGGAGAATTGAGGTTGTAAAGTACCCAAGTATTACAATAGCTTTGATGGAAAAGGAGAGATTTTATCAAATTTAAAAATATGTTATGAAATACTATAGTTACAATGCAGTGAATACATTTTTATCTTAATCAGAACAGAATGAGTGTAGTAGAACTGAAATTTCGTCAAAATATTCCATCTTACATTCCAGATTTTTCAATTTTTACCAATAAAGTTTCAAATTTTTTAATTTTCAACCATTATAGAACGAAGAATGTATGACAATAAAAATTGTACTATTAAATTGTTACCTGTCCACCCACAAGCAGCAATATAAATAAGTTACCATGACAACATAAGGAAACAAACAAGTGTCAAAAAAAAACTTTATACAATGAAAATAAATTGCTTTACAAAATAGAGTACGAACAAAAAATAACTTGCAAAAGTTGAAGGCACTTTAATACAATGCATCCACCATATAAACCGGACTAGCAGACTTGTTTAAACAACCTGCCACAAGACAAAGTTCAGCAGCCTAATAACCGTTATAACTCATGATAAACAGGGAATAGTTTTGTTCATTCATTTCTTACAATTAAACACTTGTTGCATTTTCATTATAAATATAAGTAGAGTAGATTTTGGATTTTATGTAAATGAGATATTATGCCCTATTTTTGACAAATCGTCCTGACAACGAGAGAAATGGTTAAAGACATTTTGCTTTGGACTCTGGACAAGATATTTGCTCTGTTTCAAAGATTTGAATACAAACAATCGAGAAGATTTTGCTTAGAATGAACAATGCTTTTTCGTCTGAATTTTTGCAGAAACGAAGACACAATATGGACATTTTGAATGGCCATTCCAATAATACTTTTACGTTCAATTCATATTCGAACTCAAATTTATTTATGATATCATTCTCTAGACTTCCAGGAGAATAATGTAATTTCAACGCGCCTGCAAAACGCTTTCAAATTTTTTGTTCTCTTTTTTGGAAGAAAATTCGCTCAAAGCAAGTCACGCACACCGACTGAGAAAGAAAAAAGAAAAATCTTGGAACGAAATTAAGGTCAACCGCTAGAGAATGTACCATCGATGAAAATCTAATCTAGTCTAGATTACGCTTTTCTGAACTTTGCAATATTCCAAAGATTGACTATTGTACTGAACAATAATAGTATGTGGATGTGCATATACATAAATATGGCTACTGAAATTTATTCTTGTTGTTTTGAGCAAGCAAATAAGTCTTCACATAACTTTGTTAATTCTTCATTTTCTTTTTTAGAATCTCGTATTTGTGAAGTTAAAGATTCACATTTAAGTTCTAACATTTTTAGTTGAGCTTGTGCCCTTGCTACTTCTTGTTGTGCATTCATTTTGACAAATTGTAATTCAGCATTCGCTCTAAAACGAAAAAAGAAAATTTTGAATGATAATATTATGACAGACATTCAGGTAAAAAAAAACAGTTACAGTTATATATAGGTTTGTAAGAAAGTTCCCAAGCCTTGTATAAAATCAAACATATTATTAGGATTCAACATTTCTCACCCAATTTGAATTACCCTAAAATCTAATGCATTAACCACTATGACACCATACCCATAAAATAAATAATTACCGGAGGTATCAAAATATAATAAATTCATTTTACTTTTTAATCTCTTCAGTAGCTTTTACTTTCAAAGATATATATTTCTTTTCTGTTTCTTTTGCCTCCTCCATCACTTCATTTGCTGATTTTTTCAAAATATCTTCATTCTGTAAAAAAGATACCAATATGAATGGGTGCTCACACATCTTTTCATCTAAACAAGACTCTGGACAAGTGGACAGTGGAATATTGCAGGTTTCACATATAACTTATCCAATTTATTTATATCTACTTCAACTGACCTGACGCATCATGATTCTACGCGAGTTCACAATTTTAAACTTTGCAGGAGATAATTGCAGGAACAGCATTGCTGGAATCCTTACCATCACACAAGTCCACGCATCCAAAAAATAACTGGTAAACTATTCCCATACCCGGCATGAACTAGTCATCGGACAAAAAACCGTTGTTTCTCATTGTGACCACGCTGGCTTATCAGCTTTCCTCTTCCCAGGATAAATGTGAAATTCTATCATACTATTGCAAGAAATTTACGATTATAATACCTGTTTGAATTGTACTACAACAGCTTTTAACTTATTATATCTTCTGCATAAATCTTCATGAGATCTTTCTAATGCAGCCATATCTTCTAATGATTGTTCACGTTCTGCTTTTAATAACTGTTGTTCACGAGTCATCTTCCCATTACTGTTAATTTCAGCAAATAGTCTTTCGTATTCTTTCACAACAGTACTGAAAAAAAATAATGTTGTGATATGAAATCAACATACATATATATATTATATATTACTGCCATTAGAAGTCTCAGATTGTTGAAAACTTAAACACTATAAAAAAACTAAAAAAACTAAAATTAAAAAACATACATCCAATATTCAGTCAAAAATGAAGTAAAAAATTCAGAAAAATATTTCCCAAAAATTGCAAGTCCCAGTCGTAAAAAAATAACAAGGCACAACCGTATAATATTCTAATACAGGTATAGGCCAAACTAAAATCTGAGAGAAATTCAAAATGTCTAAATGCCGGTAATAAAAAAATTGTTTACGTTAATTGTTCGGCTTCCGCTTTCATTGTCTCTTCTTTTTTCCTAGCTTCATTTTTTTCTTTTTCCCATTCCTGTTCAGCAGATCTTCTAACATTATCTAAATCAGCTTGGGTATATTTAAATATAGAAGAAGCAGAAGATTGTTGACTTATATAAGATTGATTATTAAAACTATCCATCGACACTGAATGAAGTTCAAGTCCACTGGAAACATGGAATGGTGGTGCTACCTGTAAATAGAAATTACAGATACATGATTAGGACATCAAAAAAATTACAAATCGAAAATCTGCTTCTAGTGTTACTTTTTAATTGGTAACTAAATGCCGATTGACACGATAAAAATTATTCGAAAAAAAAGGGTGCTCCTGAAGTATGCGAACCAAGATGGCGAACATCGGAACGTAACATGGGTAACAGGTTAGGGTTAGGTGATAAGTTTTTTTCAATTTTCCTCATTTTAGTCCTATTATCAGTTCAAAGACAACCAAGGGCTTCCCGTAGTTTTTATACCTAAAATTATGGCCTTACCTAGTACACATATTACATTCCGATGTCCGCCATCTTGGTTCGCATACTTCGGGAACCCCAAAAAAAGAACTTCAACAATTAAAAAAAAATGAATTCATTTTTGGAAAAATTATGAACCTCCCTGTTAACATCTTAGGGCTAACAACTTGTTTCAGTATGTTTTAAATCTTGCTATACTATCTTACTCGAGGATTTGATATTGGGCTAAAACACGCTACTTTGACATGGCTCACTGTAAACAATAGTAAAATAATAAAATCCAAGTACCTAAATATTGACTTTTTTGTACAAAAGTATTCTATAAATATACAAACTTTATGCATATTTTCTGATAATGAATATATTCTCATGAAGGATAAATTTGATAGACAAAATATTTGGGTCTCCCGAAGTACGCACCCCCCAAGTACTTCTAGTTGGTCTGACTCTACAACTTTTGCACATATCATTCCTAACCCCCACCTGCCTATGTCCTGCGAAAAATGAGTCCCTGCGAAGTCACAGTAACGTAATAAGGCCTTCCAAAGTATACGGATGGTCGTCTAAAACGCGTAGGCATTCATCTGAAGTTGAGCAAGCTATTTCTCTTGTTTTCTTGCAGAAACAATACCGATGGGAGAGAGATCGCTGGTGTAGTGAGTTCAATTTAGTCGGCACAGATGCCATTTTGGATGATCGTAGCTATACTTTGGCAAGCTCGATGACGTGATTGTGATGTCGTAGTGTCGTAATTTTTGGAAGACGTAGTCAGGTGGGGGTTAGGAATATTGAGTGTAAAAATCATTATCCTATGCCCACTGGAAGTACTTGTGGCCACGTACTTTTGGAGAGCCAAATATTTTTCTATAATGTATCCAGAATACTATCTCATTTACGATAATTTTGACTGCACACGGGATACACCAATATATGAACAGAATTTAACTTACAGCTTCATTTGTTCCTGCTAAAGATATTATTTCATTTGATTTCGTTTCCGTTGGTAAATGAGATTCTTGCTGTTGTTCCTTTACTTGTATATGATCACCAATTGCTTTATCATCAATGTTATTTTCTGTAATATCCCTGAAATATTTAAAATGTCAAAATGAATAAAAAATCAGAAACTTTTCCAAGCCTAACAGCAACTGTTTTGAGAAGTAAGTTTAAAAATTGATTAACCGGGGCCAAAATTAGTTGTGGAAGGATATTTGCGGGCCGAGAGAAGAGAGCGCTCATAAGGGCCAGTGCCAGTACTGGTACGTATAATTAAACTACCGCTTGTTAGCTTTTTATAAAAATACATGCGCTTAAACTGTGATTATGATGTTACAATTGATAGTACCTTGAAAACACAAAAAAATAAAGTATTGTTTCACTCAAGTTCGGCGGGCCATTTTAAATTGTGATGTAGCCCATAATTGGCCGCAAATTGGGAACCACTGGTATAGAGATATCGAAAAGTTTTGCTCGGATAAGATTTCAAGAAAATTTCTTTTTGCATAGACAATTTTCAATTAGCAGATTTGGAATATATCATTTCATTTAGAATACTTGAAATAAACAAAATTATACAAAATATTCTGATACATGGCCATCTCTAATATGCATCAAGAGCACAGTTAAATTGTGTATGGTCAAATTTTCTAAAAAATGGGTGTGCAGCATTTTTTGTCGGTGGCCTCACAGTAATCAAAGTAGCGGGCAAAACAGCGAAAGATTCAACACATTATGTGTTTTTATTGTCGGATTAGGATTTTATGCTAGATAGGGAAAATGAGTCTTGACAAGGGCCGCACTAAATGGCCTGGCGGGCATGTTGTGGCATATTGTGTATAAATTGATTTATTAATTTTATCTAAAAGGCTAACAACCATTAATTGAGGCTAGTGCTGCAACACAAAGAATCTAATCTAGGTAATAAAAAACCTAAAAACAAAACAAGAAACAAAACATTTTTGCCCCGACTATCATTATTATAAGAAATATAATTACCTGGTTACATTTAGTTGAGCGTCTTTTTGTATTTGTTGATCGATTTGTTTTATTGGAGAATTGCCGACCAACGGATCAAATTTAACATAAAGCGATTGCTTTCTTAGATCGGATTCTGTTAGAGGCTGAAATAGAAAAATAAATAATTTATAACAAAACTTTAAAGTAAGGATAACCAAGTTTGTAGCAAAAGGGAAGTAGATTTATAGCTATACTATTGGGTCGAGCTCAGTTATATGAGCTATACTTTATTATGGTACTTGAAGAGTAGAGTATAGTTTGCATGTTTTTGAACACTTAAAGTCGTTCACAGATATGAAAATCTGCTGAATGTGGACTTTCACTTTCAGCAGAAGGATCCTTACGTGTGGAAAGCACTCTTCGACTTGAAAGATACCTGGTATACAATGGCCATTATCCTTCCAGTTTAGCATAAACCACCCTAAAAAACATTAGTTATCAGGGTTCTTATACTTGAGTAGACATACGATGCCACAACACCTGATGCTAATAACAATCAACACGCCAACCCCCAACCATCAAAATGATGCTTTTCAAATATCTATGCAATCCCATACTAATCCACAGACACAAATATGAAAATAAAAAAGCTGATATAAAGCTGAGTAAACCCAGGCAACTTCCAATATAACATATCAATAGTTCAATACTGGTTTCAGAGATACATTGCTAAGCTACTACAAAATTACAGTTTGTTGCACATTATGAATAACATTTTATAACTGCAACATGGCTGACCTTATAAAAATTCTAATGCAGCATTCTAAAAGCTTGATATTGACTAATTCCAAGGAACTAGTTACCAAATGTCTACATAAAACTATCTCTGAGCAAATGTATTCTTGGATAAATTTGGTTTTGTTAATTAATAAAACACTAGTAATGACAGATCAGCCCATACAAATCCTCCAACCTACACCTGTCATAATAATAGCTACGGTAGACAACTAAATCCTGTATCACCGAATGGTAACCTTAATAAAAGCTAGGCATCCATTTAAAACTGTTGTAAAACAAATCTACTAAGCATTGAATACTATTTAAAGTGTCCGGTCGTTAAAACTTTGGAATAATACGTTCATTGTCAATATTTACTCAGGAATACAAATCCTGTGAACTACTATAAGTATTTGGTCGAATACTTTACTCTAGTACCGATTACAAGATAACGCCTGATCAAGTGTGGAGCAGAGTACATTTGGACACAAAATGGGACAATATAATCAATGCAAAAGGTGATTTACAACTTTCAAAAAGTTTCAGGATAGTCATGTAACAGTAAAATGGAATATCTGAATTTTGAGCGGTTCAAGAGCCCTGCTGCACACGAATACAAATGACATTTCTGTTGATAATAAGACCATCAAATCACTTCAAGTAGTCATAGCTTCACTCATGCTACAGCGCCACAGTCCATATTATGTACAAAGGCGTAGAAGAGGAATAAGTAATTAGTCTCGTGTAATCTTAACTGATAGCTAGGTAGAAAATTTGGCTGACATGTTGACAATACTCTTGGTTTGAATGGCTACAGAATTGACTTCGAGGAGCTTGTTCCATCTACTGCATCAAATGCTTATGATCCCTAATTTATTATGCGTTCCTTACAGTACAGTCTGATAGATCAGGGGCGTGCAACCTTTAACACAAGAGAGCCAGATACAAATAACTGAGTGAAACCGCAGTCCTCACCTTTATTTAATATATAATATAAAAAAATTTAGTATTTATCTTATGACAAGAGTTTTCGCTTCGCTCTAGCATACATAATAAATTGGACCCCAATATAGGCTCGAAATAACTCGCTCATACCATTTCGCGGGCCACGCAATTATTCCTTGTAGGTCGAATTTGGCCCGCGGGTTGCAGCAATAACTACAATTTATTGAGATATTTCTAGAACCTGAAAAAAACTGTCTGCTGGTAATTTTGTAAAAGCATAACTAAACTTTATAAAGACGAAACCTCGGACTCACATTACTTCCATTCTCAGTTTGCTCATAACATTGTTTAAGAAGTATTTAATTAAACTTGACTTCATAAAAGAATGTAAATAGACTGTTCAAATATCAAATTATTCTCAAAATATTTGATATATAAGAAATTAAAAGCAGATGTGTAATGAAAAATATTTGACTAGTACAATTGAACAATAACTAGGGGGAAAGCCATGAAACACTTAAAATAAAATATAACATTCACGAAGTTCCATAATTCAATATTCTATAAACAAAATAGAAATTAAAATTAATTGCAAAGCAGTATCCTATGAAAAGAACTCTGTTCAAAAACTGAGTTATTTCCGCTACATTAACTAATAGTAAATTTTCATAGAACAGACCCTAAACCATTTATACAAATGTTCTTAATAGCTGTTCTCATAGTTGTTAGTTAATTAATGATTATCTTCTTTAAATGACAGCAGTTTGAAAGAAAACCTAGTAATGTTTAATTAGTTATTTAGCCAACACCCAAAAAATCGATATCATTGAATAATAAGCCATGACCATGCATTAAACTGGCTAACTGATTTCAACAAGCTACCGTGTACAATTTCAGCGAGATAAATATAGAAATACTATTCTAACCACAACATTAGAATACAAACATCAACAAAACTCACCTTAGATCCAGATAATTGATCGAGATAATCAAGAGAAGCAGAATCTTCAAAAACTGGAAAATATAAAATTAGAATATATGTCAGATATAGGAATTCATTTAAAAGAAAAATCAATATTGTTCTCAAAACATGTCCTTAATATTAATAGTAATAATATAGACCAGGGGTGTGGCATGTGGGCAGAATCCGGCCCACAGAGAAGTGCCAATTTTAAAGGGTGCTCGAAACAAGTTTTTAATTTAGTTTAATCTAGTATGTGCAAGTAATTCCAATCCCTTCGCATTGCGAAGTTAATACCTGAGACCAATTTATTATCTATGCCTACAACAATGCTTTAATTGCTAGCTTGTGGAAAGCTAACAGTGTATGTCATAAGATCGATATCTAAAAATTTTCTGCAACTACGAGAAGGCATTTATTAAATAAAGGTGTGGCCCGCAGGTTCACCCAGTTATTTGTATCTGGCCCTCTGGTATTAAAGGTTGCACACCCCTAATATGGACAACAAAAACTGCTCCTAATTCAGTATCAAAGTCGTTTTTTAATAAAATTTGCTGCAGGAAGAATCTATTTGAAACAAGTCAAATGGGATATAATGTTTTGAAGACAAGACAGTGATTAGATATGTTGTTTAATAAGGTTGTGCAAAAACTGGTTAAAATCCTTTCTGCTTTTCTAATACCTCAAAATTTGCTTTTGACGTTAGCCACAATGGTGCCACAAGGTAAAGTTAATTGATGAATGAGCTACAAATTCCTAGGCCTATTCCTTAGTGATTATTCAGAACTTGAAACTAACTTGAAGATCGGGGTTAAAACCTTGTGTCTAGCTCTTCACCCAAAGCGTAATATAAATCAGTGAACTATGACAAATCAGACAGAACCCCACTTTTTAAAAACATAGTATGTCCTAACATATCAGTAGTTGATTTACTACAGCCTTTTTCAGAAGAAAGTGAAACTTCAACTAAATGAAATTAACTACGGTAACTAACTTGTCGTTACATGACAAATAACTATTTCAGTCTCGTCTCTAACTGATCTATCTTTAATATACCAAAACAACTTTTCAAAATCTTGTCAGTTTTTCCATACGTCAAAACAATATCACATTATATTTACACTTGAAACTGCACTAAACTGACTCCACCTAACACCGGCATTTCTACCACTACATTAACACAGAGTCGTGAAAACACTACAACGACGAGTTGATCTCAACATGACAAAAGAAATAACAAAAGGAGCTGTTATGTTGGAAAGAAAAAACTTTGTCAACACAATAGGACCCTTCTGATAACAAATACCCTTAAGTGGAATTTACTTTACAGTTTAAGTATGGCCATTGAAAATAAAACATGAATAATGAACTCCCCATACTTAATAAGTTTATACAAAACATAAAAGGCAATTAATTTTTCATTATTAAGCTTCCACATTAATCTACCTAAGAAGGAAATAGGATTATGCGTATTCTGAATTTGATTAATAATCTAATTAGGATCACGAGATATATTATGATATGTGGTAATATAAAATTATAAATGAAAATTCGGCCTTTCTTTTAATTTTTATTGTGTATAGCAGGGGTGACCAACACGTCAATCGATATCATGGAGAGATCGATCGAACCTGATTTTGAGTCGACTTTTCGAATCATACTAAAAAATTGTCTTCAACTTCAATTCACTCAGTGACTGCTGTGTTCCAATAAATGAGGGAAACGTACTGCACATGCCCAAAAGATGATAATATGTCTTGATGAAGCACATTTGAAAAGTACCAAATAAAAGTTTGTCGATGCCAAGGTTTGAAAACAAACAGATCGAGTGAGATGTTTTGAGCGGCGAACAATTCTGCAACCAATATTTCACTTTGCCCTCAACTTCATATTCATAAAGATTTTTTGCACCCTGGAGTCATATCAATTTTGATCTCAACAGTAGCAGTAGCGTCAGAACATTAATTTCAATGTGAAAGTTGGTTTTAAATGAAAAAAGTTAGTTTTAAACTTACCAGCACTCGCTGGATAAAACTCTTCATTTTCATTTACTTTATCAAACTCCATTTGCTGTAGTTTCTTATAGTCAGCTACTTCATTTTCCTTTGTAATTTCCATGCTCTAAAAATTATATTCGTAATTCAATTTTTCAAATAACTTTATACAATACAGCTACAGATATTGCTATTCATCTTTGCTGCTGCATCAATAAAATTATATATGTAACACTTGACAGTTGCAACATAGACGAAACTGCATAAGATATTAAAAATAAAATTCTGGATCATGTTCAACAGAGGAGTGGTAGAAATCAATATATAGTCAACGAGTTTGAATTCGAAAATGTAGCTATTAGGATGAACAGTAATTTAATTGTTTTTATTTTTTATAGTTTGTGATTCCAAACAATAGTTTTTTAAATAAAATTTCTCTACTCTTTTATCTGGCAGGATTTCAACATTTTCAAGGCATGACAGTTTTTGTAAAAATGAATGAAAACTGCTTATAAAAGGTTATTTTACAACTTTCCGACAGAAAATTAGAATATTAAATTATCCGAAACAATAGAATGTATTTACCTCGACATAATTGTTTTCATTCTGCTTTTCTGTTGTTGAAATATCTACAGTCTCATTAGCAGTTTGAAAAGCTGGATCCAATTCATCTGTACTTGTAACTGATGTTAGATCTCTCATTTTATTTTCAATGTCCGGTGTATTTTCTATTAACTGTAGAAAAATATAATGCAAGGATTTTCATTTTTGTGATATTTATCCATTTCCGTTTTCCATATTTTCTATCTAAAAAAGAACCATGCCCTTTTCTCTAAATACTAGTCTCGATTGGGTAAAGAAATTGGAAACAAATAGCCAGTTATTGTTCCCGCTGCATTAACTTTTTTGGATGAGAGATTTATACATAACCAACCAATGGAAGAGACGAGTCTAGTAATAGTCTAGTAATATAATGTATAAAAATCTTTTTAAAATGCACAAGGTCAATGAGGAAGTGTTTTTAGGACATATATGTATTCAGCTATTAAACATAAATATCCGCGAAAATTTGTCTAGATAACTCAACTGTGAAAAGACTAAATAAAGTATAAATAAGGAGGTAAACCAAAATATTCAGATAGATAAATCTCTGCAATATTAAGTCACTTCAACTCTTTTTCCATTCTATTATCATAGAATAAAAACATGACAGAGCGACGACTGACAACCTTAATTCCAAGTTCATGAGCAAATCATCAAACCCAATACTAGCCGACATACACTATGTCCAGTCTATCGATTGCAACATGAAAGTTTTCAATTATTCAAACCGAAATGCTACGGATTATAAAAAAAACTAAAATTATCAGACCCTGCATGATAAATAATTGAATAGGAAAGTAAGGAGAGATTTTGGAACCAAATTTAAGTATTATGTGATACAAGACACTGCAATCCACAAGTAACTAATCTTTTTTAAAATGAATCAGTGGGTTAATAATAAAATTCTGTAAGATATCTTGTCTCCCAAATATGACAAAAATGGGTCACAATATTCTAACAGCTATATTGCAAAAGCACTCATAGTTTGATTCTTTTTACGTATGCATCAAATCATATTTTATCTTTACCATTCATGTCGGATTATTTGAATAGTATTGCATTGAAATTCTATTAGAAATTAATTTTTGATTTTCACTGATTATATTTACAAATCACAAAATGCCAGAATTTACAATATACATAATGCTTTCATTCCAAAGATGATAAATCTTCAAAAATAATCTAATTAGAATCTATTGTAATAATGAATATCTAAAATCATAAAAAAAAAATTAATCCTCACAAATATCATTATTTCTAATATTGTTCAAACTGAATTAGTTCACTATGCTTTCACTTCAATATAATGTAATACATAATACACCAATAACGATATATTTATTGTGATACTTCATTATGGCAAATGATGTCATATATATATATCAAATGCCCTAGGCATAGTATAACACCATGATTCATTACATTCATTGTAATCTCAAAAACTTGATTTCAGATTTCTTTATCTCAACAAAGAGATTTTCATTCAATGCATTCGGTAATTAACCAAAGTTTTTTGTGGCATTTTTAAACTTTTCACATTCGCATTCCAGCAAGTTCTTAGACATTTTCCACAAAAAGAAAAATTACCTTGTCATTTTCGACAACAGGAGAACGTGGTGGTGAACTCATCATCAACGTTTTCTTCGGTTTAAATGGATCGATCGATTCAAATTCATCCGAGTTCATTGTATATCCAGATGAAGGAACATCTTTGGTTGGTGAATTGGAAATTCCTTTTGATGATTTGAAAGGATCTATTGCATCAAGGTTATCAAGATCCAAATTATATGCTCCTTTCGGTAACGGAGGTTCTGCGTTGGAATCAATGATGGCACTCGACTCCTCAACTTTTGTAAGCGCTTCCTTTTGTGTTGACTCTTCTTTTTCCTCCGCCTGTTATAGAATAAGAAAAATGATAATGTAAACAAATACTGTCATTCCATATGTTGTTTACATTCAAAAATAGGAGAGAAATTAAAAAAACAAAATCCTATTGAAATACTTTATCAAAACAAATTAATATGAATATTTAATAATATGAAAAACTTGATAACTTTGTTGTATGTCCATGGGGATATCAGTCTAAAACAGTGCAACTATCTAATCAGTGTCTCTAATATCAGGAAAAAATTACAACTTGAAAATTCTAATTTATTCAGCTAAAACTTGATAAAAAGAGACATTTACGGCTTTCGGCGTATTTACAGGAATTTATTTAAAAATTCGATGACAAAGTGTCCTATCAGACCAACCAACCATGCTTTAATAGGTAATAAAATAATAACAAATGAATTTTTTACAAAACATAAGTTTTTACATATATTTCAATAAAATGCACAAAGATGGACTCACAAAAGTGTAACTTCTAACAACAACTAAAAATACTCACATAGAGCCTTGTTTAGAGAAGTCATAAATGGGCTAGCATTTCTGAAGTAGGTCATCACTCATGATTCAATTTTTTATTCAATGTGGCGTGCTTTCATGCCTCTACTACAGAACAAGACTGTGCATTGCATCAAGCGCTCACCGGTATGTAAAGATCTACCATATTCTGGAACAACCAGTGTCTTTCCAGTTCACTATTGCCTACCCAATTTATCACTTCCCGGACAAAGTGATAGATACGTAGTCAAGGGATTTGAACCACAAAATCTCCAATGTACGACGCTAACTTCATTAATGTTAATGATTCAACCACTAAGTGGTTGCACTAATTATAATTCAAACAAAATACAAAATAAATTTACCTCACTGGTTTCTGCTATTGCCTCAGGTTCAATTTCAGTTTTAGTCGGAGAATTCGGTGGTGAATTCATCATCAATGTTTTCTTTGGTTTAAACGGATCGATCGATTCAAGGTCATTCGAGTTCATTGTATATCCAGATGAAGGAACATCTTTTGTTGGTGAATTGGGAATTCCTTTTGATGATTTGAAAGGATCCATTGCATCAAGGTTATCGAAATCCAAATTATATGCTCCTTTCGGTAACGGAGGTTCAGCAATATCAAGATCAACCTCAACAGAAGGTTCAGGTACCTTCGTAACTACTTTCTTCTTTTTCTTTTGAACTGACGACACTGGTGTTTTCTTTGGCTGTTAGAAAATTTCGTATTTAGAAAAATTATAATATAAATAAATACTGTTATTTCAAAGTTTGTTAGCATTCAAAAAAGGGGACTAACACAACAAACTCTATCTAAAACTGCGATAATATCAAAACAATATATATAAGATTTTGTTTAGGTTAGACTGCAAACCAATTTTATTATCATAAGTGGATTATGAAGATGTGTATGATTGTACATGTCTGTCAAAAATAAACTTGATAATATATGGCAGGGTGGTCCAAACCCAGGCCCACGGGCCACATGTGGCCCGCCGCTTCATTATCTGTGGCCCGCATCGCATTCAGAGAGGAATCAAAAAATCACATTTCTTGTTGTTTCAACAAAAAATTATTCATAAAATCTTTTGACATATTGCTGCATCACTAATGTCAGTATGTCATTGAATTGACTAGTGTTATGGCTTACTGAGGCAACTAGCGAAGTTAAATGAGCGAAGTTTTGGCACTATTGTGGCCCGCGAACAATGCAAAAGTAATTTTGTGGCCCGCGGAGCTACCAATCCTGGACCCCCCTGATATAGGGAATAGCCTAGTTGATATTACATCAGCACATCAGCGTGTATTAATTTTTAATGAATTAGCAAAGGAAACTCTGAAATCTGCAGACACGACATTCTTTTACAACAACATGCAAACTGGTTTTAACCAACCATGTATTTTAATTGAAATTTAGTTTTTTGATTAAACCATTTAGATCTGCAGCTGGTCCATATCCGCAATAGTTTTATGATTACGCCATTTGTAACAATTGTATCAGTTTAAAAAATGTGGGTGCTTTGAGGAAGCATGTGATGTTGCACAAAATTGCCAAGCTTATCACTGTATATGCAAAAGCAGTAAAATTTGCCAATATGACGCTTTATTGAACATCCAGTACTTCGGAATCCGGATGTTTCATTTTAAATTCCATGAGCTCTCGTGTTTAATCTTGAGCTCTGTCACCAAAGATACTATGACACTTTTTCTGAGCTCCTGAAATATCATCAGGCAACTGATCCTTCTTATAGGTTCCAGCACAATTACCAAAGCTCGCGCCCTTTTGCCCTTTTCTCTAAAGTTTCAATGAGGACATTTACGCTAATTTTGTATGAAGTTGGAAATGAATTAATTGGGATATACACTGAAACCATTTGAAATTCAATGTAGTAGTTCTACAATTCAAGTAATTATCACTTACCTCCTCAACTACCTCAGGTTCAGGTTTAGTTCCAGCGGGAGAACGCGGTGGTGAATTCATCATCAATGTTTTCTTCGGTTCAAACGGATCGATCGATTCAAGGTCATCCGAGTTCATTGTATATCCAGATATAGGAACATCTTTGGTTGGTGAATTGGAAATTCCTTTTGATGATTTGAAAGGATCCATTGCATCAAGGTTATCGAAATCCAGATTATATGCTCCTTTTGGTAACGGAGGTTCATCCGTGTTAGTTTCATCTTCTGTTGGAGGGGGAGGCTTTTTCAAACCAGGTTTGATAAGCTTTTTCCGAGCCAAGCTAGTCTTCTTCCTTACCGGCTGTGAATAAAAAAGAATGGAAAAATAAAATATTATATTATAAATGACATCACAGCATTTATTTTTCTCTTAAAGAAGTTCTACTGTTAACTTGGACAAAAAATTTGACATAGATATAACTATTCTCAAAAATATAAATTTATTAATGATTAATTCAAAACATTTTTCAGAAATAATGGACATGATGAACATAAAAATACATATAAATGTGAAAAACCTTTTTAACTTCAGGTTTCTTCTCTTCCTCAACAGCTTTATCAGCTGTAGATTCTACAATGGATTTATCTTCTGAAACCTTAGAATAGAATAAATAGTATAGAATAAATTGTATCAAATTAGTTTATCAATAACTAAAGCATGATTTATGAAACAGAATAAATAAAGAGAATAAAGAAGCCAATGAACAGGAGAAAACTTTATCAGCAAATAAACTCATTTTAACCATTGCAACTATACAAACTTTTCTGATGGTGCATTTGGGCCAAGCAAATGTCAATTGAAGTAGTTGAATAATATTCAAAATTGAAATTAGAATTGTTCAACACCAATCTACTCGCTTTAAAAAAATTAGTCTCAGGATAATATTCTCAGCCTCTACTGTGAGATTTCGATAATAAAATCTGTCTGGCTAACAAGATTATCTTTTTCTTACTTTAGCAGATGAATTTAATAAAAAAAGAATAGAATACCTTGTCATTATTTGACTCTACTGGTGCTGATACATTTTCTTTCTTGTCGTTTACTGTAATCTTTGGTGAGGATGGAGGAGAATTCTGCATCGCTTTTGATGGTTTGAATGGATCAATCGAATCCAGATTGGTAAAATCTATGGATGACTTTTTGTCAGTTGGAGAATTGGCAAGACCTTTGATCAAAAATAAATTGTATTATTAAGAATAATATCATTGATATAAAAAAAGCGTTTTTGAATTTGACCACAGAAGCTTAAGAGCAGGTCTTGTTTCACTTTTCTCACATTCAAGTAAGAACTCTCAAATCCCAACATATTTTGTGTGAGATTGTTACAACATAAATGTTTATATAATGAGCCATAAACAAAGCGAACATGCTTTTATAATCAATAACATAATTGAGGTCGGGACATAGACAATATGCTGAAAACAAGAAGTTATATGCTTATTGGAACAACCATAATATAGCGTGAAATTTGATGTTCAATTGAGAAATGACTGAATTATCATATCAACTAACATTCATACACCACCTTTTGATGTTTTAAAAGGATCCATTGCTTCTAAGTTATCAAAATCAAGATTATAAGTTCCTTTTGGTAAAGGAATTTCGTCTTCATCATTATTTTCTGGTTCAGGAGGTTTGAATGCAGCAGGTGGTTTCTTCTTTTTCTTTCCAGGTGTTCCTCCAACTTTCTTTGCAGGCTGAAATAATCACATCAATATAGTGAGTAAATTTTTGAATATGAAATTTGCAACAATACAGCAATTACATCGAATTAATTTTCTATTATTTAGTCGAAACTAGAGTTTCTCAAAGCTCCCTTGTAGGCCATAGAACGATTCTCCACTGAGTGCACTGAGCAAAGAGCTCGGTTACCATTTGCATCGACTACATTAATTTAAACATGATTTGTCTAATTCTTTCATTGCTGTGGATTTAGTCTTTCACCTTTGTTTATTTACATTTTTATTACTGAATATGACAAACAAAATACGATCAAAATGCTTTGCGAACAAAACTATGTATTTTAATAGAACAGCATCGTTGAACGTCTTCAGAAGAAGGGGATGAACAACGAAAGTTTCAGAGCCACTGGTATAATCCTAATAAAACTAGGATACGCAATCGAATGAAATCATTTATTAAACTTGTCAACACGAACATCAGTAAAATTCTTTCTTTCACCAATGTGATTTTGCCCAAAAACAAATTAATGTTTTACTTTTTTCAGAGGAGATTTCTCGATTTCAACTGGTTTTGTATCTTCTAATATTTCTGGTTTATCTTCTTCCTCTTTTTCGTGATGCATCGGCTAAATGAATATAAAAAATAAAAGTATTTTATATTAAGCAATGTGGATAGATCGGCTATGTGGTATTTACCGTATTTTCCAAAAGTTAAAAAAATGGAGAGCCAATCAAATCATTTTTATCATAGCTTTCTTACTTTTTCAACATAGTAGATTCAAATTCAGTGAAACTAAATTGTCTTCTATATGTTCTTTATTAAACAAGATCCAATTTTAACAAAATGCAATATTCCAGAGTGTATTCTGAATTTTAGTAACTTTACACCCACCTCATCTGTTTTCTTTGTCAATAATCCAGGTGGATCAACAGGTGTTCCTTTGCCTGGTGAGTCTTCTACTGTTCCAGGCTTTACTTCTTCTTCGACCTTAGGTGGTGGAGCAAAAGACTGCTCGCTCACGGTTTTAGTAGGAGAATTACAAAGTCCTTTTGATGTTTTAAATGGATCGAAGTTATCAAGATCATCAAAATTTATTGAATAAGATCCTTTCGGAAGTATGATTTCATCTTCTGAATCTGTGGGTGCTGGTTCAGAATTTGGTGCCTTTATTGGAGCTTCTTTTTTTTTCATAGGTCGGTTGACTTTCTTCCTATTTGCTCCTAACACTGGCTTCTTAGCTGGCTGTATATAAAATAGGATTTAATTTTTCGCTAGACAGATTTATTAATTTCTATATAAAAGTGAAGGATGTGTTGATAAGCTGTAAGCTAGCAATGACACAAATAGAGCCACAAAATATGCAACAAAAACTTGAATTATTATTCTCTCTATCAACATGTATTTGTGTGAACAAATTTGGAAAAAAACATAATTCAAGCTTACCTTCTTTTTGGGTGAGGGATCAACATTCTCCAAATTTCCAGCCACGTCATCATTTATTATCAATAAATCGTTTGTTTTTTTGTTGTTTTCAGGATCTTTCTCAACATTGCTATCTTCTACAATCGTCTGAAAAAATTTGAAATCATTCAGATTTCAGCAAACTAAAAGCCAAACAACAGAAACAATCATTCTGGGACTATAGAAATCATTGGTGTTTGGCAAGAGACTTGTGCAAAGCAAACTGCTTAAAGTCTTGCGGCAACCATATTTATTGGAACTTGAGGACTTCACCACAATTATACATGATTTCAGTAGATTTTGATATTTGGGTGGTCGCCCGTAATATTGTTCAAAGATGACTGTCGTTTACTACTTGCTATGAGCCAAATATTTCGCCTCGAACTAATTCTTTAAATATTACAAACAACGGAAAAAAAATCACCTTTTTAACAGGTTCAGGAAGAGAGGGTTCCTCATTATTATTCATGTGTTTCAAAAATCCAACATTATTCTTCACTGGAGATTTAGGAGGAGAAAATGACAAAGTTTTACTGGATTTAAACGGATCAGCTTCCTCCATGTTATCAAGATTGAAGCTATACGTAGAAGTTGGCTTCGTAGGAGAATTCTGAAGGCCTTTGCTGGTCTTGAAAGGATCTAAACTATCTAAATTATCGAGATCTAGAGTATATGATCCTTTTGAGATAGGGATTGGTTCGTCTTCTTGGTTAGATTTTGATAAATCCTCGTTTTGCAGATCTTGTTTTGAATCTATTTGTAATTTTTTTTCAGTTTTCGATGAATGCAGTTCTTCCTGTAATAGAAAAGTAATATGAGTAACAGAAGAAATTTCTAATCGGTATTTCAGTAGCCGCATTAACTTTGCTCACAGATGATTCTCCTTACTTCTGAAAGTGTGTGGCAATGTTTTTAAACAAATTCCCCTAAAAAATCAACTACGGTATCTTATCGATAGGACGTTTGCTATATTCTGTTTTCAACCCTTATTTCCTCTCATTCGAATCTTTTCATGACTAATGTATTGACATCAGATTTGTTTTGTCGCATTGCATCTTGTATAAAGCAGATTTTCAAACACCGCGACTATTTTTATGAATGACTATCTGATTTTTTCGTGTGCAGTAAAAAAAAAACATTATACCCTGAGTTCAACCGATATTTGGGTAAATTTGTTACACTACTTAAAAACCTGCTGCAAATATTATATTCAATTTCATAAATTAAAATAGCATAAAGTAATTTATAATATGGTTCAACTTACAATGCTATTCTCCACAGGCTTCACCACTTCATTTTGAACGATTTTCTCATTTTGCGTCGGTAATACATCATTTATGATTGATTGTTGATTAGGTTCGTCAGAAACACTTTTTTCAATCTTAGAAACACTGGTTGGTTTTTCTTGTTCTATTTCAATATGATTAGATTCAATGGCAGTAACGTCATCTACATTAGGTTTTGGATCATTAACAGAAAGATTTTTTTGCATGACTATGCTGGCAGGAAAAGGCTTATCTGGAACATCAGGAGAATTACTCACAGCTTTTGTAGACTGAAATGGATTGAAATCATCTAAGTTATCAAAATCAATAGTGTAGGCCCCACGACCTATTGGTATCTCTTCTTCATCCATTTTGAATTCGGAATTCTTTTTTTCGTTATTTTGAGAACTTGTTGATGATTGTATTTCTAACTTAGTCTCTTCAACAGAAACTGGCACTTTATCGTCTTTTTTGTCGTGTTCGTGGTCGTTTTGTGTTTTTGTACTAGTATCAGATACAATATCAGGTATCACATCAATAGTTGATTCCTTATCTTGCAATTCAATATTTTTATCTTCCTTATCAGTATTATCAGAAGACTGAGTTACAGCATTCTCAATTGAAGATTCTTCTGTATTATCGGCTTCTTTAACAGTTGTATCCAAAATTGAATTTGAAAATGCTTGATCTACCGGAGTGTCATCTAAGCCTGTAAAAAACTGGCCGTCCGTAATTTGTGGTGTCAAAGGTCGATCTGCGTCAATGGCATTGGTGATTTGTAACGGTTTATCTGGTAGATCAGATGCAGAATCAAAATTTAATTTCACAGAGTCTATACTGCAGATACTTGACTTAGATGAGCTTGCAATTGCTGAATCGGGACTGGTTTCTCCGTTATAGTTCTGTGTGAAAAAGAAGAAAAAAAATGGATATTGAATAACAAATACGAGAACATTGTCAAATAAAAATCATATCTTAACAAAATGTGACAATAAAAATCACAAGTATTCAGATACAGGCAAATAAATTAGAGTTTGAGTAGCGTCGAAATTATTAAAATAGAACATAAAAATGGATATAAAGAAACGCCTGCTGCCTGTAAATGCACAATTACCATCATATACGATTGGCATTATGTAAATTTTCTAAATTCATTTGCTCTGATGAAAGAGCTAACTTGAGTGTACTTCAATTTGACACCAATCAATATTTATGAGTTTCTCTGATGTAAATCTAAATATTCGTATCCCTTGGCACATTTAGGATAGCTTGCAACAATTTTAGTCGTAACGCAACAATCTTCAATTTTGGCTTGCTACTCTACATTGACTACTACTGAATGAGAGCAATCTTTTGGATCTTCAGAAATAAACTTATAGGAACATTCAAATAAAATGATACTGAATATCAAAACTAAATCTCACAGTAATAAACTTCAATCAGAAAAAATTGATTGACAACCTGATTATTACTTATCGATCTTAAGATCGGTAAGTATATTGATAGGTATTTGTATGTATGTCTGTCTGTGTGTGTGTCTGTTAGATGCACGCGATATCTCACGAAAGCGAGATTCAATCTGCTCCAGATTTTGCATGTGCATTCATCTTATCTCGGACCAGAAGCCTATTGATTTCGGGCGAATTATGTCGTATAATTAGCTAGTTATCAATCAATTATTGATATAGTGATCTAGATTTTTGTAAAGCGAGAGAATTTTGAAACCCGCCGAGTGTGTGTGTGCGATGCGCAGTGCGCAAGTTACAAGAGCGGATGAATCGAAACTGCAGTTTCTGTTTTGGGTGATCCCCTAACTATCGATCGATAAGTCTTCGGTTTCCAACCGATATTCTCGTTATTGATATTCTTTAATTAATAATATTAATAGCATTTCAACCATTGGGAATGACTAAGGAAGAAACAAAACAAGTACAGGATAGTAAACTAAGTTGCCAACGCAGCTTAACGATAGAGATCAGAGGTCTGACAGCTTATTCTCATAGTTTAACGAGTTGGGAAAAAGGAGCAATGTTTGAAGTACTGCTTGTAATCTTCAAACTGGAAGTTCTGACAACCTGGAGGGTCGCATAAGGTGTCGATGAGAGCAGTAAAATATTTTTCGAAACAAACTCAAGTTAAAACAAAATATCGATCAAAAATTGCAATATTTGAATCTAAAGCATAGACCCATCATCACCAAAATAAAACCAAGATTCAATATTATGTGTCAAAATAATTTATGCATGCACATCGGCCTTTTATTTTTTGCTCAATTTTCAAATTTTGCTTATTTTTATTTTTGTTCCTGGAATTGCGAAGTGGAGTCCTGATGAATGAAGTTTGAAGAACACTGGTTTATAGTAACATTGTCCATTGTTGTGAAATATCTCACCAAATCAGCTCCGACTGCTGTAACTGAAAACGAGTTGAACAAAGTTTCTTCAGCAGAAGGGCAAATGGTTTGATCATATGCAGTTAAATACAGACTTTCACCAATTGTGTTTTCACCAGGGTTTGTTGCATCTGATTGAGTTTCTTCTTCGAGAGTCAAAATTCCCAAATCACCTCCAAGATTTTTTATTATTTCATTCAATTGTGATTCTGGATAAAAAAAATTCATACAAAACAAAATTGAAAATCTTATAATGATTCATTTCAGAAACTCCCTCAAAATGAAAAGGATTGTAAAACTCATTTCATTTTTTTTTTTGGAGTTTTTGTTTAGAATTCAATGTACATAAATGACAAGAGTAATTGTATTCAGTGCCTCATATATAATATTACTATGGCCAACAAATAGTCGCAATCCAATGAATTTAGCGGTTTGAACAAATCCACGAAACATACTATAAATACAGACAGTAATATCAACAGTTTCATTGTTATGACCTTTCCTCAAAGCAATGTTACAAATACTATCTATGAACTATGAAATGGAACATAATGCATTGACTCACTCATTTGTCAAAAAGATAGATTAGATACATGGTTATTAAATAATATTTGCTTCGTTAAAATGATAAATAGTCAGGCATATAATGCCAAATATATATTCTGCTAGACCAGGGGTTTGCAATATTTATTTCCAATAAGCCATATTATCACCAACTTCAGACATATAGTAGGGCCACACGAAAACATAGTTTAACCATGCAGGTAAGGCAAGAGAAGAGAATGTGGCTATTACTTAGCCTTGCAGTAATAGACAACAAAAGCAAAAAACATTATGTATTTTCACCAACGTGGGTGACTCAAATATAAACTATCAGATTCGGATTTTATGACTGAATAGGCAAAAATTCTGAGGTTTGACAAGGGCCACACTAAACGGCTTGGCGGGCTTGGTTGTGGCCACAAGTGCACACCTCTGTGCTAAACCATAAGCATAAATTAATCTTAAATTTAACAAAATATCCATTTTAAACATAGAATACAAACCTGTGTTAACAGATGGACCAACCGGAGCTGCAGGAGGAGGAATAAATTCCCCTGAATCATCAGAATCTGAAGCTTCCAAAGATGTATATCTGGGTAAAAAAGCTATATATGTTACTATATTGTTGGCCAAATATGTTAATCATTAGCAAGTATTAATAAAATATCATCAACTCAACACTCGAAAAACAAACACGGTTAATAAAAATGAAATTGATCAACAAAATTAAGTAATTTGTTCCAATTTTCAATTAAAGTTTGATTAAAGATTAAAATTTGTTTAAAATCAAATATTGCAAACTTAAAATCATTTTGATTTGACGAAATAATGTTCGACAGAACTAAAAAAAACAGCAATCCTGATTGATAACTTAAAATTCTTAGTTTTGAAACATAAAGTACCAGAAAATTTTAAAAGACAGGCTCTAATAACATTTGTATTATATATAAATAAAGCAGCAACCTTCTAGTTATGTCTACAATTTCTATAGTATTAGACAAGTGGACATTTTCAACAACATGACTAAAGCATGAAATTTTACATTTGGTTATCTCTCAGCACTTTCTATGTAATAATGCATGATGTAATGTGATCACCGCTAGGCCACTGCGCATGTGATAGAATGTAAACACACCAAGCAAAATGTGCAAATAATACATACCAATGCAAATAAGCAAATGTGTTGAGCATCTGTAGTTCACCCAAGTTAGGTTGCAGCAATAAAACAATTAAAAACACCACGCAGTGCAATCACTAATCAAAGTATAGTTTCAACTTTTGATAAAAAACAACAACAAGAGTTTGTGATTCATGGTGTTGGTGGAAAATTCAAATGTTAAAACATAATTTATCATTCTCATCATTCAGAAAATTCATTTCTAGATAGCCTAATGTATTTTGAACAGCACACAATTTCACAAAATGGTAAAGATAGGAACTTACAAGGTATTCGTTGGATTAAACAATAAATTACGGTAGTTCATAATAAATAGGCACAAGATTCAATACAAATTGGCAAAAATGCTAAAGAAATAGCAAAGCATAATTATAATAAATATACATAAAAAACAGTGCATTTTAAAGGCCAAGCGGTATTATTAACAGTTTTATGCTTTGGTTTTATGAATAGCCTACGGTAAGTATTTATTATCCATTGTCGAAGAATATTCTTGCTCCCATCAAAATACAATAGCATGGAGTGACATAAGTACAGTAACTGATTTTACAGTGCTGAAAAAAAGTTCACTGACAACATTGCCATTTAGTTCATTTATAAGCACTCAAGTATATAGTGGAGCCTAGGAATTAGCTCAGGGGATAAGAGAATGTTGCTTTAAAAGTAACCACGCCTCGCCTTATTTCATAACCAACAGCAAACCAGTGCTCGCCAGGGATCTCCGTAGTGTTAACTATAGCACATTTTGACACTACAGAATCCCTGTCTGTAGCGTAAATCTCTTCTTGAATATGACTCAAGAAGTCTCCAAATGTGAATACACCTGCAAACCAATTTCCTATTTCGAAACTATCGACAGCGTGCTTGAAAATCCTTGATGCTTCCGTATAATCAACTTTCCTTTTGGATTCCATCAGATTCATGATACCTTGAAGTAATGTTTTAAAGTTTCCATCCTTCGCCTGACCCAGGCAGTATTGTAGTAAAGCTTTTAAGGAGGCTATAGTACTTCTGATAGAATATGCATGTTGCACATCAGGAGCCTCCATGGAAGCATCTGCAAAGGATTTTTCCAATTCTCTAACTTTTTGAAAAAAACTAATTGCTGTATCAATATCAATATCCATTTGTGGCAAATAAAAATTTGCATCAAAGAATTTGATTACTTGGATGATTTTTAAAATATGTTGTTCACTAAGACGTATTGCTTTTGTGTAAGGTTCCTGGTCGATCATGATGTTAAAAAGCTGGACAACTTTTTCAGGAGTATTGAAAAGAGACGGTTTTGACAATTGTTCATACCAGTCTGGCTTATAGAGAAGAAGCAAGCTACATATTGCTATATAAGTGCATTGATCAACCCCTTGTTGATTAGGGTATTCCTTCACCCAAGCATCAAACCCAATTGCCTGTAATTTCTGTCTCAGAACATCCACATTTAGGTGCATAGGAAATGAGTCTACTAATACAACAGTTCCAGAGTACGGAATCGAGGCAGCATCACCTTCCGGATATTTTATTCCAGACGCAGGATTCGAAACTTGTTCGTGATGCACTGTTTGAGTAGTATCAATAGTGTTATTGTTAAAAACTTCTGGCATACCTTCATCTGAATGATATGGATCATTTTTGTAATTTGGATCCAGAAGGCCTGGAACAGGATTCCTTGTATTGTCTGTCTCGTTGAAATGAGTCTCCTCGTCTTGTAGTCTTGCCAATATGGCAAAGTTTACATTATCATCACCCACATTCGAATTTGTCTGATCAAGAGCCATTATGAAACAAACTGGTTACAAATGTTTCCAGCGATCGAGTCAGCAACCTGAAGTAGATTACTACTGCTAAGCGACAAACGATATCCAATGATTCCGATCAACTCTCTCGAACAGACTCATCCAACTTTGCTTGAACTGGCTTCAAGAATCTTCTGTTTTCAACTTGTGCCCTGACAGTAGGTACATTGACAGAAAAAACGGGTGTGCATCAGAATCAAATTCCCATACAGAAAAAGTTTAGCAATTTCAAACTATAAAATGATCATAAAAAAGAAATTCTAAAGATTGAACAATGCATAGGATGCATTGCATAACAATGCATTAACCTAATCCTCCCGGTCTGACGCATGCGCGACGTTTCAGACGTTTTGCAATGCTGTGTGTATACCATGAGGTCTGGAATGTTTGTTATGGTCTTGCTTGAAAGGAAATCTTATTCCCCACACAACGATATGAGAATGAACCTTATATGACATTTAGAAGTGATAAAATTTCGCTTACATATCACGCGTGTACTTCCCCGCTGCGATATAAAACGTCGCACAACAAGAAAATGATTCCATAAACCTTGGCGTTGCGCGCTAACCAATAACAAAAGCTAGTATGATAAAAGGTCTTATTTTGAAGGTCATTTTATATGCTACATAACATTAGGAGAGTGGACATCTCACAACGTCAGGAAGTTATAAAATATCGAGTCCGTTTGATCGCAGCTGCCTCACGAAAAAAGTTAGGCGTTTTATCTCGCAAATTCTCCTTGTCTGACGATTATAAGCTTTTTGATTCATAATAAATGTTTTATTATGACTCACAAAAGCTTTCAACGCGATAGAGCACAAACAAACAACCGATCGATCTATCAAGCTTTAGCTGGCCTGATTCCGATGTGGTGACTTCTCAAACGGAAAATTTCCTAAAAACGCTTCAACGACGCGCGCTATGGAAAGCGTTTAGTATCATATGAAAGAGAAAACCAATGTGCAGTCAACTGTATAGTCACATTTCAGCTTTACAATAGCTATAGAGGTCCAACAGCTGATAGAATGAGAGAGTGTAAATATTTTTGTTATTTTTTGACGTTACGAGAGACCTCTTGAAAGAGGTGTTTTAGTTTACGGTCCTCCAGTGACATCTAGCGTATAGTACTCTAAAATACCTTTCCAATGGTATATAATTATTGTATATTGGGTAAATTTTGGGGGTCGTATGACATTAATAAAAATGGGTATTCAAAATTGGGCTCGATTGGGCGTCTGAAATAGGTTAACATATTAGTACAATAAGTGACTAGAGTCGTAGACATAGAATTTCAAAAGTGCAATCCACGTGTTTGTAAAACAGTGCAACTGTGCGGTTTAAATAGTTGTAAAGTATATTGTGGCAATCAAACCTGTGCACAGAGACACACTAATACCTTTCTCTATTCTTGGCCATATATTCAGATATTTTTTTCAACATCTTGATCAGAATGGTGATTGATAGAATAGTATGTATATTACTACTTAGAATGATGAAAATGTTGTAAATGAATAAATATATCCTTTTTTAAATTAGAGAACTTACATTGCCTAGAAGCTGAAATTTGCACAAGAATTTGTCCTATAATAAAAAAAAATTTCAATTTCAAAAGTTTTCAATCCAAACTACTTATTGCATAACAACATTCTCAGCAGTTTGGTAATTATTTTATTTATTCGTCTTCAATATTTTGGTTACATAAATATTTGTTGCATTCATATTTGTTACTCCGCATTATATTGACAAAATTTATCAATCCTACAATAACACTTAAAATCCATATTCTCACTTGTTGGAAAATATATAGGAATGTTGAATTATCGATTAATAAGTTAACACATTGAACAACTGCCAAAAACTGGCACATAATATTTTGAATAACAACACATTCTTCCTATTTGTTAAACACCATTTATAAAAAAAATGGAATGAAATTCCATATTCGAACCTATTGTTTCTGAATATATTAGTTATAGTAAATTATTCAATTTTTGGCAACCCTGTTCACAGTTAAATTGTGGATGTGGACCATAAAGTAAAGATATATCGAACTAGGAACTACTATGAAATGACAATTGTTAACTTGCTTCGAATTCAGGACCAAACCAGGAACTAAATGCTTAATGCGAATGATATTTCAAACTAATTTTAATCCAAATTATATCAATGTCTAATTACTAAGCCAAAACGATTTTACAGGTCATTCATGTAAGGTTAATTGATAGTATCACCATCACATATAAATACCATTTCACACCATGTTAAATGATTAGTCACCAGATAGCAAATGTTCAATGAAAATATGACTCAGTTATTTATTTCACTATATATAAAAATTCTAAATTTCAATTTGTCAAAAAAGATATTTAATATGAGGTGCTAGAAATAAAATGTGATTTGCACAGTTTTGTAATTAAGGCATAATCTGGCAAACGCTAACTAAGAACTATAACAAGATATCTATTTCTCTATGATAAATAGAAACTCTAAATTCATACTACCAAAATATTGACAGTTTGTGAGTTATTTCTATAACTATTGCTGAATAAACAAACTGTCAAACATGTTATCTTCCAACACATGCATTCCACAAGCTAGTCAAGCAGTGGCATTGGCATTTTCTGAAGGCATGCAAGTAAATCTTAAATTCAAGTTTCAACTAAACTTATCAAAGAACTGATTCCTGACACACTATGAGGCTGAGATGATGGCAACATAAATTAAAACGCAATTCAAACACTTAGATAGTACTCATTAATTTCAATTATGGTGGCAAAACTTGGAATTATTGTATCTGAAAATGAAGTCAAATATCTGAAATTTTTTTGTAAAACTAAATTTTTTTTTAAAGTGAAATTATAATTAAAGAAAAATTTCACTTGGAATTCTGGATAATGTACTATGTTTTTTTTTACTTTTATCATTTTAAACTATATTACCAAAAAAAGGAATCTAACATAGTTTAGTATCACACTTGTATATGTACGTGAAATCGACAGAATAATCTCAACCTTACTTAGTGTGATAATTCTGCCGATTTATTCATATTGCCTCATATTACTGAACAAAATTGACCACAATTTGATGTTATAATGGAGGTGTCGTACTATTCCAAAATTGAACGTAAATTTTGCAGACCCAAAATGAAAATTTATGCACCTAGTTTAAATACATGCATGGCTAAATGAATTTTAATACAACACAACCCCAACACATAAAATCCATTCAAAAACATACCCCTCTGCTTTTGTTGTTATTTCCGACCCAACTGCTTCACTTTCTATTGAATTATCCATATTGATTGTGTTTGTATTCTGAGAACTATCAGCTGAAGTAACACCTTCTGTCATATCATTAACAGAATGACTTTGCTGTTCTAAAATTTCATTAGACTCCACTACACTCTCAGGGGAATCGACATAAGACTGTGTTACGTCAAGCCGCGTCTGCCTAAATTGATCATCTGTGCTATCAATAGCATCTGTGAACTCTATTAATTCTTCGTCATTGTTATCTACAGGGTCTCCCCATGCTTCGTTTTCCACTGTATCTACAGCTTCCTCAATTATATCATCAGTAATTTTTGAAGATTCCAAACTTGTATTCTGTTCATCAGGATCTTCTTCACTTTGTGTGAAACTTGATGATAAATATGACCAGCCACTTTTAATAAAATTCATAATGATTTTGCTTCGATGGTGTATGTATATTACTGTATATATTATATCTGTCAAATGCACAAAAACATTTTTGAGGTTATGCTTTCAATTTGAACAATAAATAAATTAATGATAAAACGTCGAAAGAAAGTTTTAAAGGTTTTTTATTTAAACTAAAGGTAAAATAAACGAAGTAATTTTTTCATCAATTCCTCATCTGATATTTTTAAAAGTTATAATTTCAAAGTTTTCTTAGCTATAAACAAGCCAGTCTTGTTTTGGAAAGATAATAGAAATACATTTAATACAGACAATGATTTGTACAGAAATGCATAACGGGTTAATAGCCAATAGTTACATATACTCTCCCGCCTTGGACCGTCAAGGAATGCTCTCCCATATGATCATTCAAATAGTTTCAAACCCACAAATTAGGTAAGCAATCATGCTACAAAAAGCAAGTTTAGCGCCAGATCATTTAGCGCATGATCGAATAGTACAAGAAACACTTACAGTAAATACAACAGAATAATATTTATCAAAGTTAAACTTAGTTTATTTAACCTAAAATATTGAGGTTTATATAACTATAATTAGGCACTTATAAAAATTTTGGAGTGATAGAGTAATTACACAAGTTGAAATAAGTTCAAGGTCTGGTATTCTGTAATCAAATTTAATACATTAAAAAATATAAGTTGAAACTTTACTGTTCAAAATGAATATCATAAAATAGATAAAAGCAATGAAACTTTTAATAAATCAAACAAGAATTTCCAATATTTTATTCTTGATACATAACTAACAGTATTTTCAATAATATTCGAAACGAGTCAAACGACGTTTATAAAAGCTTAGGTAAGGTCAACCCTAATCAACTCTGTGAAAACCATTCAAAATATCTCATTAGTTTTTAAACACTGATTGTTTATATTGTTTATCAGTTGTTCATATTTTGTCTTTAAAATACCCTACCCCTACTAAGCTATATAACCATGGACGAGGTAGTGGTTTTTCTGGTCTGAACAATCTATCAAAGACCTTGGTTGAATAATTTGAGTAATAGTCCAATCAGTATCATAGACATAATAAATTTATGATTATTTGAGCTATCATTTACATACACAAAGAGTTTGGAATCCTCATAATCTAATCAATTGATGCATCATAGAGAAAAACTAAAACTAAGAATGATAATAAGAATAAGGATTATTTCGCTGTACCAAATCAATAATTTACTACACAGAAAACTCTTTTTTCCACTTTTCTAGCATATCTAATTTTATACCACTGCCTCCACATATTTCGATGGCAACATTTTTAATATTGGATGGAAGTTCACCAGACTCGATTAATTTTTTCAAAGTTCCGTTATACACGGCAGCTAAAGCTGCGGCACACGACGGTTCCACTAAAATTCGTTCATCATCCAGAAAAAGAGCAATTGCCTTTACAGCATCTGCATCAGATACAATATGTGACACAACTTTATGTGTTTTTGTAACTTCAAAAGTCCGTTTTCCCACTGTTTTTGCACCAAGAGTCTTAGCTATACTTGTAATAGCAGGAAGAGTAACAAGTTTATCTGCTTTTACTGATTGGTACAAACTAGAAGCACCTTCAGTTTCAACAACCAAAACGGGAATATCATTCCAATTATGTTTTTTTAATCCATGAACAATTCCACAGAGTAGACCACCGCCGCCGCAGACGCATATAATCAAGTCAGGTTTTGGAAGGGAGGAACATCTATCCACATCTTCTTTTATTTCATCAATAATCGTTGAATTTCCTTCCCAAATATCAGGATGATCGAAAGGTGATACATAAACACAACCAGGTTTTTCTGCTTCTTTTTTTGCTCGAGTATTAGACTCATCCCATGCTTCCCCTTCAACTATCACTTCAGCTCCATAGTCTCTCAAATTTTGAACAATAAATTTTGGTGTTGATTCAGGGGTAAAAATTTGACAAGGTTTCCCGAGTTCCCGAGCTGCGTAGGCAGCAGCTAGTCCTGCGTTTCCACCAGACGAACAAACAAATTTCGAAGCTCCCTTTTCGGCAAATTTAGAACATAAATGACCAATTCCTCGCATTTTAAAAGATCCACTTGGTTGTACATTGTCTAGTTTTATGTAGACATTCAATCCACAACAATTTGATAAACTTGAACTTTTTTTATAAGGTGACTTTATATGCAACATCATTATATATAGATTAAATGCCGTTGAACATTGACTACATAATAGGAATATAAAGATTGGTTTTGTATGATAATTCGTACAATAGCCTAAGGCAATAGGATACGTATGTAATAAATACAGGAAGTTTTGACAACTGTCCTCAAGGAGAAAATATCAACATTTTATAGTTTCAATATTACAGTCAGTATATATACAAAAAATTGAATGAAATTGAAATTATGTAAAACTGTTGTTGATTAAACAAAATTAATCATATTAAAAATATGATAAAAAAAGTAGTGAAGCTAATGCTGGTGAAGAACAACTGACCTAAAATGCCTTTAATATATATTCAAGTTTTCAGTCAGAAATAATCTGACGATATACTATAGATATCTTATGGCGATAAAATTGTTAATTGAAAATTAATTCTAACCAGCTTTTTTATTAATGTTAAAAAAAATTTATACAATCACTACAATTTTTTTGGGGTATTTTGAGGGTTGTGAAACGGTTTTTAGCAGTCAAGTGAATCTCAACTTTTAATCATCCACTCCAGGCATAATGGTTTTAAGAATTTCAGCTCAATATTTTCAAAATGCAGTAACAACAGAACAATGGACTGATGGTTGCAGTTGCTAGATTTTTGTAGCTACAATAAAAAGTGAACAGATTAGTATAACAATTAGCAAATCTAAGGGCAGCTATGTCCAGTAGGGCACAGTTCTTAGATTACAAGAATAGCGAAAGACATCAATTATAACAGTGAATGCAAACCTATCCGTTCCTCCATATGGACTCAAAATAGAAAACTGGCACTGCACAATAAAGTAAAAAAACATGTTAAACATGTGTAATCAAAAAACATCACCATTGGATTCCTCAGAAAAAAATAATCTGATTTGCTATAGCATTCAAGAATTTTAAGCAAAAAAAACACAATTGTGGTCATGTAGAGGCAGTAAACCACCGATATATATCGGCCATACTCGGCAAGCACCGGGGATGCGTGCTTCAACGACTCTTGCCTCTGCATAACTGCTGGTTACCCAATATTTCTCTCACTTTCATTTTGCGCTAAAAAGGTGTCTCTCCTAATTCCAGTTGGCACATGATTAGCCATTTCATGCATGGTTATAACTGAAAAGTTATTTTCTGAATTCGTGACCTTCCTAAATTAAATTTTGAATTTCTGAGTTTTATCAGTTTTATCAATATTGATGGTTGTTTATCATTTTGCTGAGAATTACACTAAAAACCCTAATCCATTATAATTGACTAAATAAGGTAATGAGAGTCTCCAGAAACATAGTTATTAAAAATTTCACATGTAACTGCACATATGCTATAACAATATTAAACGTCAGAATAACAATTCTTTTTCCTGGAAAAGGCTAGACTGATATTGAAGTCGCAGGAAAAGTTAGAGAATAATATTTGTTCAAGCATTAACTGGAGTTAGTTGAATAAAAGTATTACTACAATGATGATAATTATCAAAATGAAACTACAGATTTACGAGATGCATAATAAAAGCCCATTTTGTGGCTCAAAATATGATTTATATTAATAACAGCATATCGGTATAGGTATCGATATATCGATATCGGCGTCAAAAAGTGATACGGTTGAGCATTAGAGATAAGCTCGACGTGATGCATACCGGTATGTCTTCATGTAAGATGCCTTCATTTCTGGGACAAATAAAGTGTTTTATTGAACCAAATGTCGGGACATCTTAGAATCATAGAATTGTGCCCTACTAGCGTTATGTTACTTTTTTATATTTACAAAATTTGAATCAACTATTTTGCATGCAGTTGAATAGTATTCAAAAATGATAGAAAATTGCCAATCAAGAAAGAGCGGTAGTAAGGAGTCACCAAATTAAAATTCATAGCATACCGTACTGGTACGGTACCGGTACATAGCTTCAAAACAAAAAACTACCGTAATACAACTACGACACCCTACTACAGTACTATCTAAATTCAAAAATTATATATAAAAACTAATTGTGACATATCATTAAATGTCATCCCATCATACAGTCATGGGATATTTGTGCATTGAGTAGACATTGACAGTGCACTCTATACTGGATTAGGGGTTTGATAACTTACAGACTTACCGTATGCAGGTATGTAATATCCCACTAACAGACTTATGCACTATGAATAATAGCATTTATAACTTTTGATGCTTTGTTTTTTTAAGGCAGGCAATAAGGTTTAGGTCATGTCATACGGTCATACCGGTACCGTACGGTACGGTCATACGGTCTGGATTCCATGAAAACATTTAACCGAATGAAGCAAACAACAGAACAGAAGCAAACAATTGAGCCAGGGTCAGGATTCCATGAAAATCTTTAACCGAATGAAGCAAACAACAGAACAGAAGCAAACAATTGAGCCAGGGTCTGGATTCCATGAAAATCTTTAACCGAATGAAGCAAACAACAGAACAGAAGCAAACAATTGAGCCAGGGTCTGGATTCCATGAAAATCTTTAATCGAATGGCCCATTCCCACGCAGGCGAGATCTATTTTCAGATTTCAGATCTTTTTTGTAGGCTGAATATCGAAATCACATTCTCAGTTAGGGCCACCATCTAATCTACATTGGTACAACAGGCACTATCATTGCTTCAAAATTCCCACTTTTTTGCATTTACAGATGGCGGTATGGCCGTCACTCCGGTTTTTTGTCAGGATAGGTGGCTAACCGTAATTAACAGAGCACAATTTGGCGGGTTATCGATTTTGAGCCCTTGTTTACTTACATATTATGATACAACACCAAGCGGATTCAACTATTCAAGGTTTTTGTCGCTAGATGACATATAGCCCAAAACTTCAATAACGTCGAATTTCTATCAACCAATAAGACATTGAATAATACATATAAAAAATTCATTCTCTACAATGTCATGATAAAAAAAAGTCACCTTTTATCTAATCGACAAAATAATGTCAAATATAAAACCTTAGTACATATATTTGTGTATTCTAGTAACGAATCCTTTGAATAGTAGCATACGCGTGGTGTCGTGTCATAATGAAAGTAAACAAAGGCCCGAAAGCAAAATCCAGACAGATGGGTTCAAAATCCGTAAAGGAAGTGCGCAATATGCTCTAAGTGTAATCATTTTTCACTGAGCAAAAATTAAAATAGGTTAAATTTTCAATAAATGTCGAAATTGGTGTCTCATGAAAGCCCATAGAAATGTTTTTTCTTGAATTTGTATAGAGGAATGGCTTTATTTTATGGAAATGTATATCAGAATGCAGTTTATATCAAGAATATTTATTCAAGATGATTAAGAGATACGCTTTATTATTGGTTTATTTTAAAATCCAACGTAATTAGGGATGTAAGTTCTTTACATGTCCTCTATGATCAATAAAAATATATCATGTCAAGGAAAACCGTGATTCTTGACAGCAAATTGCAATGTTTCCGTATATTTTTCACCATTATTGTTTTTCAAGTTTTGCTAATGAGCTTCAAGCTTATTCAAACATTATAGCATGTATATCCCAAGAATGGAAAACGAATGGTCAAAAGAATTGTGGGAAAACTTAGAAAACTGGTTACCTTTATATGAAAAAATGTATTGTAATGTGAATGTTGAAACTGTGTTACATTTATTTTATTTCTGTGAATTTATACAGCATTTTTGGGAGGCAATTGATGTATGGCTAACTGCTGAGTTTGAATTAAACCCTAAATTGGCATATTTTCATTTATTGGGGGTAGGGCAAAACCAAGGTATAAATTATGTTTTATATTATATATACAATAGTGAAAGGCCTCAATTTTGTCAATTTTTATATATAATAAAAAATATTTTTAACTGTGAAAAAACTATTGCCACTAAAATCAATCCATAAGAAGAAGAAACCTGGACCTGGATAGTGTAATTTTTCTTTTTCTTTCTTGGGACCTATTTTTTTCTAATTTTTTTTAACCACTTCGTGTCTCGCTTGATTTTTTTTGATTGCGCATTGACACATATTTTCACTGTCCTCATTGGACAGACAGCTTGCTGAGTATGAATTAAACCTTAAATTGACATATTTTTATTTATTGGGGACAGGGCATATATATATATGATAAAAAAAATATTATTAACTGTGAAAAAACTATTGCCCCTAAAATCAATCCATAAGAAGAAGAAACCTGGACTTGGATAGTGTAATTATTCTTTTTCATTGGACATATATGATAAAAAAATATATTATTAACTGTGAAAAAACTAATAAGAAGAAAAAACCTGGACTTGGATAGTGTAATTTTTTCTTTTCTTTATTTTTCTATTTTTTTTTTTTCGATTATTGGACTCATATATTTTCACTGTCCTCATTAAACTTACTGTGAAAAAACTATTTATTGTCACTGTCCTCATTGGAGTGATGAAAAAACTATTGCCACTAAAATCAATCAAACCTGGACTTGGGATAGTGCAATTTTTCTTTTTCTATTTTTTGTTGACACGTCCGCGCCTTTATTTCCTCTTCCTCCAAATCTCTGCGGTTTTTCCTTGATCTTTTTCCTCGGACCCGCGGGAAGGCTTTCTCAACGCACCCACTTCACCTTTTTTTCTGCATCTTTTTTCCTCAGTCAGTGGGGGGGGGCGCGGCCTTTTCTCCGACGCGCCTTTCTTTCTTTCTCTTCTGTTCATTTCTGTGGCTGTTTTTTTGTTTTTTTTTTTTTCTTTTTATTTTTTATTTTTTTTTTTTTTCTGTTTTTTTGTTTCTGTGGCTCGGTCAGTGGCTGCGCTCTCGCGCGTCCTCATTCTCTCTCGCGGATCGGTGCTGCCTGCCCCTCGCTCGTTTGCCTGCTTGTTCATCTTCAGTGCTGCTCTAAGCTCGCTCGTCGGCATTTTTTCTTCCTCAATCAACCCACCTGTCTTGTCTGCTTTGTCCATCTTGCGCCTTTCGATCCTTTGCTTCCTCAGACGCCGCACCTGTCTTGCCTGCTTGTTCACTTCGGCAGCTTGCTGCCCTCGCTCGCACCCTTTTTTTCCTCTGACCCACCTGTTTCGTCCCTCAGTGAGGGCTGCCCTCGCTCGCACTTTTTTCTTCCTCTGACCCACCCTGTCGTCTATCCTGCTTGTCCCCAAGCTCTTGTCTGCAAGCTCAGTTCTGCCCTCGCTGGCTCGTCGGGACCTTTCTTCCTCTGACCACCTTTCTTGCCCCCCAGTGCTGCTGTAAGCTCACTCGTCGGTCCCTTTCTTCCTCCGACCACGTGTCTTGCCTCCCTATGCAACTCAGTGCTGCTCTCGCTCACTCATCGGCCCCATTCTTCCCCCTGCCACATTGTCTTTGTCGATCTACAACTCAGTATATTCTGCAGGGTTTGAACCCATCTCCATCCCTGGCCTGCTGTTTGACAATGTCTCTACGCTTCCCCTGCGCCACCGCCACTGGCGAGGACTGCGTGGATCAAAATCTTATTTAATTAACGACGTCACGCTTGGTAGACCGCGACGAGGCTGATTACCTCGAATAATCATTATAAGGCTACGCAGGATACTGCGTCGGTTCGAAGCAGGTGTATTCAAAGCATGTCTCAATGGAAGGCGTTCATCTGGGACTTTCGTGAACGACGCTTTGCCTATTGAATGTGTGAATATACCGTGATACCCCCTTTTTCGTTTGTGGTTCATTTACTTTTTACGAGAAAATGTGTTATCATGCAATCATTGCGATAAGACGCATAAATAAAGTAGTGAATCTGCAAACCAAATTCCTGACTGTCAGTGGAGGAATACTAAGCCTGGAAGGCAGTTTATCGAATTGATCCTTTCTGTCTATTAAGCGGCGTTATGCTCTTGTACACATTGAACGGATATCATACACACTGAAATAAAACGAAAACACCGTCTTTTGTATTATGAGCCCCGCGACAGGTAAAACATGCTACCGCGTGCAATAAGAACGCAGTACGCGCAATAAACCTTTCTATTCATTCTGATACCACGTCCAGGCCACACGCCATATTTCTCCAAATTCTGATAAAAGCAGGCTATGGTCAATCAGTTTTCCATTCTATTATAAATGCATTCCTTGGAATTCTGTTGCAGGTCGTGTGCGGAAATTTTCCTTGAGTCATTTTTACTTTGGTGCCCCAAACACGTGGTCATTTTGCTTTCTGGTTGATCTGGCACTGATTATAACCTGAACTTTTGTATAATTTAAGCCTTTGAGATGATAAAAACACCTAACTCATTGGAGAAATGGAGGACGTAACCAAAGTCGTCGATTGCCAATGAGGGTTGTCGAAAACAGACAAATACCATGATTAGGCATTAGATTATGATACCATACGACATACAATGTAGATTATGATGCAAAGCAAAACTGGAGGGGTATTAAATGTTTGATGTTCAATGTTTTGTGTTTGTTTGGGTTCCGTGGCAATTTTTCTCCTCTAGTCTACGATAATTCTTACAAGCTATGTTGAAGTTTTATTATTGTGTAGGCCTACCTCTAGAACGATTTCCGCAATAAAAGCTTTTTCCCCCATATTTTAATTTAACAGACTGTACCACATGCATTACGGCAAACTAAACCACA